TGTTGGATATGGTGTAAACAAAAAGGGTTATCGATTAATCAATTTATCAAATAACAAAATCATTTATGGGAGAGACGTTATTTTTGACGAAAAATCAATTCTCATTAAGCAAAATGATTCAATGATTAATCAATTTGAACTTATCGAAAATGACTTAACTGATTTATCTCAAGTTGAAAGTTCAAATGAGAAAACACTGATAACTTTAAACAATGAACCAGAAAGTTATCAAGAGGCAATTGAATCAAATGATTCAGGTGAGTGATTAAAAGCAATTAACGAAGTGTATCAATCTCTAGTTAATAGTGGAACTTGGATATTAACCAAACGACCTGAGAATACAAATATTATTAAAAACAAATGGGTATTCAAAATGAAAAGCAATGAAAAAGGTGATGTTCAATATAAAGCAAGATTAGTAGCAAAAGGGTTTACTCAAGTCAAGGGTAAAGATTATCAAGAAACCTTTGCTCCAGTTGCAAAATTTGCGACATTGAGATTATTAATCTCGTTGGCCGTTAATTTTGATTATATTGTTCATCAACTCGATGTTAAAACTGCTTATTTGAACGGTAAATTGGAAGAAGAAATTTACATGGATCAACCTGAAGGTTTTGTTGATGATCCTGAACTTGTTTGTAAACTAAAACGAAGCTTGTATGGACCTAAACAGTCAGGAAGAAATTGGAATCATTTGTTCAATGATTTTATCACTAAACTTGGATTTACACGAACTCAATCGGATAATTGTCTGTATTTCAATGAAAGTGAATCTAAACGAATTTATGTATTAATTTATGTTGATGATTTGCTTATATTTGGGAAGAAAATTGAGATGATCAATATTCTCAAGGAACAATTGAAAACGAAGTTCCAAATGAAAGATCTTGGTGAACTTAAGTATTTCCTTGGAATCGAATTTGATATTGATCAAAAATCACAAACAATTAAAATGCATCAATCAAAATACATCAAATTTATACTTGAAAAGTATAATATGATTGAATCTAAATCAAGTAAAACTCCAACGGATTTATCAGTTAAATTATCGAAATCAACTGATATAAATGCTGATATTAGTTATCCTTATTCAAGTGCTGTAGGTGCATTAATTTATTTGTCAACTTGTACTCGACCAGATATTACGTTCGCAGTGGGAGTAGTTAGTCAATTTATGACTAATTACAATCGACAACATTGTTTGGCTGTCAAACGAATCTATCGATACTTGAAAGAGACAATGAATTATGGATTGTTGTTTGACAAATCTAATGATCAACTAGTTGTTGGTTATTCAGATTCTGATTATGCATCTTGTATTATGGACAGAAAAAGTATCAGTGGGTTAACTATTTTCAACTTTGGTAATCTAATTGTTTGGGGTAGTAAGAAACAATCAACAGTTTCGCTATCGACTGCTGAAGCCGAGTATGTGGCTTTGACTGTGTGTACAAAAGAGATAATTTGGTTGAAATCTTTATTAACTGAACTTGGTTTTATCTTCGAAAAACCAATCGTCATAAATGAAGATAATCAATGTGCAATCGCTTTGGCAAGAGATCCAGTGTCTCAATCACGATCTAAACACATTGATATTAAATATCATTTTATCAGAGAAAAGGTTAATGATAAAATAATAGCAATTTATTATTTACCAACTGAGAATATGATTGCCGATATTATGCCAAAATCGTTACCACGAGAAAGATTTGAAAAATTAAGATCGCAATTGAAAATTATTAATATTAATTGAGTGGGAGAAAAAGAATATGCAATCAATATGAAAATTATCAATTGACTTTCCTAGAAAGTAAATGAATTTATCATGTAAATATCTATTGAAATTTACTATTGACTTTCCTAGAAAGTGAATGAATTGGTTCATGGAAATGGTCATGATAATTTAGTATTGAATTTCTTAGAAAGTCAATGTTTAAGAAACGTCATCTTAAGGGATTATCATGGGATATTGGTGTTTAATTTAATTTTAACAATTTAACCTTAATTGGGATACAATTTACTAATTGTCATGTTTTTCTTTATATAATCTTACTGATATAAAAACCCAATCGATTAACAATTTAAGTTAAGTTAATCATTTTACTTTCATCTAATCATCATTACAATTTTACAATAAAATTATCTATTTAACTAACTGAGTTTAATTGTGTTCTGAGTTACTATTTATCAACTGATATGATAAAGTATATGAAGAAGTGTATGAAGTGTATGAAGACGAAGGTGAGGTTTGGTTGAGACTCGAAAAATAAACACAATTCAATGTTCCATGTAACATGATGAGGAAGAAGAAAATGAAGAAGAGGAAGATGACGAAATGTTCTGAAGTCTGATGATTAATCAGATACACATGAGTGAATCGACTAAAGGTAGAAACTAAAAACTAGAATTAGGACAATCAAGCAAACACAAAATCACATATGAGATAGAGTACAAATGATGAAACAGGTAAAATGAAATCATGAAGCGTCTTTATGTATCATTAATGAAACGAATTAAGAAGTAGAAAGAAAAAAATGGTTGAATTAATATCAAAGAGTAATATAAGAAGAGACTGCGATCTCCTGAAAAAGAGCAGTTTAGGGATAAATCTCACGAGAGTCGCCACTGTCGTTTTTCTCTTTCTTTTTCCCTTTCGTTTTCTTCTTTTTCCTGTTATGATTTCCTCTCTTTCTTTTCTCTTTCTTTTCGTAAAAAATTGGTTAAAGGTTTTTGAATGTTTTTGAGGCCATTTTTCAACGGGATTTTGCTCTAATAAATGTCAAATACAAGCTCAAACAAAATCTCGTTGAAAAATGGCCTTAAAATCATTCAGAAAACTTTACACAATTTAGTTGACGAAAAGAAAGAGAAAAGAAAGAGAAAAACGACAGTGGTGACTCTCGTGAGATTTATACCCAAACTGCTCTTTTTGCTGTTGATCGCTCTCTCTTCCTTACTACTCTTTGATTAATATTCAAAGAGGAAAAACATTAAGAGTTAAAACGAAAATAAAAAGCCTAGAAATTAGAAAAGTTTTAGATGTAAACATCAACAACTTACTTCAACTGCTGAGATGAAAAGGTGATGAAGATGATGCGTATAATCAATATGATTATGTGATAATATAGATGAAAATGATAATGATAATGACAACAAACAGGGTGATGAAAAAATATGATTTTTATAAAGAGAGATGATTATGACACAAATAGAGAGATGTATTAAAATAAACAGGTGAAAAATGATTAGAATTAATCTGAAATAAACAGATAAAATTATGAGGATTACGAAATAACCAGATAAAATGATTGATAAACGTTGATAAAAAGAAATGAGAAAAAACTCATTCATTTATAAGAATTCTCGCTTTCTCAAACGTTATTTAATGATTAGTCAACGACCACCAAAAAGTTTAAAGTAATATTTAAAGATCAGAAAAAAGGTTAATGCTTTAGGCTTAATGGTTTTTGACTTAATAGCTTTAGGCTTAATGGTTGCAGGCTTAATCGTTTTTAAGATTAAAAGTATAATTTAATAATCATTAACAAGGTGAGGAAAAAGTAGGGTAGAAAAGTGAGTTGGAAAAGGTAAAATTAATGTTTTGGAAAAATGGGGGAAAGAAATCAGAACAGAAAGAGAGAGATGAGAAAAAGAAAGGGTAAAAGGGGAGAAGAGATTACAGTTTAATTGTAATTAATCAAGATCTGTGACAACAGCGATCTCTCAAATCATTTGCCGGAGTTGAAAAATGTGGAGAATAAAATTACCACCTTCAGATGACCTTGAAACGTGTTATTTTACCAATGACCTGAATGACCTTGACCTTTTGATAAAATCGCAAAAAACATCGGTAAAAATAGCTGAATAGCCCTGTATATAAGTATCGGGTATATAGGCACCATCACGAGCGTCACATTTGGTATCAAAAAGAACGTGGCAGAACATGGATTTTGTTGGTATAGCTGTGTTTGTTACGGCTGTGGTACTTGCTGATTGAGTTGTTGGAAATGAGGAATTTGATGCACTTCACTCGATAACGATTCTCGCCGAATCACTGGCATTGATGGAGCAAAGGTTGGCGGTGATGGTGAATTAGAGAATGGAAATGTAGAAACTGAAGAGAGGGACGATGGAGATGATGGAATGTCACCAAACTGAGGTGCGATAATTAATAATCCTTGTTAAGGTTCATGAGGAGAACTTCGAGGAGTAGCACTGTTTAAAAGGCAGACATATTTAATACAGCTAGATCACACTTTTCGAGGTCGAAAACGATTCATTCTTATAGTCTTGGTTAAATGACGATGATTGGACTTATTCAGACATTTTTAAGTATTGTAGTCTCAGATATTAGCCCTCGAAGATCAAAGGCCACTTTCTCATTCCGGTAAAACTGTTGATCAAATGGAAAAAGTGCTCGATCCAATATGTTAGCCCATACTAGGGTAGTCTCAAAAATAAGTTTCGGATTATTCTCGACACTAGGGGCTAATCGCGGTCCATTTATTTACGGAATTATGACCGGAGCACTTTGGACATTTTTTTCACCAAAACAAATCTAATTTTCTGTAAGGGCATGAAAATTTGTCAGTAAAATAAAAATTTCATGATCTAAAAATTTATCGTTTCTGAGAAAAAGCGACCTGAAGTTTAAACTTCGAACTTGATTTTCTCGAAAACTACTGATCAGACCAGAAAAAGATAAACATATTTAGACTTTATATTTTTGGCCCTACAAATACACAAAATCTCAACTCTTAACTAAAAAGTCTAATTTTTTGCAGAGTGTCCTTTTAATCTGTTCAGCGCTTCGATTGTTAATTAATAAACTAATTTATTCTATAATATTATTTCAATAGGAAATTTTTTTATCACAATTGTTAAAGAGTTTAGTTAATTTTCTTTGGATAATTTTACTTTTTACTACTGAATGTTTTACTGATCATTGGTTAAAACGAAAGTCTAATTGTTGGTAATTAATTTGTCAGATAAATGAAAGATTATCGAATAATTAAAGATCAGTTTATTAAGATACATTTGCTCTTTTCGTTAATTAATATGATTAATATAAAAGTTGAAACAATTTGTTCAAGGCAATAGTGTCTATTGGATAATTAAAAGTGTAAATTAATTGATGGACGAATCGATGTTTGATTTAATTGTCTCTCAAATATTCTCAGATTGATTATTTGGAGAAAATTCTGAGGATTCATTTGAGCTTTTATCAGAAATTTTGTTGTTGATTTTGACATTTTCTTTTCGTTTCAATAGCATCGAGGATCCTTTGTCTTTTAGCTGCGTATCGATGTCTAAGTTTTTCAATTTCATTTTCCATTTCGAAGTCAAGATTAGTTATTCGTTTAGGAAGCTCTTCGTTGGACAAAAATCTAATAAAATCAAAATCACTTTCTAATAAAATTGATCGAGATAATGGTTGATATTGGGAAGGTTGTTGATGTTGTTGTAGTTGTGGCTGTAGTAGTGGTGGAGATTGAAGGTGAATTTGGTGATTAATTTGTGATGGTGATTGAGGAGCTAAATGAAGCGGAAGTTGAGCTTGTGGTTGGGGCGATGGTTGAAGTTGTTGTTGCAATTGTAATTGTTGCTGTTCTCGATTTCTTTCAAAGTGTTGCATAAAAGAGGGTTTTAATGTCCGATCGTTATAATCGTCGTCCGCTTTATCATTGATAATTAATGTTCCAAGATTTGATTCAACATCGGAAACTGTTGCCATCGTTTTAACTGTCGCTGATTTAGCGTTAACACCTTGACTTGTGTCATTAGCTGTTTCATAAGGTGTCACTTTAAGTGTTTGACTGTTCAAACTTGGAACCATAGTTGATGAATTACAGTCGTTCAAGTTCAATATGAACAATTTAAAGAGACACTGAAACGGCTTAAAGATCAAATGAAACGGATTAGCGACTAAAAAGATTAAGAATATTTTTTAAAATTCAAGTGAAACGTTTTAAAGGTGATCAGAAACAATTTAAAAAGTGTTTCGTTTTCAGTTCATTCAAATTCATTGAAAACCTTCAATTCATGATGATTTGACCACCACAACATTTTTAGATTCATCCAATCATGTTAACAAAGCATTTGCGACAGTCAAATTTCAATTAATTGTAAGAGGTGATTTTCATTGATTTACAAATTTCTTGGACATTAGCTGGTTCTATACAAATCTCATAGAGAAAATGAAATACTTTTTAAATTGTTTCTGATCACCTTTAAAACGTTTCACTTGAATTTTAAAAAATATTCTTAATCTTTTTAGTCGCTAATCCGTTTCATTTGATCTTTAAGCCGTTTCAGTGTCTTTTTAAATTGTTCATATTGAACTTGAACGATTGTAATATCTTCATCTCCGATCCAACCTTGTTTAAATTGCTCTTTTTGAATCATATTGGCTTCTTGTATCATATGGATTAATGTGCTAACCGGTAAAGCTTTATTAATAAACTCGTGCTGAAGTAAACTACTTGCTGAGGCTCGATGTTCTGGATTTTTTACCAAACAACGTGAAACAAAATCAATAAATTCAGTTGACCAACGATCAGGGTCACGAAAAGACGGCGGCGGTTTAGTTGGGATCATGAAAATGGCTCTCATCGGATGAATATCTCCATAAGGTGGTTTACCTTCAGCCATTTCAAGAGCTGTCACTCCAAGTGACCAAATATCAGCTAAACAATCATAACCAATCTCTTGGATAACCTCAGGTGCCATCCAAAATGGTGTCCCAATTACGGTGTTACGCTTAGCCATTGTATCGGTAAGTTGACCTGCTACACCGAAATCGGCTAACTTGGCATGTCCTTCGCTGTTTAAAAGGATATTACCTGCTTTTATATCTCGATGAATCTTACGACGAGCATGAAGATACTCTAAACCAAGAAGAGTGTCTTTCAATATGGTGGCGATTTCTTCCTCTGAAAGAGTTTTCTTTCTCAATCTCATTATATCGCTTACACTTCCACCTCCACAATACTCCATCACAATCCATAGATCACTTCCTTGGCTTTTACCTTTGAAATAACTTCCATAGTATTTTACCACATAAGGTGAATCACATTGTTGCATGATAAATATTTCTTTAATTATCTCTCCAAGATCACTTTCAACAGGCACTTGTTTGATTGCTAAAACTTGTCCAGATTCCTTGTGTAGAGCTTTGTAAACTGCTCCATATGAACCTTCACCTAATTTACAAATTATATCGAAAACTTCCTCGGGTGGACGAGTTAAAGCTTCTTCACTCAATTTACCAAGGGTACCCATTTGATAAACAAAATTAATTATTCCCCATTGGATCTCTGGTTAATTGGTACAATCACAAATAAACGTTTACATCAACAGTTAAATGCAAATTGGGTTTTGCTTTGTTTTACAAAGGCCACACAGTTAATAACGATCGATGGGAATGATTCCGAAACAGCACATTGTCCCTTTACGATAGAAGATCAAATAATTTGATTTACATTTAATTCTGCGAATCAAATTATCGTCGGTTAATTAAAACACTAAAAAAAGTGAAAATCAATTTTTGTCGTTTTGTAAACAAATCACCGAGATGTTTTTTAAGAAAACATTTATTTTCTCACTTTGATCTAAATTTTATCAGTTTAATTAATAGAATTGTTGACAATTAATTAATCTCTCGAATAGAATAAAAGAAAAATTTACTTTTAGATTTAGAATTAAGAGTCAATTAAATTATCGGTCAATTGTTGTTGTTGTTTTAAAGAGAAAGCAACAAGTCCGAGAAAAAGAAAGTAAAAGAAAGAGAAAGAAAAGAACAAGAGAAAAGCGGCAAATTTGAAAAGGAGAATTTCAATTTAATTTTTTAATTTGATTGGAATTTACATTTTAATTATAACGAGAGAGGTAAAAATAGGCGAAAACGAGATTCTTTAAAAAGAGGGAATGAAAAGGAATGCACAATTATTTCAGATAATTAATCTGAGATTTTAAGTTTAAATGATAAAAAGTTGAGAGAGAGAAAAGTTATCAAAATGAGAAAAATTGTCAAGTAGATTGTTGAATAAAATAGTTAACAAGATTAATCAAATTAACCTATTTTGGGAAGATTTGCACGATAATCAAAGGCACATAGGTTACGAAAAAAAAGAGTTTACGATTTAAATTAAACAGAATTGGTAAGAAATTAGGAAAAATTAAGAAATGAGATTATCAAGAAAAAAGATGAAAAAGAAAATCGATCAAGATGATAATTCACATGAATGTATTGTCTTCCATGTCATCGGCTGTTTTTGGAATTGAACTTGATCGAGTTTGGAATAGTTCACGAATTAGAGCGGATTTTTCTCTCTCTAAAATGGTTATTTTATCACTCTTCATACTAACCTCTTCGGTTAATAAACGATTCTGTTCCTTGAGTCGTTGAACAGTTACATTGGTTGACGATTCATTTGATCGACCATCAAGATATTGAGGTCGAACAAGATTATTAGAGGTGTTGGTTAAAAGTGGCCTTAAAGCGAGATTCATGTGAACCGGAAAACCTCTTAAATTATCCATGAGGGCAGCCAAGTGTTGATTAACTGTCAATATACGGGTTGCCTGGAAATTGATTCTCTCTTGATTAGCGTCTAATGAATAATCACCCGGATTGACAATTGTTTGTCCAATAAAACGAATCTTATTTTGAATATTATTGATACTTTTAATGTACCAATCTCGACCTCTCTCAACCATTTCCAATCCTTGGAGGAGAATCTCCTTCTCTTGTTCATATTGCTGAAGTCGTTTAATTGTGTTTATATCGATACCCGTTGTAATTGTATGACGACGAGCTTCACGTCGTTTACCATGACGAGTTCGAGCTGAAATGTTACTTGGTAAACCAAAATTTGAACTGAATCCCCAATCGTCATCATCTTGTAAAATTTTGGGTTGGGTTGTCAGAGATGTTGAACCAACGACATTATTATTATTGTTGCTGTGAGCCGATGTTGATGGTGCACTTTTGTCAAGAGTTGAAGTTATATTAGAGGCTAAATTGGGTGCGATTGAGGTTCCAGGGCCAAGAGCTATTGACGGAGGTAAGGGTGGATTTTTAGATCTATGGATGGCATTATTTTTCCATTCTTTAAGAATGTTGATAATTCGGTTTCTCATTGGTACTCGTTGATTTTTAGCATCATAACCAATCTTTGCTTCACTATTGTATTGTCTAAAAGCTGTTGAACCAACAATTGGTAAATTTGTTTCTGATGATGTTCCTGGTTGATCAAAGTTAATTGCATGTGGACGATTTTCCCTTAATTGTGGCATGCTAACAACACGATGATCAGATCTAAAATCTGAGGGACGATTTGGTAAAACTTCATCATTGCAAATATCTTCACAAGATGATGTTTTACCTGTTGGAGTTGGTGTTGGTGTTAGTGTTGTTGTTGTTGTTGTCGTCGTCGTTGTTGTTGTTGTTGTTGTTGTCGTTGCCTTTGCTGATGAAGTGTTTGTCGTAAATGTTGTAACTCCTGAGGGTATAAATGAGGTTGTGAATGCTGAAGATGATGAGGGTTTCAAGGTTGTTGATACATTTTCCGCTGACAAATGATAACCTGTAAAAGGTTGATACAACAATTCTTGGGGTCTAAGATTTATTGATTCGTCAATGGTACTACTATTTCTCATCATCTCAGAACTTGAGTTTATCCTTTCAAGTCCAGATCTTGGTCCTACAATTTCATGATTAGAATTAATTGTTGATGATCCAAGAATTTCGGCTGTTGATGTTCCCGGGTTACCTGCCGCGCCTTTCAGCTCATTGTTAATAGATGTTGATATTGATGAGGTATAAGCTGCAGTAGTTGTTGTGGTAATGGTTAAAGATGATGAAGGAGATGATGATGAAAATGAACCTGGATGATGATGATGATGATGAGGAGACGATGGTGAAGGTTGATTTGAAGTTGTGTCACGAGAAATACAAACAGCAATTGCATGACAAAATCCATCAAAATCAATACAATCATGAGAAGTTTGAAAAGAGTGAAAACATTCAATTAAACCTTGTGGCACATTAGATTCATTTTCAATGGTTTTCCATCTCATCTCTAATTCAGATAATTTGATAAAACCTAATTTAGATTCATCAAGCAGAGAGAAAAGTGACCTCAAGGCATCAACAAATTTCCGAGGTAATCCATTGGTACCATTAAATTGTAAATTGACATCATCATCATTATTATTATTATTATTTTTACTATTTGTTAAAACTTCTTTACCCAAATTGACAGTTGCTGTTGAAACTTGCTGCTGGTCAAAGGTTTCATTTGATCTGTTGGTCATTTTGCTTTCACCAGTCAACACAGGTTTCAATTCATTACCTTCATGATACTTCATGATGACGATGATAATTTCCTATTGACCGAGAAAAAAACAACAAATTCACCAAAATAGTAAAACAGTGAGAGTCAATCAAAGAGAACCAAGTTAAAATAAAAAAGAATCATAATTAACCAGGCAAATGTTACAAGAGAAAAACTAGAAAAGAATAGAATAAAAAAGAAAAAAGAACAAAAAATTACAAAGAGAAAAAGAAAAAGAAAGAGAAAAAGTGAGAGAAAAGAAAGAGAAAAGTGAGTTGAATGGAGAAGGCATGAAAATGGTTATTCGCTTTGTGGATGTGGTCGAGTGACTTTCTTACCTTGAGGCTTTTTGGCTGTTTATTTGAAATTTAATTCTAACAAAATGTTACCTCAGTTTACGTTCCATTGATTAACATTAATTGGTTACATTTAATTAAAAGAATTACAGTAATTAACTGAAACAAGAGATTTATGTGATTGTCACAACAACAAGAGAAAAGGTAATCAAAGAGTTTCAACTTTTCGCGGTTTTTTCATTTTCTATTCTAATTGATCTTGGAATTGGATCAGTTTGGATCTTAATCTTGTTTCGTTTTGTTTTTCTCTCACCGGTTCTTTAATTTTGACAATTTTTCTCTTCGCAATTGTTGGTTAATTGTTATAGATTTTTAATTGTTTTCTGTTATTTATGTTTAATGGTTTTGGTTGATTTTCGTTGGAATTAGATTTTGGCTTCTTGGTGTTTTATTTACTCTTCTCTTTGGTTATGTTGTTCATGTTAGTCTTTTTTCTGTGATTTTTTTCTTCATTGTAATTGATTTATTTGTCTTTGTTTATTTTTATCTCTTTGGGTAATTAAGTATTAAAGAGAGAGAGAGTGTTTTATGTTAACTTATCGGTTGATTGATTGATTGGAGATCAAAGTTTAGATGAAATAATTTGATTGATACCATTTCAAGGTAAGTACTTTGTTTCCAATTTGTTGTTTGGTCTTTTTATTATTGTTTTTTTTTTCCTTTTTATTTTTTTAGGTTTTTCTCTTCTGGTTAATAATAAAGTAAACGTTCATTCAGAAAATTGATTATCGCTCAATTTTTTGTGGTGGATTAACTAAATGGAAAAGAAGATTAGTTTTAGCTTCAAGAGGAAGCCTGATACCCGAGGATTTGTTAAGCCTAAGGAAGAGGTGAAAAAAACTACCGAAGAATATGTAACAAGTATTGAAGGAAGAAGGATTGAAAGTTTAGGAGGTGGTGGTGGTGGAGAAGGTAGTTCATCTTCACAGTTAGTGATTCCATTAACAAAAGGACAAAAAATCTCTGATGAGCCCAATAATTATGACGATATTCCCGTTGAAGGATTTGGAGTTGCTATGCTTCGTGGTATGGGCTGGACAGAAAATGATGATCAGATAAAACCAATTGAAACTTATATTCGGCCCAAAGGAGCTGGTCTAGGCTCTACACTGAGTCGTAAATAGATTCATGTAAAATGTCAATATCTGTGATTCCGGTTTGTGATCATACTGTTGATCTGCCATGGGAAACGAAAAAGCCAAAACAAATTCATTCATTTATATAATCCAAAGGAATTTTTTTTCTTCTACCGATGAATCAATTTCATGGATCAAAATGACAATGATCAAATTCACTTAGAGGGGACAACATAAGCCAAGAATATTATTCACTAAATCAATATTTGCTTACACCTTAAAATCAGTTGGATTGATTGTATTCCATTAATTTTGATAATATGCTCTTCAAAACAAAGCCCAGTGACATCTTCTTGGCTGACGACCAGAGGAGAAAAAAGAAGAAGAAAAAAATTCTCAATCTATCTAACTAACAATCTATGTGTTGGGTAAACAATCTTAATCATTAAAAAAAACCTCCAACTTCTCATTTTAATGATTATTTTGAGAGTCTTCATCACTCTTGCTCTTCAATCCCTAAAGATTTAATCAACTTGAATACATGGATTCTCAAGAGTAGAAGAGACTGAGATTTTCCTTGGTTTTTACTCTCTCTCTCTCTCTCTCTCTCATTCTCTCTTTCCATTTATGGATCATATTATAATTAATGAAGTTTATTCCGTTTCTGTTTCCAGATATAATTTTTAATTTAAATGATTTGGTTTACACATTGAGAGAGAAAAACAAAAAAAAGGATGCAGAGGAAATAGAAGCCAAGAAGGAAGGAGAAATCGAGAAAAAAAATGGAGGAAAAATGAGACTTGGAGATTAAGAAAATAATATTCTTCCTAATCAATGTCGATTAAACATCGAATCATATTCAAATTAGATGATGAATCTAATTTTCTATTGTTTTTTAAGGATCAAATTTAATTTACTTCTTATTTTGATGTTGATTGTATATTCCAAGATTGTTGCTAATCTCCTTTTTCCAAAATGATGTTAATTATTTTGTCGTGTTTTTATCACGTTTTGTTAATTGTTGGTGAATATTTTCTGTTTTAAATATGGAAAGAAAACAAAATGATTATCAGATAATTAATCTTTCTTATTTTTTTTCTGATGATTATAATCAATTGGAAGGTTATAGAACTTTAATTATGATAATTGTGAATGGACTTTGATTTCTTGTGACTTTCATTAGGTGAGAAAGTCCTTTAAATAAAGTAGATTAAGAGGATGAAGATGATTAAAATTAAAGATTATAATTAAACTCTGGATAAATCACTCAACCTGAAAAGATGCTTAGGTTTATATGTGATTACTCCGGAATCACAGTTAGTTGATTATCAACAATTAACGGTACAAATGGAAAAGGAAACTTTCTCTTAGCTAATTAATCTGAACGCTGAACACAAAGACGATTATCTTGTAAATGGATTTGCGAAAATTGGACTTACCGTTTTAATTTTACATATTAAATGCACAATAATTTAATTCTTTTAATTGTTGTAGTTAATTTTATCGTTAAGTGTGACACCTTGTTCGACATTCTTCCAATGAATCAAATCGATTGGCATTACCCTCGCAACCTCCGTACACGAATGATAAACAGTCTCGACTCGATGGAGCGTAATAATAGACGAGATAGTTACCACCACATCGACCTCGAACGGGAGGTAATCGGCAAATGTCTTGAGCTGGCCAACACTTTACTTCGCACTTTACGAGAAGGGAATCTGTTACCATTTCCACCGGAACCGGTGTAATAAAAGGTCTTACAAACACCGTCCATGGGATCGTAATACCAAGTGATCGAAGAGTCTGAACCGGAACCGGGATCTTTGGGTAAGATGCACGATAGAAGAGGGAAATTTTCATTTTTCTCATTTGATGGATATTGATTGTAATTTGGTACATCAGGCCAAGTTCTTGGGGGTTGTACAGGCCGTTCCATTGGTGTTTCAGGCCAATTAGATGAAGGTGATGAAAGTGAGGGTGAAGGTGATGATGTTGATGGAGGTGAGATAACTTGGGGTGGGTAAGATGGTGGTGAAGGTGAAACGGATTGTGAGGCTATTCCACGAGTTATATGATGACCACAAGCGGATAAACATTCACTTTCAGAGCGGAAATTGTTGGCAGAACCACCGCAACCCAAGTAATAGAAACGAGCACATGAATGTGTTTCCAGATCAAAACTCCAACGAAGTTCAACCGTTCGATTTCCCGAACAAGGTAAACCTCTATCTTGACCTATTGTACATTGATCGATTCCGGGTGTAGGTAAAGGTGGACCAGGTCGAATTGGATAATAAGGCTGAACGGGTGAGAATGATTGAGATTGTGATACAGTCACTCCACAGCGATTTTCACACTCTTCCTGAGAATTGAAACTGTTATCATTTCCACCGCAACCTCGATATTCAAAGGGTACACATCGTTTATATAAATCGTTATGCCACCATTTTGTTATTCGTTCATCACATTCACCGTTACCAGTTGATACTGGTAATTTACAGATATCGACAATTGGTTGACTAATTGGTACTGAGGGTTGATTATAAGGTATCGATGGGTAAGGTAGTTCTGGATATTGAGGTCTCGAAATGATTGGACGTTTAGTTGAGTTACACATTTGCTCGCAATCAGTTTTGGACACAAATCGATTGTGATTACCTTCACATCCCGTATAGATAAATTCCCGACACTCTTGGGTAACAGCGTCAAAGAACCAACGTGGATAACGACCAAGACATTTACCTTCCGATCGAGGAAGATAACATAAAGTTTCCGGTTCCTCTTTTTTCACCACGGCACATTTTCTTTGACAATCTTCAATGGTACCGAAATTGTTTTGATTACCTCCACATCCACCCCAGTCAAAGGATTGACATGAATCGGCTTGTTTATTGTAATAATATCGAGACTGTTTTCGGGTACAATGACCACGATCCATTGGTTGGTCACATCGATCAAGGGTCTCAGGGTGAAGGCAAAAAGCTTCACACTCTGATCGAGTGTTGAAATTGTTCTTGTTACCCAGACAACCCGAATATTGGAAAGTTTCACATGATCGTGTTTCCGGATTAAAGTGATACTTTGTTATATTTAATCCGCAGGCACCAAACACCGCAGGTAGCGCACATCGTAAATAACCATCCGGATTAACACAAATCTTTTCACACTCTTCTTCTGATTGGAATCTATTGGCATTACCATCACAACCACCGTACCAGAATCGTACACAACCTCCATAAGATTGATCATAATACCTGAACAATTAGATGAGAATTGATTCATTTCGATTAATATGAATTTAGAATTGTTTTTTTTTCTCTCATTATTTACCATTTAATTGTGAAGTTTCGACATGGACCTCGTTCCCTTGTTAGTTTACATGCTTCCGGTGCTCGATTAATGTCCAAACTTGGTCCACCAGGACAACCCTCGAAGTTGGGACCAAGGGCAACGGTGGTATAGTCAGGACAACAATGCCATGGGGCTTTAGTACAATCACAACCAGCGTAATTTGGTCCTAAATTGAGTAAAACAGAAAAGTTAAAAATGTATATCATCTAACAATCAGTAAAACATTGAGCAATTTATTGTTCAAAAATCGGAATTAAAAAGTTTTTTTAGATAATATATGAATGAAAATGGTCACAATTATCTCGGTGTCTCTTTCTGATTTTAAATCAATGTTAATCTGCACAGAGAATAAGACAATTTGTCAATAGTTAATTGTCTCTAAATTGTAGTTAACTAATCGTTGTATTAACTTACCAGTTGCTGGAGTTACACCATCGAAACAACAACCATGAGTTAGTGTTTCACATGGACACCCTTCGTTGTTTGGTCCTTTCGCTGGTGTCTTTTGATCTGGACAACACCCTTGGGGTAAAGTGCGACAAGGGCAACCAGAGTAATTAGGACCAACGGCTGTCGTTTGATTATCGGGGCAACATCCAAATGGAGTTGAATTACAGCCACAACCAAATTGATTTGGTCCACGAGCCGGTGTTAGACCATCAGCACAGCAGCCATACAACATTCTTGAGCAAACACAACCTTCGTACTCAGGTCCAGTGGCCTTAGTGTAATCATCTTGACAACACTTGAATGGAAAGGTATTACATGAACATCCCTCATGGTTAAGTCCAGTCGCAAGGGTTTTATTATCAGGGCAGCAACCAAATTCTGAACCCGAACAAGTACAATCATCAAGTTCCGATTTTCGAGAATTCAACCCATCGGGACAACAACCGAACGTTGTACTATTACACAGAGTCGTTGGTTCCTTAGTTACTGGTGAACAAACTGTACCATTATTTGGTCCATCGGTACAAGCTACCGAACTGGGTTTAGCCTTGGAGGGTTTTGTACATGAGCTAATCGTAGTATTACTTGAATCACCTCCGTCGCCTGATCCTTCAACTTCAAGGCAAATTTCACCCGCACCAGAACCTTCAACCTCATCGGTATCTCCAGGTCCAGGGGTTGGTTTGATTGGACAATTGGTACGATTAACACCCGCCTCGGTTATATTGTCATCGCAACAACCAAAGGGAACGGACAAACATTTGGGTGGACAGTTGAGCCCAGTCTCATTAGTTTTCGGCGTCTTATTGTCAAAACAACAACCATGTAAAGTATAGTTACAATTAACTGGACACCCGAACTTGAAAGGTCCATAAGCAGGTCGTGCTCCATCCCAACAACAGCCAAAGGTTGAGGTCAAACAAGCAGCCGGTGGTAATTGGTCAGTTTTAATCGTTTCCGTTGTATTGCCTGTTGACGTATCGTTGGAATCACGAGTAACCTCAATGGAGGACATTGTTGTTATGATCTCGACATTCGATATTTCGGTTTTATTGTTTTCTTCAGTTTCTTTGTAACAATTTGAGAAATCTAATTTTCGAGGTGTTACTTGATCAGGACAACAACCAAATTGACTGGAACAACAATCGATTGCAGCGGTTGAACTTGAATTGGCAGCGGGTGGCGATTCTGGTGGGACATCGGAAACATCCGTTGTTGGCTCTTCAACTACTCCTGGTTTAACCCAATCACAGGTACGATTAACTGTTAACAATGTTAATTGTGTCAATTGTACCGCTGGTGTTGATTGGGTAACATTGGTTGTCTCATTGGTTTCACTAAGAGTCTCATTAAGTGTTAATGTTTCATTGGTTGACAAAATTTCAGTGACGTTATTATTGACTGTTACTTGCTCTGTTGTTGGTGCTGATGTTGGTGTTGAGGTCGATGTAGTAGCGTTACATTGTGCCAGCGGTAGTTTACTAGCAGTTGAATTGTTTGGATCTAAGCAAAGGATTGTCCTCTCTTCTTTACCACATTGACATGGACCCCATGGGCCATAGTAAAGTGTGGCCTTACATTGAACGGGTGCTCGACATGTTCTTACCGTTATTGGTTTACTTTGTCCTTCGCATTTACTTTCGTCTACTTTGATTGAATCATCGTCAAATAATCCGCACACAACATGACGAGTCTGAAGGCCACGTCCACATGACGCTGAGCACGATGTCCAATCAGAGGTAAACCAAGTGTAATTACAGCCTGGATTGTTTGTACAATTACGAGTATCGGCTGGTTTTCGTTCAAGTCCACAAACACTTTCATCGTAAACTGATCCCTCACTACTAACACAAAGGACACTTCTTGTTGAAATCAATGGACCACAAGGGATATCACAACTTGACCATTCGGACGTTACCCAATCGACTCCACCTTCACATGGGATAGAAGCACAAACACCTTCTGATTCTGGTCTTTTATCGGGTGGACACAGACTATCATGTACTCGAGTACCATTCATATTAACACATTGAACTTCACGAGAGTGTTTACCTTGACCACAACGAGAGGAACATTTTGACCATTCAGTTGTGTTCCATTTATATTCAATCGGTGGATCAGTTTGATTACCAGCGATAGCAGATAATTCATAACAATCATTTGGTGGACAAGAAGCAACTGTACTTGGCCTTGGTTCATTACCACAAACGGAATCATCAAGAACCAATCGTTGACCAGAACCACGAATCTCTTCACAAAATACAGCACGTGTTTTAATTCCAGGACAAATACATTCCGACCAATTACCCTTATGATAAGCAGGTAAACAATCAACTTGATTACAAGATCGACTTAGCTGAGGTAAAATTTCCCGTTTACAAAATTCGATTGGTACAAATTCACCGGTCTTTAGACGTACACAACGAGCGGGCCTAATTTGAACACCAGAACCACAAGATCGTGAACACGGGCCATAAGGTCCAAGCATATATTGGTATGCATCGGGTGGAGCCCAAATTGACGGAACTGGAACATCTGAAGGAACTGAATACTCATACTCGATTCCCGGTGTACTCTCTTGATAAACCATTTGAATGTATAATGGACTTCGAAGTGGCCCCAAAGCGTACAAACTTTCCGCAATGGCTCCAGTAGGTGAAGAGGTTGGTCTTTTACCATATTCAAAGCGAGTACCACCCGCTTCAAAGTCCGTAAAGGTTATTTCAAATGTCCAATGTCCATTGAGATAATATCGTCCACTTGAATCACGAACAGCTAAGAAATTACGGCTTGGTCCAAGTTCGTTGATTCTAATGTAAGTCGCTCCTCGAGGGATAAGAACAATATCTTGATAGCCTGCGGGTAAATTTTCCGAAAAAGTGTCTCGAACTGTATTACAATCTTTTCCCTCTCCACCACAAACTCGACATTTATCTTCCTCTTTAGGTGAACCCAAGAGACCATCACAACCCACAGGTAAACAATTTCCAGCCACACAAACACCCGAAACCCAGTCCATTTCTCGTAAGCATCTTGTCCCATCAATAACTCTTTCCATTAATTTCTGTTTCAATCACAATTTGAGTAACATAATAATTAGTTAATTTTTATACCTCGAGAAAAAAAACCAATTAGTTAATCTATTTTACTTACTGTGTACCAAGTTCCATTTTTAGGTTTACAATTTAAAGTACAAAGATCGTCATCTGACCTTCGATCAGTTGATCGGCTTGTATATGGTTCCCATTCAATGTTTTCCAATTTTCCGGTTGCCAATGGAATCGATTGATTATTAAACATTGAACATTGTTGAGCACGAAAATCAATCAATTCCTGACAAGGTTGAATATTACACGAATAGTATCGTGTATCTGGACCAACGCAACTTGACCTTCCATTAAGATCAATATCGGTACAATAGCGTTTTTGACTTCTTACTCCACCTCCACAAGGACGGGAACATCTACTTGGCTCAGACCACGGAGACCATGGGCCAGATTCAATTTGTGCCGTAGTATTTTCACCGAGAATAAAATTCGAGGGGATATTAAAATCGACTCTATGAAGGCCAAAATTGCGATAACTTCGAGTAAACCGAGTTCGACGAAAATTAATTTCATCGAGATGATTTTTACTCAATTCACCAATCTCATCAACATCATCTCGAATTGGATAAAGTATCGGTTGAGATACTTGAAATGAACTTGTTAACGATTTAATTGAAGGTAAATATGAAGATAATGATGATAAAGATGATGATGATGAGTCTCCACCGGCTAAATTAACTGATGATGATGCTGACGAATGGGATGAGGATAAAGATGAAGATGAAATTGAAGGATTGGTTCCGGGTAACCATGATGAGATGATAAATATAATATTAAATATCCAAAGATGATGGAGTAACATTTAATTACTTTTAAATTAATAACAATTTACTTAGAGAATTAGAAATTGGTTGAAAAAAAAGAATAATTAATTTACGATGATAAAGGATTAACTGATTATCCGTTTCATTGGATGAAGATACACAGGAGAGAGAGAGATCGGGTTAGTATTTAGGAAGATGAAATAAGAAGAAAAAAGTTTTTCTTTTTTTCTTCTTCTCTTTTTTTTTAAAGAGAGAAAACTTTTTTTTCTTCTTATATTTTAGATCCCAGAGAGAAAGTGATCAACACACTGATTAATTTATCGACAGTAGCAATAGTTTTTTGTTGTTCTCTGGTGATAATTGCGATGATGAAGATGATGAGGATGAGGATGATGATCAAACAGGGAGACAACGGATAATTGAAGATGATAAACAGTAATGGTTAGTTAATCATAGTCGAACAGGAGGAGAGAAGAGGATGAGGAGAAAATGTTTATGATAAAAGAGAGATGGAGAAAATAATCTTGAGACAAAAAGAAGAAGAAGAGAGAGACAGAGAGATGAGGGAGTGGGAGGAAGATGAAGGAGGAAGGGTGGGATGAAGGGCACTTTTACCACAGCATCATCTTCATCTTCATCTTCATCTTCTTCATCATTATCATCATCAACCTCCTAACATAATCTTAATTCATATCTTGGACTCTTCTTACTTTCTCCCTCCCTCTTTTCTCTCTCATCATCATCTCCTCTCTTTCAGCATCTCTCGTCTTTTTTTCCTAATTTTCTCGAGCATTTCTCTCTCTCTCTCTCTCTCTCTCTCTCTTCATCATCATCTTAGCTCTCTGTGTGGCAGATAACGAAAAGTGGATGAAGTGTACATTGTTTGAATGAAAGAGGAGAAGATGATGAGATGTCAAAGAGATGGAAGATGATAAAATATCTGAAAGCAACGTGAAGATAAAAAGATGAAGATGAAAAAAAGGTCGTCTTCTTGACCTTCTTCCTCTTTCTTTTTTAGTACATTTCTTTGGACGAATGTGATATCGACGATTACCAGCCCATTTCCGTTTCTTTTCAGAAAAAAAAACAGGAACTTAAATAGTAATAAACATTAGAAATCACTAAATTTAAGTTTACAATCAAAATCTGAGAGAAGAAAAAAAAACCAATCACAACAATCAAATGAATTTTTCCAATAGTTTAAAGTCTTAATTGCGACAATCAACTAAACCAATCAATGTTGACGAATCTACTTCTCTTGTTCAACTTTGATTGTGATCATTTTGTGAGAAATTGAATTTAACTTTACTATTAATAAATCATTGATTAAATTGTCATTTTTACCTTTTACATGATTGATTAATCATCTGATATGATTTAAAGTGGTTAATTACATAATGTATATGATAGTTAATTGTAACTGTTGTTAATTGGCCCGGGCGATCATCATTTAGAGAGCCAGATTAAACCGGGTAAAGATAAAATTGATTAATTGTATTAGGTTAATATCAATGATTAACTTTGGTAAACCTCTTGAATTTTAATCAGCAACAATTTAATTAATATAAGATTAGTTAGTTAGTAATTAGCGAGAAAAAAAATTGTTGCTTTTTATTATTAACCTGAAGATAACAAACAATCAATTGAAAGTAATCAAAATACATCAGGCCAACAATTAATTGTACTATCAAGATAATTAACAATTTAACAAGTTCAACAATCAAATGAAATTAACTTAGGCCTAACAAGTAATGATTAATTGTTCAAACAACTTATTCACAATTTGATAAACAATCAAGTATAATATTTGTACAAATCCAATTACAATTAACTAATCATAGATTAAGAGTAACTTGTAATTTTATCAATCGGATTAGGTAAATTTGACACAATCAAATTAATGTTTTGAATTTGAAAGTTTTATTAATACAATTAAATGTCTCGAGGAATCAGTTAATCATTTTGTTATTGTTATTGGGAAGGAATCAAATTCATCTTTATTAATCAGGTTAACCTAATTATGATATTTGAATTGTTTACGTCAATATCTCTGATTAATTAGTTAATTGTTGAGGAAGAAGAGGAAAATTGTTGCTTCTTTTTTTTGTTTCAAGAGGCTTTTTGATTATTAGCTATTAGAATTGATAAAATTAACCTCGTTCTCTATCAGTTAATTATTGATTCTCGCAGTGATTTAGATTGTAATCATAAAGAAAGTGAAGTGATTAAGTGTTACAATTAATTGATTTTAAAATAATTTCCATTTCAAGAGTTATAAATAACCATTAATATTGTGGTGACTTTTTCGGTATTAATGTTTTCCTTTCACTCTTATTGATAAATTAAGAGATTTAATTGGATTGGTAACAATTAAATATGAGTATTAAAGTCAATTCTCTCTCCACAATTAAAATGTAATTAAACTTGGAGATGATAATGATGACGGTAAAGTCGGTTTACATTTCCTTGATTCTTTTTGTTTGTATTTGGTTTTCCTTCAATTAGTATGTCGATATTGTTGTTGTTTCCATCCATAGATACTCCATATACTTGTCAATGATATTTCCAAGATAATTTATCACAATTTACTGGATTAACTAATTGAACGGTAAATTGTTTTCTCCTCATCTAAGTTAATCAACAGAGAACGAGAGAGAAAAACAAGAAACAGAAAGAGAAAAAAAAACAAAATTCTATTCGAATAGAAGAGAGAAACAATTAAATACAAACAAAGTGATTAAAGAATATTAATGGAATCTAAATTTTCCTTTGATAAAAGAATCAAATCAATAGAAGAATACAATTAATTAGGAACAATTAGAAAAGATCAACAATCACAAACAATCAAATGAAAATATCCCAAGAAATTGTTGTTATCCAATGAAAGAAAAACAATTTACTTGGTTTGTTTTTCATTCCAAGGAAAATTTTTTACCCTTTAGGAGACACACAAATAACAATAATAATCAAATATTCTACAATTTTAATTAGAAGAAGAACAATTTATCTAATTAATTTAGAAAGGAAATTATTTTATTCTCGATCAATTTTATCAAAAGAAAATGTTGATCTATTTTGACTGGAATTTTAGTAAGAATAGCAAACCAATTCTCTCAATTTTTTGTTCTTTCTGTTGATTGTTTAACATTTTTCTTTCTTTTCTTTCTTTTTACATTTTCTAAATTGTTTATTAATCTCCAATCGAATTAAATATTTTCCTCGTTAATCGTTAATCTTCTAATCTCATCCGAAGTTAAATGAGTGACAATTTGTTTCATTTTCCTTCAATTTCTAAATCACAAACAAAAGGTAAGACAATTGATTCAGTTGGAATGGAAATTATTTCTCTCTTTGGTTCTCTCTCTTTTTCTATTCTCTTTCTTTTTCTCTTCCTCCCTCTTTCTCTCTTTCTTTTTTCTCTCTCTTTTTCTCTCAATTTTCTCCTACTCATTTCTCTCTATCTCTATCTACTATTAGTATTCATTTTCTTCCTTCAATTCAATAATAATATCATTTAGTCATTTTCTCTCCATTTACTCTGCTCTTATATTCTCAATGTTATCTCTCACTTTATCCTCTTCCATCTTTATCTCTCTTATTATTATTATTGTTCACTTTTTACTCCTTTTTGTTTTCTTTTTCATTACAGAATAAAAAATCGCCCCATGTATGTGTGACAATCATGAATTTCCTGAATGTGCCTGACAGTTAATTGTTATCTCCTGTTGTAAAAATCTATTCGTCATTGGTATTTATATTCACTGAATCATCAGAAGAAGAAGATAATAACAACGTTTCTATAAAGGAAAAAAAAATATTTTCGACTCCATGACAACGTTTCACTTTGAAGGAATGTCAATTTAGAAAATGGAATTATAATATTTTATAGAATTGATAGATTGGAGCTGAAACACTATTACTATTACATCATCTATCAATCTATTTATTTAACAGAACAAAAATTTACTGGTAATTACGATCATCTATTGGTTAATATAAAACAATTGGCTTTAATTTACATTTGAAATTCATTATGAGCTGGGACAAGATTACTTTCATCTGTCGTGATGGTTGTATAACTGGTAATCGTTTCATTCTTACCAATTATTCACGTTTACTTGGTGAAGCTCTGGATTCTTATCGATCAAAAGTTTCAATATCCAGTAATCATAAACCCGCTGTTCATTTGAAAAACAATTCAACCCGTGACCTAAGGTGCCTTTTCCATGTGCTTTATTCATTAACTTATGCTGAAGTTAGTAATCCAAGATTAACTGGACTTCAAAATGTTGCCCGTTTATTGGATGTTGAATTAACGTTAAGAAATGGACGAAATGGTTTTATTAGAGTTATGGCTTCACCTGTGCCTTATCGTGATCCACTCAACGGCGGTGTCGGTGCTATTGGTGTAATATCATCAGCTGCTGCTATAGCCGCTACTTCAGCTGTTTCCAGACCACCTTCTCCCCTTTCTCCTCCCTTAAACAGTAGCAATAGCAGTAAAAATGGTAACAAAAACACCAATAACAATAATAATGATCGAAATGATAACAACAATAACCTAAGAAATGCTGGAAATAAAAATGGCCCTGTTATTATAATCAACAGTAAATCGGTGATTGTCAAACCTGGTGAAAAAAATGTAACATCAAGAGATCCGAGGTCTGATGCAAACAAGAAACGTCGAGTTGATCAAGCATCTCAGAAAAATTCATCAATCGCCAATGATGGTACTCAAACTGATCCCGAAATTGAATTGGATTTTTCCGTTGACGATGAGATGGATGAAAAACCTTTAATAAGTGACAATCGGCGTTACAGTGTTGATCTAAATGATAATGAGATGGATCTAGATGGATATGGGTCTTCATTTGCTGAAAATAATCCCGATTTTCATCATAATAGTATTTCCCATCATGATATCAATTATAATGATGTTTCCTATGAAATGTGTCCTTCCAAGTTACGTAAAAATGGACCCGGTGCAGGACTTTATAGTACCAAAAAATATTACACAAAAACGGCAAACAAAGATGAATATACGTGCAATCTTTGTCACTATATTGCTAATTGTTGGACATCAATTAAAGCTCATATTGAGACGCAACACTATCATCTTGAATTCCGTTGTAAACGTTGCTCTTACGTTTCCGTTTGGAGAGCAGATATTGTTAAACATATTCGAAATTTTCACAAATCTCGATCAAGTTCTGAAGACACTTATATTACTCGACAAAGAAAAGAGTTTTCCGGCGAAGCTGATATAAATCCTCAGCCTTCTAACGATTCAGAGGTTCGTAAATTAACCTGCAATCACTACGATAATTAACTCTATCGATAATTTATAATCTTTTACAATTTTTCTGTTCCTCATTCAGAGATCAATGGAAATTATCAATCCATTAAATGGAAACGATATTAAAATTGAGCAACCCGATGAAGAGGATATACCATCAGTTTTACAACAAGATCTCATGGAAGAAGATGAGGATGAGCTTGAAGAAGATGAAGATTTAAGAGAACCATTAATTGAAGGAAACAATAGTCTATCTTCTAGCCCAGTTAAGCCTTTCGAGAGATTATCATCTCGAATCCCTGATATAAACAAAGATTGTTACGAAGTTGTAAGAGTGGGTAACAAGAAAGTCTACAAATGTCTCTCTTGTGCCAAAGAGTGTAAAACCTATTGTGGTATAAGGGAGCATCAATATTCAACTCACTATGGGTACATTTGTATCTGTAATCAATGTGATGTCAAATACAGATCAAGATCAAACATGTTCAAGGTAATTATCCAGTTGATTTCATATTTTATTAAACAATTATTGATTGTGCTTATTTTTGTTTACCCTTTTTCTTGTAGCATCTCAATTTAGTTCATCAAATAGTGAAAAATTTTACCCAACATTTTGGATATCTAATTGAAGATGGACATCAGAAAATACCTGAGATACCATTAGACTCAGTTGATTCTTCAGGTAAATTCAAGTGTAAAATTTGTCAGAATAATTTCCTGGATAAGGAGATTATGATTAATCATCTTGTCTACAAGCATCGGATCAAAAGTGACGTTACCCCATTTTACGAGGAAAATGTTGAACCTTCACCAGTATCTTAAAAGCCGATTTCGACTGATCTCTTTCAATTCTTTGGAAAACTTTCTTTTCTCCATTTCATAAACTACTTTCTCTCTTTCACTATTATCATCATCATCATCATCACAATCATCATTGACTTCTAATCATCTCAATCAACTTCATCAGAAAACTTAAGGCCTGATGACATATAAGAACAAACAATTGCGCTTAAGACCAAAATATCCGTCGAAATCTAAGAATTTTTTTTATTCATAATTCATAATTCATATTTCTTTTTTGTTTTCATTAACTATTGAGGTAATTAGTCAAACGAAAAAGTTTATAAAACAACACAGTTACAGAATATTAATCTTTATACCAGAATTGCCTTGGAACTAAACAATTAACTTAGAAATGTAGAACCAAAGAATAAGTCAAAATTTTGGTCTCTCTTTCACTTAGAATGACAAAAATAGTTTAGAGCAATATCTTTATTTCTTATTGATTATTGTATATCAGTTCTTATATCTTTTCGTAATTTCATCTGCATGCCTTGACCTTTTCCACTCTTTCATTTTACCTTTAATCACGTTCCATTAAGATTATCAACAAAATCAACTGTGCACTTAAATCAAATTCACAACAACGAGACAATTAATCTTTTTCATCTATTCAACTTTACTATCAAACATTTTCTTGTCTATTTTTCTTCGCCCAAAACCATCACCTTGACGCCTTTCTTATCATTAGTACATTTTTCCCGTTAATCCTCGTTTTTTATTCACCTTAAACATTATCTAGATGATCGTTAATCTCATGATGTTCACGATGATCGATTTTTTTTTCTTGCGATTATACGTTTTCTCAATCAAATAACACGTATCATCAATTTCATCACTATCACAATCATAAAGCAATGATTTACCTTTTCCTTCAAAATATTACATCTATTAACTATTTTGTACTCAAAGAATTAATTAAATCAACTATTTAATATCTCATACAAATTATGTCAACTTTCATCTTGATTTGTAAATATTAAAAAGGTAATTATTTGGCTCCAAACAAATTACAGTCAAGTAAAGTGAATTAGATTCAATTTGATTTAAATTTTTCTTTTTGTATTTTATCACAAAGATACTTTAGCTTTTTGTTGTTGTTGTTGTGAGTTTTTGTTAAGGTAAAACCAGAGTTGGCCCTTTGAAATGGCCTCAGTCCAAAGCGAAATAGAAGGGAACAGAGAGTGAGAGTGAGAGTGAGTGAGTGAGTGAGAGAGAGAGAGTATTACACCGATTATTGACAATAAATTAATTTAGTTACAGAATTTGATTTGTTTCTTGTAGCTTTTCAAAGTGGGTGAGAGTTTAAGGGAGACAAACTGACAATCTGGATGATTGTTTGTCCAAAATCAGAGAAAAGTAAAATAAGCAATATGCTTAACTAACATTTTCTCTGTGTCAAAGGCATTTCGCACAGAACAGGAAGAAGAACAAAAATATTGGTGGACAGAAAGAGAAAGAAAGAAAGAACGAAAGAGAGAGAGAGAGAGAGAGAGAGAGAGAGAGAGAGGTTAGTTGTTGAGAGAGAACAAAAAAAGAGAGAAAATCAAGACAATTGATTGACATTTTCCACTTTTGTTAACAATATATTTGTTTTTCTCTGATGTAAATAGATAATTATAGTAAATATAAATTTATATATTTCTTTTCTCTTACAACTGTCTTTAACTATTTATGGATATTCTGAATTTTTGTTGAAAATTATTATTTTTTTGCAAGAATTTTGATTTGTTTTCATTGTCTTATCCTCGTCTCTCTTTTTTCACTCTCATGTTACAGATTTAGAGAGAAATTTGATATCATGTAAATCGTGACAATAGATCACACCCTCGAAAGTTGCTGGAACAAACTAGAGGGAACTAAAGTTTCCAATTTTTCAATGAAAAATCCCAACGGAAGGGAAAGCCAACTTATCAAGATTTTCGCTAAAGCTCCCATAGGTTCTGGGTACGAGTGTGTTAACAGTGCCAGTAATGCAGTAAAGGAACACAAACCAGCAGTAAAAAGTATAAAGAACGGTAATTCTTTCTTTGGATATACTGAAACATCATGAAATGCTAGAATAAAATGAAATAGAATAAAAACAAAATTAGAAATTTAGTAAGAAAACAAACAATTCATTTGACGAAGAAAAAAAATCACATACATGGTAACAATTCACGATCCGTTGTCTCTGTGCATGTTGGATATGGATAAAATAATTGTCCTTTTTCTAATGGGTATGGAATCATCCTAAAAGCTATTTAAAGAAATGAAAACACAGAATCAATTAGCTTCTAACTAAAAGTATAAGTTGAAATGAAATGGAAAAAATTCAATTGAGAAGCAATTGAGGAAAAAACTATTTGCATGACAGTTAATTCTGAAAATTAAGTCAAGAAAATAGGAATTATGGTAAAAGATGAGGTACTCACTTCCTTCCCAAGTACAATGGAGAAGATTTAAAGCTCCTTCTACTCTTTTCCAATGAGCCAGATGAAAAAAAGCATAAGCCACCGCTTCACTATCTCCACGTTTGAGTATATGTTCAGGGGGAAGGATGAGACTTTTCATTTCCAACAAATATTTAGGTACATGGGGATTAAATTCAACTGCTCGATGAATGGCTTCAACTGCGTGCATCTCTGCCGTTGTTAAGCCCCGTTTAGAGGCCAAATCGGGTGAAAATTTCTCGCTCACTCCTCGTGCCTTTAAAAGTGCTGCTGTATAACAGATTGAAGCTGATTTGGGTAAATTAATATCTGTCGAAAGGATTGAGAAAAAGAAATAGAAAATCAAAATATTAGATAAACATTAAGATAGAAAATAATAATAAAAATAATTGATTGAATAATAACCATCATATTTTGCAAGAACAGCTTGTACATCAGCATAAGCTTGCATTTCCAATAGGGCTTCAATTAAATTCTCATGGATATTGAATACATTCATCATAGGGAACTCTTTGATTAAATCTCTCATCATTTTGGTTGCTTCTTTTAGTTTACCCAATTTACGGGCACACATGGCTAAACGACGACGTATATAAATAAGTACATTGGTATCACGACGGTGGATTGTTTCATAGGTTGAGCTTTGATGGTGAAACTGTTGACTTTTACGATAATTGGTCTCGGCCACTTTTAATGCTTGTTTTAAAATTTTCTCCGCTTCCGTTATGGTTGGAGCTTCCTCTTCAGCAAGTAAGATTAACGCTGTTGCACATTCAGGATTTTTATCAACCGCCTCACGAGCGGCTTTGACACGAGCTTTAGGGTCTCTTTCTCTCCAAGCTGTTTGCATGGCTAAAGGAAAATTGGACAAATCAAATGGTTATGTGAATAGTAAAAACCAAAAGTAATCACAAAAACCAATTTGAAAAGTAAAAGAAAGAAAACAAAATCGAAATTAATAATGATCGATTACCATGATGTATTTGGAAAAATTCATTCTCAACATAAATTGCTGATCATTGTAATTTAATCACACAGGTTGGGTTTACCTGAGTCAGATTCACATGTGAAAAATGTTTGATGATCTTGTGCGGAAAGATTCATATCGTAGTAAGTTAATGGCTCCTTTCGAGTGGCTTTGGCATATCTATTGTATTCAGCTCCTCTAAATAAGTTCAACGGATTACGCCAAACTTTACATTCTAAAAGAGACAAAGAGAGAGAGAGAGAGAGAGAGAGAGAGAGAGAGATATTAAAAATTAGAATCATGATTAATTAGTTATGGTGAATATTAGAAACAATTAGAATTGATAAATTAGCTTACCCAGTGAAAGTTGACTCGAGCTATTTGAACTATTTGAAGAATTGTTTCCATTGGAATTGGGGGTCGCTTCGGCATTTGTCTCACCACTGCCAAGCCACGGAGAAATATGATTAAGTGAAACTTGTTCAATAAACGATGTACCATATTTACGGAAATACCACCATTCAAAAATCTAAATTGTCAAGAGAAACAATTAATAAACTGTAATGAAAGAGAAAAAAAAAATCTTTTCTACTGATGATGATTATATTCATCACTGTTTAATTACTGTTAAACTCTTGGATTTGTAAGGTTGGATATTAAATAGAAAAGAAACTTGTTGCAGTTAAAAAGGAAGATTCAAAATCTACTGAGGGAAAGGTTATTCTAAGATTTTCATCAGAACGGATGGTCATCAATATTCAAGAGTAAACTGGAATAATTATCAAGGAAATTTCAGAGTAAATAGATGATTTTAACATAATATCGTTGAGAGATAATCTCAATTGGTTATTTATAGCTTGAAAAGCAGATCACAAAAAAAGAAAAATTAAGTTATAAGTCTGTGAAAAGTACAGGAGAAACTAAACTCTCATTATCTCAGGTTATCCTGGTAGATTTATAAGTCGAATCTTGAAATTGGATTGAAAGAATTGTTGTAACTATGTAAATTCTAACAATAAGCCAAGGTAGAGAAGTGGATAAATTGAAGAAATGTAACAAGATGTTATGATTATGATGATGTAAGAAACAAAGGTAATGTCAATGTTTGTAATCCCGATAAGCAAGAGGATTAACATGAAGATGTTCATATTTACCAAGATGAGTCCAGAGATGAGTGATGAGGTTCCAGTAAGGGCAACATAGAATTTCGGTGTTAAAGTGCTGAGAAACATTGATGCTGAATAGAAATAGAAGAATAAAAACCATACAAGATATTAATTGATAAAAGAATAAACAATAAGAAGAAAAAAACATGAGTAAAATAGAAAAAGAGAGCAAAATAGAAAGAGAAAAATAAACGTATTGATGAGTATGAGAGAAGAAAAAATTGCAAAGGTAAAGGGAAAAAAAGAAACAGATTGTTAACCAGCACACAGAGAAATTTGCGAAAGACACTCACTCATAATTTAACTTTTGTCTCTCCAGGATGAATTATTGTTTGGTCAGTTGGAAACTTGAACGGTAACAATTAGAAAATTAAATTTTAACTAATTTAAGATTGACAAAGTAGAGACAATTTAAATTGTCACATTAAAACAAAAAATCAACAACAAGCCGATGAAAAAAAAGTAAAGAAAACCAACCAACATCTTTAGAAGAACAATAGATGGCGCTGATGTGAATTCTTTTTTTCTTTTTTTTTAATTATTAATTGTGAACAATTAATTTAATTGTTAACCAATTATTCTATTCTTCTCATCTTAGTGTTTATGTTTTTATGATTGTTCAGTGTTTATTTCGAGTTAATTGCTTTCGTTTTCCATCATTACACCGACATCATTACTGTTGATTGAAATGTTTTCATCTCTTGTAATTGATTAATCATTTATGGATTTTAATTAATTAAATGAATCTCTTTGATTGACTTTCGCTTGGTGCTAAATTAATCATGATCTGGATTTAGTGTTTTATAGTTTGATGCAACTGAATTAATCTCATCTGTGTTTAGATTTTATTAATAGTTTAAGCCTATTAACCAATGATGATTCAATTGTTGTTGATTTTTGGTTAATCAGTTGATAGTTTTCATTGCGTTTCAATTGATTTAAAGAGTTGATTGTTTTTGATTGCATGATTTAATTTGTTTTATCTTTCAACCAGATATAACATCAATTAGTTAAGCATTTATTTGGACACAACGAACAACAGATAACAATCAGCAACAGAATATTGAATACTTTTGATTATAAGCTAAGGATTTTTCTAATTTAACAGTTAAATTTTGATTATTTGATTTAATATTTTCTCCAACAATTAGAGTTATTTCTAGCCAAACTCAAACGATTAAGAGCTCCATTGAATCGGGATAATTGTGACTCTAAAGATTTCGAGATAGATTTCAGTTTATCCATGTTATCGATGACTTCAATTGACTGAGTGAATGGATCATAAGTAACATCAAATCGTCTCTTCAATTTGGTATAAACATAATTCCTAATGAGAGAAAAGTGTTAAATCAATCGACTGGTAAATCAAATTATAATCTAATTACTTGAGCTGTTCTTTGGCCTTCTCAAAGCTTTGAGCCACAAAGTAAAGATCCTGATAATCGACATCCTGATAAGGTTGAATCGCAGCCTTTTCTGGTTCGAATGGCCTTCGTTCTGGTTTATCCGACAGCGAATGTTGTAATTCACCATAAGACGATAAAAGTCCAGCACCATAAGCCTTTACTTGACCATCTTCCATACACAGGCCAAACTCAACAGTAAACCAATAAAGCTAAAGTTGATTTGAATTGCAAAGTAAACAAAGTAAACAATTAACTAAATTACCTACTAATAAACGATCACGAATCGATTACCGTTGCAAATCGTTCAATCTCCTGATCATCAGCACCAAGTGAAGCTAATCCAATTTCTTGGGAAAACTCAGCGAACATTGGATCGGCCAAAATCGGTGCATGGCCTAACAACTCGTGGATACAATCACTGAAAATGATTTAGAACATTTTTTCTTATCATAAAATATAAAAGAAATGAGGCCAAAAATAAACTAACGGTTCAGGAGAGTGATGAGGATTAGAACCATGTCGAATATATTGTGTCGATTGGAAAACTCGAAACGCAAGACTGGCCAGAAAATCCCTCGCAGTTAACAAACCAGCAGCAGGTCTCATGGTAAATCCAGTTCGACCTACGAACAACAATTAAAAGTTTTCAACTACAATTCCAAAGTAATAACAATTAGAAATACTTACGTTTCAAGAAATTGGAAACATCTTCAAGTTGAGGAATTGAATCAGGACCATAACCACACTCACGTTCGAGCACTCGAAACACCTCAACGTGCTGTCGACAAGCATATTTAGGATATAAGTCAACTAATTTCCGGTAAACTTCACCCCTGTTGATGTAAGAATTGGAATTAATTTCTCACAATCAAAGCCCGAATCAAATTACCAAGTGACAATTTCGTCCGGAGTGTAAACAACATCAGGTATTGTTTGTCCCCTGTTGGAAAATTGGATCAATCAGATTAGTACTCTTAATTGTTCTCGCAATAAATTGATTTTCAGAGCATTTATTCAGGTAGAAATGATAATTACCATCGATAATCAAAAGCAATTTGAGCAATCTCCTTTCGTCGTGCTCTGTACACCTTATCAGTGAATCCCTGTAGCAAGAAATTGATTGAGTAATTATCGTTTATTAATTTGTCAACAACAAAAGAGATTGACAATCAATTATCATCTTCACAATTAACGAACAGTGAAACAATCATTAACTATGATCGATACAAAGAAAAAGGTAAAAAAGATTCAGATTATCAATCGATTAATCATTATTATCTTCGTATAACTGATTAGAACAACAATTAAACAATTAGATAATTGTACTCACAGGATGATCTACATCTAAATCAGGCTCATATTTAGTCATAATATGAGTACAAAAGTCAAGATCACTTATGTGTCGGGGGAACCATGGATCTGGATTCGATTGAAAATGGAAAATTGATCAATGGATGATTGTAACAATTGAAGAGACAACAATTACCTTTGATGCTGATTAATTGTTCTTTCAACACTTCAGCTTGAGCTAAATTACCATGTCTTAGTGATTTCATGAGATGTAACAATCCTGATGAAGAAATCTCAAGTCGGAGAAATATTTCCATTCGCTTAGGATCATCTCGACTACAGCGACTTTCAATATGTTCAATCCTTCCCTTACAAGCCTTTGATTAATATCGATAAAAGGTCATCATCAAAATCGATTAGTATTAAATATTATCATCGACTTAGTATCTTCAATTTACCTCAATGAACTTCAAGATTCTTGCAAGACCAGAAAATGAGCCATCATTTGGACAAAGAAGTAGATTGTGAATTCGAGGTGAATCCTGATCATCTTTATTTTCAGTAACCACAAGAACCTAAATGATTTTCAACAGAAAATCAATTGTTAACTTTTCACCTTAATTGTGTAAATCATGGCAACAATTACGATACCTCTTCCTCGGATAAATCAGTATCCTGGGAGTTTTGCCGTTGCTCTTGTAGCCACGATAATCGAGCCTCGGAATTTTTTTTAGTCTCAAATTTTGCATCATCAACTAATGACCTCCGTCGAGATGGATAACCATGCTATTGATAAATCGAAATGAAACAAATCAACAATTAACAGAATCAATTCCATGATAATTTTAATCTTGCTAATCACTGATTCTCTTGGTAGAGAAACAAAAACAAGGGCAAAGTTATAATTGTTGTGGTCAATCAAGTTAATCATCATCCTCATGTAATTATTGGACCATGGATCTGAAACCTGAATTGTTTACTATCAATTCTGAGTTGACATATACAAGAAGATTCATTCAGGGTGATATTTATGATGAAAAGTAAGAGGAACATGAATCAAGGATAAGATTCATATGAATGAAAGTAAACTTATTTTCATGTCCCAATGATTTTCACGGATTTAGTTAATCATTTCAAGTGGAATTAATTAAACCAAAGGGTCAACTATCAATACCAGGCACACTTACAAAACCAACAGAAACAATTAAACCTCACCAACTCATGAAGATCATATCAATGGCCATTTAATTAATCCTTCTAATAATAACCAAAAGAAACCAGAAAACAACAAAAAAATATCCAATGTCATCAATCAACATCAACAACAGGTTAACAATCAACAGTAAGAAAATCAATACAACTACTAATTGTTCAATCATGTTGATAATTAGACGATCATCAAAAGTGATTTGAATTGTTTAGGTTCATTTTGAAATCAATGTTCATCTTTTTCTGGGTGAAAAAAAAACTTTAGACCAATTCCAAGGATCGATTTCATCAATGGCCATGAATTCCCTGAACAATATTAACGATAACTCCCTGTTGAACATTTGATAATAACTCTATACTCTTTCAATGAACTTCCTTCCTCTCCTTAGGACTATTTTGGTTCACTGATCAAACCTAATTGGTTTTAACAATTGATTCAACAATTGGACACTTTAATCACCTCATCATCGTCATCATAATCACATCTTATTCAATACACTAATTTCATTCAATTTTATCATCATAACGATAATAATACACAATGAAATTGGTTCATTATATTATTATTATTATTATAATTATCACAATGATGATCATCATCACTAAAGGTGATCATCATATATGGATACATAAAAAAAAAGTCAAATTTGATCCTCTCACACAATCAAATCAGAGAGAAATCAATTTAAGGATCAAATCTGTGTCATAATAGTAAATATCAATAAGGTTTTATAACAATGAGACCTCTTAACAATAACATTGTCATCATCTTAACCATAGGATAATGATGACAATAACCATGATAATCTGATGAATATAATGATGATAATGTAAGAATGATAAAAAGTGCGATGGATAACTGAAATATTTAGAGAGACAGAGAGAGAGAGAGAGAGAGAGTTAAGCTATAGAAAAATGAAGTTTTTATCATCGAATCAGATCTCATATTGTTCACGATGATCGATTTTTTTTCTTGCGATTAAACGTTTTCTCAATCAAATAACACGTAGCATCAATTTCATCGCTATCACAATCATAAAGCGATCATTTACCTTTTCATTGACATTATTGCATCTAAGGGGTGATCACTAAAAATCGGCCTAAACTTATTTTCGGATAACTTTTTAATTAAATAATATAATGAAACTTTCTTTTGATTTTATTGAAGAACTCGAGGATAGATGAATGTCCATATTTGTTTGCATATCCAAATTCAACCCATTTAATGTCCAAAATACGCTCGAAATTAGAAACATTGAACTCAGTCTTGTCAAAGGTAATTTTTACTGAGGCCACTTTTGCTGTTTTGGGCCCATCTTAGATTTTTCAAATCGTCGTGATCACTTGAACAGTTATTAGAAAGCAGAAATAGTTAAATAGATTTAAACAAGTTTGATTAAATCTATTTGTCCAACTAACCGATTCAGGGCCTTTAGTTTGATGTCTTTAAAATGGTTACTATTAGTGAATAAGATCCTAATATTGATCAAAGTTAATCAAGACAATAATTGACACTTTTTCACTTTCATAGTTTTCGAGAGAGATTTGATAACATGTAGATCGTTACAATAGATCACATCCTCGAAAGTGGCTGGAACTAAGTTTCCAATTTTTCAATGAAAAATCCCAACGAAAGGAAAAGTCAACTTATCAAGATTTTCAGGTAAGAAATTAACTAATTACTTACCTCTACACTGTAACTTTTGATTGAAAATTTAGCTCGACTTAAAGCTGCTATCGAAGCCATTGAACTCGACAGAATATTAATTAGCCACAGAACAATTTGAAAATAATAAACTCAACGTAACAATTTGTCTCGGTAACACTTTCTAAGTATAAGAATCTAAAAGTAATATGATAAAGTTCCGGTTCTTTGGCTAAGGAAAATGTTGCTTTGGATATTTTCTGTACGGTAGTGACATCTTTTTGGAGGAATCGGCAAACTCATGATGAAAAATTGATATTAATTAATCACAATCTTCTATTCAATTTTTAAGAGAATGAAAATTTATTCAAATCATTACTAATAACGAGTGTTAATTGTTGTACTTCATGATATTCATTTAAATAATCTGCAAATATCAGTATTCTTATTATAAGATTGTTAGCAATTTGGTTACGATTTAATTGTTTAGGTCCAATTTTGAGCAATTACATTGTTGTCGTCTAATTATTGAATTGAAGGTAAAATAAAAACCATAACAATCAACGATGCAAATAGAGTCGCCATCAAATTAGATGTGATCAAGAATGAATCTCCCAATGTGAATCCAATGTTACCATGATCAACCCTATCGAGGAAAAGTAAAGCCTGAAAAATAAGGATAAACAGATTTAATTAATTGTCGACGAAATAATTAAAACAAAAATTAAACTAATATTAACCTCTAATCGAGTTGAATCGTTACTTTCTCTCAATGTTAATTGGTACAAATCGTCATAAAATTCACGAGAAAAATGATTAACTCTTTTAGCGTTGACAATGACGATGTAAGTGATGATAATATTGATTACAAATCGATAGATTAGTTCAACTAATTGTTGTTCATCTAATTGTTTGTTTAAGATGAAGTGAAGCAAATTCACGAGAAAAATGATTAACTCTTTTAGCGTTGACAATGACGATGTAAGTGATGATAATATTGATTACAAATCGATAGATTAGTTCAACTAATTGTTGTTCATCTAATTGTTTGTTTAAGATGAAGTGAAGCTGAAAAACAGCGGGAATGAAATTTGATAAAATAAAAATGGCGAGAAAATTTTTCCAATAATTGTTGGCAGTTCGAGTGAATTCAATTGTACCACAATAGTGATTCCGTCGGGATAAGATTATCTCATCAGATTTAAGAATATTAATCGTTGACGATGAAGAAGATGATGATGATAATGATGATGATATATTCCAAGGAAGAGTTTTCTTATCTTCTTTAAAAGAATCACTTATATCACGAAAAATGGACTGAGCGAAAATCGTAATGACCAGAAATTGGTAAACAAGAAGCAGAACAACCAATAATCAATTAGGTCAATCGTTACATGGACAATGTCAACAATTCGGGTGATGGTCAGTAGATTAGAAGCCGAATCTAAACCAATGGAGATCATTAATTGGATATAGATAATTGTCGATAATATAATTACGAGGTAAAGCCTTTTCGGATGAAAGAAACACTAGTGAGAATCCATTGTTTCGTTCTAATGGACTTGGATGGATCGGCGATCGAAGGTGAATAAATTGCTGCCCAGAGATAATTAAGCAATTGGAATGGAGGGTCAAGGGTCAGAATACCATTCAACATGGTGAAAAGAGTTACATCGTTGAGGAAAAGAGTGAATTTCATGTAATCAAGATGAGAAGCAAATGAATCAACTAATCCGGTTGAGGGAAGAACAGAGATTAACATGAGAAACGAATGACTTATTGAGAAAGTTCCCATAAAATAGATAATCCTTTGGATCCTTAATCTCCTGTTCGCTTGGATAATAATCGATAAATCGGTGTGATTATCGGCTGATTAATTAGAATCTCACTTAGAGTTAATTTTAGATTAACTTGCTGTTCGCCGTCAATGTCAACATTAACTCGATCATTTTTCACATTCGATAGATCATTTGAATCGTCATTGTTTCCATCGGTTCACCGGTCACTTTGTTTTCTTCCGTTTCGGAAGGTTGGTTCGATTCTGTTTCGATATCTTCCTTAACTTCAGTATTTTCTTTCTCAGAATTATTTTCCATCTCTTGGTTCACTAAAGATTCTGAGCCTCGGGTCATCTCAAGATCAGTTGAGGTCATGTTTTCTTCCTGTCGATAAACGATCGTTGCTGATTCGAGTTAAACAATAGTAAAGGTAAACAACAAATAAGACGTTCGATCAACCAGAATATTCATATTGATTGTGATAACTCATATTCTAATCACTATTTTCTTAGAATCATTTTTTTTTTGCTTCTCTTATCATCTTCGTTGTTTCATAAATTCTCAGGAAAAAAACGATCTTAATTCTGAGCAGGTCCATCAGTCGACAATTGAGTTAATTCTTTGAGATAATCATTGAATGTTTTTTACTTTTCTTTTTTAGGTCAATTATTATATTTAATTTTCTCAATTTGGATAATCACTTTGATTTTAAATTTCCATTGAAATGATTGAACAATTTTCATGAATAAATACTCACAATCAGTTGGAATTACGTTTCTCTTTCTCTCAATGTTAATATTTCATGAGAAATTAATAGTAAGAAGAAAAGTGAAGATTATGATTAGAGACACGCAATCAGAATTATCATTATTCTAATTATACACAATCGAATAAGAATTAGGTCTGAATTTCGATTTTATGATTAAATAAGAGAGAAAACGATGAAATAATAACATTATAAATGGGAGAAGATGATAAGAGATAAACATGAAGCTTGTGATCTAATTTTCTGTTGATTTTTTGTTCTAAAATCATTGAAACTAGAATATTATTCAATATTAAGATGATAACAATAATTACGATCATGGAGTTGACCTAAATAAGCAAAAGAAACTTGATTTTTTTTTCATGGAAAAAAAAAGTTCTGTAAACATTGAGTAAGTTAATTTTCTCACAGTTGAAATGAGTTCTCATTGGGACTAATGATCAACTTGATTAGCTTATTGTTCAAGTTTTACCATGATTCATGTTACATTAATTATCCAATGAAGATAAACTATTGATAATCACAATAAAATGATGAACACAATTAGGTTAATAAACAACATCGAAAAGCATTAATCATCTAATGGATTAAGCTTTTAAAGTTCTGATTTTATAATTGGTCAGAAATTTGATTAAACACAAGAAAAACGGTTGATTTAATTTTGGTAATTAAATCAGAAAAAAGTTAATAGATTTGAATTTTTATCCTAAAAAAGTAACAACAATTCATACCAATAGATGAGGGAACTTGTTACTTGTTGATTTGTTTTCCTTCACATGTGTTGATGTTTTTGTTTACATTTTTTGTTTGAAAATGTTTTTCTCAATTCTGATCGATTGATTCAAATTAGTTAATTGTTTCGATAGTTTTACAATTTTCTAAGTGATGTTTAGTTAAAATGTTACATTCTGATTGTTTATTCTTTTACAATGATTAATAATAAAACGATTACCTTTGCATGGAGGAGTTTGAGAGCTTTGTGTTTGGCTTATGTTTGCGCTGAATATGGTTTCAAAGTGGCTTTGGTAATTATCCTCTTAATTGTCGCCTTAATTAATTGGGTGAAATGTTATTCTTTTTTTAATTGTTTACAATTTCTTCTCATTTGCTTGAAATATTTACAGATCGATGGACCATCCATGAAGCCGACTCTCAATAGTAATGATATTGTCTTGAGTAATCAATGGACTCCAATTTTTGGTAATGTCAAAAGGTGAATTGGCAGTTGATGATTTACTTGATTGTTGACGATTAAATTGTAATTGTTTTGTCCTTTTCCTTTTCTTAGAAGTGATATTGTTATTTTTAGATCTCCAATGGATCCGAAAAAGTTTCATTGTAAAAGAATCAAAGGAGTTGAAGGTGATTATGTTCGAAGAGGGTTTTCTTCGATATCGGTAAATATAAATTTTCTATTTTTTTCTGACAATTTTATGTTCGAATCATATTGATTCTTTTTCTATTAAGATTCCTAAAGGTCATGTTTGGGTGGAAGGAGATAATTCTAGTCATTCAAAAGATTCACGAGATTATGGGCCTGTTCCCATTGGATTAATAATCGGAGTTGTTTTCTTTAAGGTTAGTTGATTTGTTCAGAATATCAATTGTTATTATTTATATTCATTTGCTTTTATCCTTTTGTTTACAGGTTTATCCTTTTATTGATTCCAAGTTTCTTTCGTGATCCTTTTTGGGAATTTCTTGATATTCTGGGGAAAAAAATCACTCATGGTGATGATAGATGAAAAAGATAGTTGACCAATAGTGAATGAATTGAAGTCGTCGTGACACAAAATCAGTAGTTTGACCAAAAGCTTTGATCTGATCGGTAAAACCAGTTAGTGTTTTCTTTTCCAGATCCGAAACTGTATCAAAATTTGACGAATTTTGTCTTAAGTAAATGTTAAACACTTCAAAAGGTTGTTTATTAAACCCATTTGTACATATTAGAATATGTAAATGTAAATGTATTGGTTTGTTTTGTTTCTCATGATTTTGGCTTGAAATGTTGATAATAACTTTTTGTATGTTCCATCATCACTGTTTGAGTACATTCAGGTAGTTCTCCGATAAATCTACCTGGGTTTCCTGAGAAAATTGAGAAAGCAGGAACAACGGTTCCTTGGGGTAGGAAAGTATTATCAGCTAAAGCACAACAATCTTTAAGGACACAATGGCGACCGATGACACAATTTTTTCCAATATAAACATAGGATCCAATTTGTGCGGCATTTACAATGGTACCTTCTCCGATAAAAACGTTATCTCCAATGGTCAAGGGCAGAAAGGCAACTCTACGAGAAATAGGTCATAATAGATGAGAAAATCTTATAGTCGGAATAAAAAGATAGCCCTTACCCTTTGAGAAATTTTTTAAATGGAGGCCTAATAACTGCTCGACTACTGACAACACAGTGTCGGCCAATTTTTACATTCGCCAGGTCACCTCTGATTATACAATCAGATTGAATAATTGTCTAAACCAGGGGAAAGAAAGATAAAAGAATAATTTGAAATGAGAATTGGAAAAATTCAATTTCTAAAGGCTTATATTACCTTTCCATGTAACATAATATTTTGTGATCCACACAGAACCGATTTACGACAAACCTTATTACCGGAAGCGGTTTCAATATAATCAGAGGAATTGTAAAAGATATCTTGAAGTTCCATAATTAAATTATCACCTAAATTAACAATCAAAATGAAAGAGAAATCAATAAAAAATAGAAATGGTATTTTCTAAACAAAGTAACCAATGTAAAGATGTAAATAAACAGAATATAGAAAATCACTTGGTAAACATTGTACACTTGAATTCAGCTGTAGTTACAATTAAATCAAATTAATTTGGACACTTGAGTGATATTTGATTTGCTATAATTAAACAAATTAAATTTAAAAATTTAAAAAAGATTTGAGAGATAAATTAAATGAAATAAGAGGGCTTCAGGTTGTTGCACCAAAAGAGAAAAGTGATCCAGTCATTAAAACGATAAAATCAACACAAAAAAATCAGCTGATTGAAGATAATAATTACCATGTGAATAATGATGATAACAAATTAAATTAAACAATTAAATCCGATTGATTTAAATATTTACCTAAATCAATATCACTTATCAAGTCCAAGATCTTTGATTAAATTAACATGACAAACCGCATCCTTTTGTCTTAATGTTTACATGACCATTTATCGACTAAATTGTGTCCAATTAGCACTTTAATTCCAACCAATCAATCAACAATTAACCACAAATTTTCAATAATCAAGAACCAACAGCCAATTACAATGAAAGAAAAAAATTAAATTATGAAACCATGAATATCCATCTATGAATTGGAAACACTGGGAAAATATTATAACAAAGATACACCAAAGTAAGGAAAAGGAAACACACAATTGGAACAACTAATTGATTGGTTAATTGTTGTTAATTAACAATTGGCTCATTAGTCGAGACAAAGTAACAAATTAAAATTAATAATTGGAAACAAAATTTAAATTAGAAAATAAGCTTAATCATTTCTCCAAATAAACTAACATTTACATCATCAAAATGTCTAAAGAAATGACTTGAAGCCTTTGAACGAATGAAAAATTTTCTATTTAACAAAAATGTTCTTTTCTCTTTTTAGAAAAAAAAACATTTTCGTTCTTTGACATTTTCTAATCACCGTTTTTTTGTTTTTCTTTAATTTAGATTAGTTTTCTATTCTTTTTTTTTTTTTGAGAGTTTATATTCTATCTTTTTGTTTCTCTTGTTTGTTTGTTGCTGTTTATTTCTATCTCTTTTTCTGTGTTAATTGTTATCCGTTATCCCTGAGAGAATTTGGGAAAAAATTGATTTTCTAGTCAACAATCAAAATCTTTTCTCCATCATTGTGATTACCATGAAGTCCAGTTTATATAGACCATGTAATTGTTCACGTCCACACCTCACAAAGGAGCATATATTTGCCAGAATAAACTTTACCAGTGATGGACAAGGTACAAAGTGTTTCTATACGATGGTCAATCCATATTATAAACCAGTTCCCAAAAAGGGTAGACCAAAGAAACAACAAGAGCAACAAGGTGAAAGGTTAAAGGCAAATCGTGAACCACAATCAATACTTAGATGGACACCTAAATTACCAGGAATCAACAAGAATGACCAATCAAGTGAAAAGCGGGTTATTAGAAAGCCTTTACAGACAACAATTAACACTTCAAATGGGTCATTTGTTACTCCATTAACACCAAATTCGGTCTCATCATCACCGAAGGTTAAAAGTAAATATGATATTTGGTATTCGATCAAAAATACATTTCAAGATTTTCGTAAATTGAACAGCAATGGTATCAGTCCACCAATCGGTAACAAGGATTCATTGAAAGAGATTCATAAACCATTCAGGGATAAAATTGACCAATCTACTGGAGAGATTAAGAAAAAGGGTAAAGTGACCAATCCATTAAAAGAAATTCCCTTTATTGAACCACCAGGATCGATTAACGGTGTTACCATTTTCTCTATGAAAAATCCGTTCGCCAATAAGACGAAAGTAAATACTCCTGTCGATGAACTAACTCTCCTTTATTACAATACCATTGACACGATTGAAGAAGCAAATAAACTTCTACTGGACGCAAATTCATCTATTGACCATCTGATTACATCATCACTTTCACCATTGACTCCATTGACTCCATTGACACCCATATCACCAACATCATTACCAACATCACCAACATCACCAATGTCAACAACATCACCAATTCCCATGGAAAATGATTCAATACCGATAACAATTAAACATGACGATGAGAAAAAGATCAAGGTGAAGATTGAAGGAGGTGATACCGTTATTTTCGAGGAGATCAACAATTATCATGTAAATGAAGATTTAAATGAAAATCTTTTCGCTAACAATTTATCACCAATCACAACAACTATTTTTGACGATATTTGTATTACAGTAAGTAGACCAAATTTATTGGAAACTCATTGATTAATCTCAATCAATTTCAATTCTCTAATTATGTCTCTCTCTCTCTTTTTCTCTTTTCTTATTAGGATTTCAATGAACATGACTTTGACCAATTGATTTCCAATTTACCGGACATTGTGTAATAAAATTTGTTTAATTATGATTTAGATAAACTATTTACATTTCGATGAGTATTACTCTTAATTGTTTGAAAATGTTTCGTTTTGTTTTCAAAATGATGATCAGTTTAATCATTTTCGTGTGTTGATCGTGAAAAAAAACTAATGGATACATGAAAAAGACGCGAATAACATTGTAATTAATTGATTAGAATCACAATCAAATTAACGTTGGAGTATAAATGGTTTCAATGTTTTGGCCTTTTCGTGGATTTTGATTGACGACCCTCTTTTCTGAAGGTTGTATAATTTTCGTGCTTCCAGACTTTGTCTCCTTCGTTGATCAATAGTATCATTCATTGATCCAATTGTTAAATTCTGTTGCCTTAATTGTGATTGACTCTTTCTCCTTACAGTATCAATAACTGGAATCTAATATAAAACCCACATAGAATTAGATTATTATTATTACAATCAAGTTAATTGTTTCAAAAGGTTAAAACTTGTCACCCTTTACCTTTTTCGTGGACAAGCATTTAAATATTAGGCAAATGATGAACAATGTTAAGGTAACAATTAGTGAACCATATTTAACAATCTTCACATAAGACAATGGTTTAATTAACTTGTTGATTAATTCTTGAGCTAATTCATCATTAATTTCAGCTGATTGTTCAAACCAAACCAACGGATAAAGTGTCTCCTTACGAATATCACTCATGGTTCTAATGATTACAAGAGTAACTAATTAGTTAATTCACTGGAAATAAAAGAGATGATTAATACCGACTTGATAAAAGGAAATCGACGAACGTAAACATTGACCTGTAATTGGACTTTCGCTCGTAAAGGTGTTCCCGTTGTCTGGAATCCAAAGGAAATAGAAAAAAATTCTGATTATGATTGAGAGAAACAATTAACTGATCGATTGGTCTTACTGGTTCGATATCGATGAAAGATTCATGTTGTGATATATTGGGTTGTAATCCTTCAATTGATTCCAGGAAATGTCTCGAGGCTGAAAGGAAATGAGGTTTCGACAAATAGATCGGAGCATTGGCTCGACATGGACCGATACTCGTTACACCATCGGTATTACATGGGAATCCATTGGTTGGACAGAAACACTCGTTACTTGGATAACGGTGCTTATTGAAAAAAGTTGATTCGCTTATGATGAAACGATAACCAGCAATTCCTCTGAAAACTATCTTCATATCATAATCGAATGAGATGAACCTTGTCAGAAGAAAATATATATAATTACAAGATAATTAAGTTAATCGCAGAATTTAAAATGTTCAAAGAGTATCAATGAGGATTCATTTACCTGCACAGATCAGGAATGAATATATGAACTCGACTCTTATCGATAAAAGGTGAAAACATGGCTCCATCGGTTCCTCGAATTGTATTACATGTTTCTCCAGGCCAACAAGTTAATTTCCTAATTGATTTGGAAATAAATAATGCTATATGAGCTTGAAACTCGATTTCTTAGATGAATTGATTTACTTTTGATTTTTCCATGAGACAACCTTTCCCAATTTAGTTCCTTGACCAATAATCTCCAATGGTTCAGCGAATGTTGAATTTTGTCCATAAAATAGTCCATAGGTATTATCTTTCAGTCCAGTTGACGGAAATTTAACTCCAATTAAAGCTAACGGAGTCCAAATTGTTTCCAATGTTTGTAAAATTTTCACTTTTTGCCCCTTAAATAGTAAGTCGTCGATCGTCATATTGGCCATCAGCTCCTCTTTGTGAGCCTGGAATAGTCCATTGCCGATTAGTTCAAGTGAAATTCCAGTTAACCCTCTCAAAGGTAAATTGTTACCAATTGAGCCCAATTTCTCAGCAATCGCCTGGTGAAAATCAGAATAAGAAAATTACAAGTTTAATCATGAGAAATTCATTAGTAACAATTAACTTACCACCGTTGGTACATTAAGAGTAACAATCTTATCCTCCAAAGAACCAATTGATTGACTTTCATTGAAAAAGTAAACATTATGTTCTGAGTATTTGATTGTTTCGGTGTCATGTTTGATTTCAAGAATTTTCTTCTCACGCCACAGACTGAAATCGAATGAAAATAGTTGAAGATGAAATTTCTTTCACCGATAAATAGTAATTAGAATTAGAAAATGATCGAAAATTCTAACCTGAAAACGTATGGACCTTTTTCCCGAAGTATCGGTTTTTTTCCCGTCCAAATTTCGTCCGGATTGGTGGTCTCGAACACCCAAACCTTTAATCCAAGTGGAATCGGAAGTCGGACCCATTTTGAAAACAACTCAGAATCCGATTGTAATAATGTTAATTTAGAGTAAATGATTGATGAAACAATTAAATCAATTCCAAAGTAAAAAGTAACATTCAACACAAGGAAAACAATTGATCCTATGAGGAAACATGTTGATCGATTTAATCCTTTTGATGAATAGCAGAAAACCATTGAGATTAATTGCAATTAAATTAGACTGATTGTTCAATAATTTAATGGACAATAAAAATGTGAACACATGGTTACAGTTAATTGTTGATAATAACGAGAAAATATCAGAAAAAATAACGAAAAAAACAAAAAAATTGTAATCACTGATTCTTAAAAGCAAACAAGGACAACGGATAAAGGCTGAACAATTTACTGATTATCAACAGACAATTTATTATAAACCTGCATTACAATGATCACAATTACAATCAAATTAAATGTTGTTGTTGTTGTTTTTATCAATGAAGGTAAGGTTACTATAAATATCCTTCAATCATTTAACTGGCTCACAATTGTTGATTAAGATCATGAAAGTTAACCATCTCTCCTCCATAGAAATCACTGTTGCAGATTTAATTGTGATTAAACATTAATCTAATTGTAATAGAGAGATTATTATTATCACTAATTAAACTTGGCATTGATAGTTAACCATGTAATACAAACTGATTGTTGCTACTTGTTGAGATATTGATTGGTCACTTGATAAACTTTTCCCTTCTGGTCAATATTATTGATTATTGGTTAAACTATTAACTATTTGATTGTCAAAAAAGTTCAATGAATTAAAATATCACCTTGACAATCAATTTCATTCATCGTGTTAAAATCAATAATAATATGGAAAATTTATCAATTAAATGACAAGATTAAAGTCCAGTATAACAGGTCAGTTCACCCGAATGATGGTCACTCTGATTTCGGTCATGATTAAGACTCCGTTTTAATTTGAATTTAGATTTTCTTTTGATAATCTTAATCATCACTCCCTGGATTAGCTCATATGATTTGATCAGCATCAAAAGCACTAATTATTAATCTATTCACAAGTGTGAATCATTCTTATCGATTTCAGATAAATATCATGAACCTCGATATCTTCACTAATAAAAAGGTTGAAGATCTTTGTCAAGCTTCAGCGATGGTGCCCGATCATTGGTGAGTCCAAAGGGAGAAAGTCGAGATTCACTATGTCCTCCAGACGAATCTGGGGACATGATAGTCTCAGAATTTGAGGTTCTCAGAGAAGACAATGGTCACTGTCCGGTGCTGGAGAAGAGGCAACCATTGCTTATAAGGCAAAATAGATGAAAAATACAATCGTTTGTATTGAGAAAATAATTTAAAATTTAAGTTATTAATAATTCAACTAAATATTCATTCTGATATTCAGACTAAGAGGAAGTTCTTGATTTATTTCAGTTCGATCTGTTGCTCGATGGTAATTAAGGTGGTCTTTGTAATTTCCTTCAATATAATCTTCAGTTGTACGAAATTTTTAGTAATATTGAACATTGTATGTTTTGGACGTTGAGAATTGTCCTCGGGTAAATATCGAATGAGCTAATGAATGAAATCCTAATCAAATTGTGCTGATTTTGTCAAATGTCGCGTTTTTTGTTTGTGGTGTTTCATCTGAACCAAGTGAAGACAATTAGCTGTATTTGATTGTAAAAGTTAATCTGATTTCAACGGAATCAAGTTAATTTTGCGTATTTTTATCAAAAATTTTTGGCCACATTTTGGTTTGACCTGAATGTTGTTTACAATTACGGCAATTGTTTGACAATACAATTTGTTTTTTCTTAAATAAGGTGAACATGTAAATTGATTATCCAACGAGTGAGTTGATAATCTTCAATACTCTTTTCATCTTAACCATGATCAGAGGTGTGACATGATAAACAGTGTAGATATTTGTTCAAATGATTTGGATAATGTTCATGATTCAAATGGTTTCAAATGTGCCAAAAAAAGAGGGATTCAACGATGGAAACATTGAACGAGAAAAATAGAAGAAAAATAGTTGCTAGAAAAAAAGGTGAGATGATATCAGGGAGAATGATAAACAGTCGTAGAGTTGATCGTTTAACTGAAATCACGATCTGGTAAGACAATCGGAGCAATTAAGGTCCAAATGTAGAGTAAACAGCAAAACCAACTGGATATAATTTTAATCCACATCGAACCTTCATTTTGATTAAGATTACCACTCTTCAAGTCAGGCCTAAAGGAAGAGAAAAAGACATTGAGAATTGTATTCGATTGATTTATCATAATTGACTTTAATTACGATTGTAGTTGAAGTTTTTTTGTTACTAATGAACACTTACTTATACCAATTAGTCAGGGTCATCATGACGTATATATGTGACTCTTCATTGTCGTTTGAAGTGACCATTCCTCCGTTTTCACCATCGCTATTACCTGAAAGTTAATAAGATCAAGAGAGAGAGAGAGAAAAAAATATTTTCCAATTAAGTAAGCAAATATGATTATTCATTCATGAGAATTGGCTACAAATAGGAAATCAATGAAAGAGGAATCAAGCACTAATAATATTGAAAGAAATAAAGTGAGAGAGATTTAAAAAACAAAGGAGACAGAAAAAGAGTAACAATGGAACCGTAAACCCAACGTAATTAAAACGTAATAATATTGATGCCAAATTAATAGGACAAATTACCTTGATTGTTATGATTTAGAAGGGTACCAGCTCCATCTGCGAAGTTGTGATGACGAAAAGAGTGTTTTTTTTATATAGAGAAAAGTACAAGCAATAAGCTAAATTTATATACTTTTACTTAATTAAGATGAAAGAGGAAATCGTGGGTGAGAAAGAGGAGCAAATAAGAGGTGGATTGGGGTGTGAGAGAGTGAGAAGTGTGGGGTATTAAATGGAAGAGAGAGAGATAGAAAGAGAAAGCTGAATGATAGGAAGAGGAAAGGAAGGTAAACAAAAAGAGAGAGAGGGAGGATAACATTGCGAAAGAAGAGTTGACAGTGAGAAGGGAAAAGAGAAAATTGGAAAACAATTAGTAAATTACTCACCCGAACTTGTATCTTTCATGAGAATACGTTCAGACATTGTGATCTTTGCAACTTGACTGTTACTTGAGGTACGAATTGATGAATACAAAATACATGCAAACCAAATTGCAAGTCCGACTAGAGACATGGCATCAAAATTTTTGTCCTTTCCGTGTTGGAAAATGTTTGGTTTACAATTGTCAGCTGAATTGTTCATTGCTGACCAAGTTAAATACATTGAATATAAAGTGATGAGGGATGATTGAAGAAGTCCAGATCGTGGTTGAGCTAAAGGAGAAGAGAAAAACAAAACAAACATTAGATGACCGTTATTTTTACACAATTAAACTTGACCAACTCTAAATACCTTCTTGGACATCAGGTAAAATGGATAAAGCAGAAAGTACAAAGCAAACAATAAGATTTGTAGAAATGAAAAACTTCTGAAGACCACATCCTTCCCCTGAGGTGTAATAGATGTACAAGAACACGTATCCAGTAATCGCAGCGATGTAATGGAAAAGGGTGAAGAAAACAAGACCTGTAACAAATTAGAATAGTAATTAGAATTAATTATAACTTAGAAAATGATTAAAACAAAAATTAACTCAAAAGTTTCATCTCTAAACAAGTTACTATGTTAAAAAAAGCGAGAGGCAAGTTAATTTAAAACTAAGATACATAAAGGTAACAATTAGTAAATTAGTTTACCACATTTGATACCAAGATAGGATAATAAAATGTACGATTTAATTAACTGGTTGTTTCATTGATCATCTGTTTACTTTTGACAAACTAATATGATTTAAATGAAAACAGCAACGATAATAGTCAATCATCATCTTAATCAGTTGATTAGATGATTATAATTAGCATTGTATCTAAAAATTTAGATTATTGTTGAATATATTTGTCAATAAATCAGTTTTCATCTAATTATAACCAACAAAACTAAATTGTAGATAATAAGTTAATCACTTGAAAAGAAAAGGGATTGATTTGTTAACAATCATTAAGGGTTAGTTGGTGATGGCGTTGAAAATGATTCTAAAAACACCGAACCCTCTCTCTCAACCATATCATGATAGAGAGAGAGTTAGATCACTTTGTCGCACGAATTAGTATTAATACTTGTAGTCTTCTGTTGATTTGATACTGTTGGTGTTTCTCAATTGTCGAAACAAATATGCACTCCCAATAATCATAATTATGATTCAACAACGTAAATACATTATCGTTGGACTGGAACGTTTTGGTGAAGATTGATTGAAAATCAGATATGCACAGAATTTGATTTAGTTGAATGATCTTTATCGTTTTAACTGGATTAGTTGATAAGAAGAAGAAGTTTAGAGTTGGTGAACTTTTTTTCTTCGTCTTCGGTGATCAGATCACAATTGATATCGTTATCGTTATCTGTCGTTATTTTGTTTTTCCTTTGTGTTGTAAGGATCCGTAATAATATGGTTGTCAATGGCTCTGAAATGAGCAAGTTAAATCTTGATTATATTGTCAATGGATTTTGGTACGAATATGGTGACCCGAGGACATTTTCCATGCCAATTATCGGTGGTGGACCGTGGAAAGTGTTTACAATTGTGTTTGGTTATCTTTTGTTTGTTAAGGTTTTCGGTCCAATTTATATGAAGAATCGTCAACCATTTGATTTAAGGGAAATCATGTTACTTCATAATAGTTTTCTCATTGGGATCAATGGTGTTGGTACTTTTGTCGGTCTTTGGGTTACCGATTGGGGAAGTAAAACTTTCGATTGTTCTCCTCCCGAAACGGAAGACGTTTATAATATTAAAGTTTCCATTCTCATCTGGTTAGGGTGGATTTACTTTATGACCAAGATTGTTGACTTTTCGGATACAATTTTCTTTGTTTTGAGGCGAAAAAATCACCAAGCCTCTTTTCTTCACATCTTCCATCACGGATCAATGCCACTAGTTGCCTATTTTGGCCTTAAATTTCATCCTGGACCTTACAGTGCCTTTCTTCCCATTTTTAACTGTTTCATCCATTTTATAATGTACATATACTATGCAATGGCCTGTGCAGGTCCAAGTATGAAAAAGTTTCTTTGGTGGAAAAAGCAGCTCACTCAGATCCAAATAGTCCAATTTATGGCCACCATTGTCCACGCTTCGTATGCCTTTTTTACCGACGGATGTCACTATCCCAAATTATTGTCCTTTCTGGAGGGGATGCATGCGACTATTTTTCTTGTTATGTTTTTAAAATTCTATTTTAAAACTTATTCACGAATTCCAAATAAATTAATGTGAATTTTTTTACTCAAATAAAATTATTAGTATCACTCACTCTCTCTCTCTCTATTTTTATCCTCAACAGAGATTCTTTGACAATTAATTTAACTCAAGTAATATTATAATAGATTATATTGGAAAAGTTAATATTGCAAAAAACTATGTTTAGGTTCAATGAAATTGTGAGATTTGATTTACCAGATTAAAAGAGAGAATTAGATTGCCTCCGATTGTTTTAATCTTGCGCTAATCGTGTATTAGTTGATTGTTAAAGATTAACTTACCTGCATACCACCACCTTGATTCGGTTTGTTCCATCTTTTCAACCCAACTTTCAGCCCAACTATGAGCAAAGTCAATGATGAGAATTAATTGAATCAAAATGAACAGGAAACCACCAACAAGTCCAAAGTACATCCAGACTATTTTAAAATGAGAGAGAAGCAAAAAAATGAATGAGTTCAATAAGAAATAGTGTTTTCTGGATAAAGATGATGAAGATATGATACCTTGACCGAATGTTTCGGCTTCAGGGATGAAAAAAGCTCCGACCATTAAGCCAATGAGAAGCATAAACTTAGGACCCCAGAATCTAGAGAGAAGGGAAAGAGAGAATAATAGAAATTAGATAAGACAATTAGTCATTAATGTGACTCATTAATAGAATGTAATCAGATAGAATAGAGAATCATACCCATTTTGAATGGCAGCTCTTCCATCTTTTGATGTTTTTACGTTCAACATGATGAGTGAGAAAAGAAGAAAGAAAATTGTTTGGGCAAATAAAACTCTGTATGTAGAGAGATAACCAACAGCTTGTTGACACATTGAAGAATATCCTGAACCACTTTTACAAAACGGGACATCTTGAAGTTTCTCTGTTACCCAGGGTGACATCATGATCCATGAAAGTAAAGTAGATAGGAACAACATCATGGCGAACATGATACGAGTAACAATCGAGGAGAAACATGATTGGAGACCACAAAAGGCCAAGTTACAAGCAGCACTCGAACAGCAACAGGCCAACTAAGTATAGAGAAAAAGAGAGAGAGATAGAGAAAGAAAGAACAATTATTAATCAGTAACTAATTTCATAGAAATAACAATCAACCTTTAACGATAAATGAACAAGTAAACAAGTGAAGTAAACATAAAACAGTAAGAGAAATTCAAAGATACAATAGAAAATGAATGATCATAGATGATAGATAAGAAATACAAAGGAAAAGTCAGAAAAAGTGAAAATGGAAAATGAAAATCAAGAGAAAAGACAAAAAGAATAGACTTACTTGGCCTACAGTGAATACACTTAAAAGTGCTCCCATTTTCCTTTGATAAACTTACGTGAATTGTTAATTTAAATAGAATTGTAAACGAAATTAAATCTAATCAAAAGCAATTTAATTCTAAATCAAGAAATAAATGTCAAGTCAAACCCAAGAAAAATTAATTTTCTGGTGAAAGAAAAAAACAAAAACATTGAGTTATTCTCACAGTAGAATTCGTGAGAATAGCAAGTGAGTCTAAAAGAAGAGCAAAAAAACAGAATTTGAAACGAGCTCAAAGTAGAAACAATTTAAACGGTTAAATTTAATTTCTTTCAATTATTTTAATTTTAAAATTTATTTATTCTAATTAGTGATTCTTTTAATTAACATCTTTGTTATTCCAACAAATCTACAGATTAATTAGTTTGGAGAAAAATGTGATTCCAATTACAAATCTCTGTTTCTTTGTTTCAAGTTGTTCTATTTGATTGTTATCCTTTCCAATTCCATTTCATTTATTTTATTGAAAGGTGAGTGTTGTTATTTTCTAATTTGAGATGATTAATTTTCACATTTTCTTATTAAATTTCACTTGATAATTAACAATTTCTCCTGAAATTGTAAAAATTGCAATTGTTTAACTAGAGCCATCTATTGGGTTACTTGATCTTCTCCTAATTTAATCTTGGTCTTATGATTGAGTTTACTCATTTACAATTTTGTTTATTCTTTTCTTGTGTTAATTAATTCGTCTGTTAATTTGTTATTTTTATTTAATTTTTGTTCCTTCAAAACTAATCCATATCCTAATCTAATTCTGACACTATAAATTTTAAACGAATCCTCAACAATTTTCAAAGGTTTGTTCTCAAATGTAACTTCTCATTTCGTTTTTACAGTTTCATTTCCGTGTCTGTTGATTCTCTTGTTTTTTTTATTCTATTCTATTCTTGATATTCTATTCTCTGTGTTGTTGTTTATTACTGTTCTTTTTATTGTCTCTCGTCTGATTTACATCATTTATCTTTCTTTTTTTTTCTCTTCTAGGCCTTGTGAAATTTTTAATATCTTCTATTCTCTCTCTCTCTGCCTGTCTACACCTAGTCAAAAGGAGCCTGATTACTGTCTTTACCTTTCTGGTCCATCCTTAATAATTTTTGATTCTCTATCTCTTCCTCTTCCTCTTTCTTATTATCTCTCTCCCTCTTTCTTTCTTTCTTTCTTTCTCTTTCTCTCTTTTCATTCTTATTCCCTGTTTCTGACTCTTTATTACTCCACAACAACAACATATTTATACAACTACAATGGACAAATCAGAGACTCTAAATAAACGTCAAGGTAACAGTAATAGTAGATCAACGGGTAATAGTAATCCAGTGGATAGGACAAACTTTCGTTCGTTAATATGTGATGAATCTGGTATAATAATCGGTGAAATGGTTTACCGTTGTTTAATCTGTTCCTTTATTAGTGTATCAATGGATAAAATTCGAGCTCATTATCAAACAGAACATGTTGACATTGAAGATATAAGTAATGGTGAATTTAGATATGTAAATGATGATTATTGTCCATCACCAAGTGGCGATTCTTTAAACGATAATCAACAGAAAGCAACATCAACAACAACATCAAAAGAAAATCAATCAACAAATGATTCTATGAAATGAAAATAATTGTTTCCCTCATTTTTTATATTTTATTTTATATTAATAAACAAAAAAACTGCGTTGATTTGACATGAAAAGAAAAGCTCGAGTTGATAATTATATGATTTATCTTCAACTTATCGAAAAAAAATTTTTCTTCTCATAAGCCGATTTGTTTACCATTTAATCAATTAAACTGATTGACCAAATGACCTCTACAAATTGACTCATTTGTCGTTTAAGGTTCGATAAATGATTAGTCTTACTCTTTGATGGATATTACAAATTATGGTAAACATTTACTTTGATGATTCCAATGGAGATTATGATCCGGAAGGAAGTACAATTAATGTGTGGGTAGAAGATGAAATTATCTGGTTGATATTAAATTCGTGACAAAAATAATCAAATGTATCACGGATAATAAATCATCTTTAAATTGTCATTTGATTGTGATTGTCCTTGGAGTTGAATCTTATTCTTAAATTGCAACAAAAGAGTAAATTTTTTTTCGTTCTGCAAAAATTGGAAACAATCACAATTGTTACACAACAAGGTTACGATTGCTTTTCATTTACCTAGATGAGGAATTATCTTATTGTTGATTGATGATTATATTATCAAACAATTAAGAAATTGGGAGAGAGAAAAAGAAAAAGCTTCAGGATTAATATATTACAATTGTTACAATTTGATAAGATTGGAGTTGTTGAAAATGGAAATTAAAACATTTTTGATTGATCAAATTTAAAGCGTTGAATTTGCTACCTTTTGAGTGAGCAACTTGGGGGGAGACAAATGATACTAATTATAAGTTGAGAAAATTACATGCGGCTGCATTTACAGAATTAACTAATTGTGTTAGTAAATTGTTAAGAAAAGAAGGTGAAATAAATTGAAAGATGATGATGATACGAAGAAACAAGTTTGGCCTACATTAGATTCATCCCGAGAGGAAGAGTTTGACAAGAGCCCAAGAAATTGTCTAAGACGAAAAATTCAAAGAGGATGATGAAGATTGGATGAGAGATTCAGATGAGAAAGTGAGAGAGTGAGAAAGAGAGAAAGCAAGAGAGAGAGGGAGGGAGAGAGAGGAGGTGGAAAGATAATGTTCGGTTAAATTAGAAACTCGAAGTATCTCAGCCAAAACTTCAAGTCTCTCGATAAACAAACAACCACTTCCTCATCGTTCTCATCCTTTTTTTCATCATTATCATCGTTTTCCTTTTGTTTTCTCATCTTCTCTTTTTCGAATATTTTTCTTATTATTCAGTTGCAATTTTAATTGTTCCTCGATTCTCATCATTTCTCAATCAAGGTCCTCTCTCTTTTACTTTCTCCCTCCTTCAAGTTTCATAAGGCTTTAATCATATTTCACTTCAAGTTGTTCAGATGATCACCAGTGAATCTGTTGATTACTTTTCACTTTATAATTGTTTCATCAGTAGGTTGATTAAATCATCATATCAGCAAATCCAAGTTTTAATTTCACGTTGTCTCATCAGTCCAGTGCTTTGATTATATTAACCAAATGGATCCAACTAACGAATGATACAACCATGGATTAATTAAACTTCACATCACGTAATTAATTGATTATATATATTCTTGATACTTTAATCAAAATTGTTTGTTTTGATTTTACGACTTAAATCACTTGTCTCATCTGTTTGGTGTATGATTACAATTCCTGTCCAGTGGCTTCAAAATGCAAAGGTCAGTTGATATTATATTTGGATTATGTATCACAATTAAATCCACTGGGAAGTCAAGCTGCTTTTTCAGTTGAATTAATATGCTTTCTCCATCGCTGCCACTAATACAAAAATAACTTGTTAATTGTTATAACTGGATGATTAACTGTTGATGAACATTGTGCGAAATATACTTACCAAGAATCTATTAAGATGCTTCGATAAGTAAATTTTTACTCGAAAGACAAAAAGCTAATCTCAGCTTTTTCTCAAATTAGATACAAAAAAAACTTAACAACAGTCAATTGATTGATTTAAATTTTGTTTGTTCCGATGGTTAAATCATCCTTTCCACTTTTGAATTAATACCATTTTGATTTGGTTACCAAATCCATAGACGTCAAAGATTTTCAGATTGATTGATTAGCTCGATGCGATTACAACTTATTAATAATATTTACCGTTCCAAGTACGATAAGGCTTATAGATAAGAAAAATTTTCTTTTAGTAATCAACAGAGTAAACGATTGACTTTATCCAGAGGTGGATGATAAATTTTCAGACTTTTTTTTCCTCTTCATAACTGTAGATGAGAACCTAGAGAAAAACAAAATCCAATGTAAATCTAATCATCTTGCCAAAAATATCTTGTCACCCTTACTTTGTTTAGCATCTTTATAGCTACTTTTGCATCTTCACTCTAACTGTGTCGCAGTGTCTTCCATGTTTATCAGTGAATAATAATCATGACAACGACGATTAACAGTAATAAAAAAGAATAGTCAAAAGAAGATGATTAATTGAAAACCAAATTGTATACACGTCAAGTTAGTTAATTGAAATAAAATCTTCCCAAGGTTAGGCCTAACCTAGTTTGTCCATCACGCATTTATTACATGGCTCCAACACGGATTATCATCATTGTTACAGAATCTATAAATATAAATTGAAACAAGAAAAGTTTCATGAAAGAAGAGAGAGAGAGAGAGAGAGAGGGAGAAATGTAAATATAATTTAATTACCTTTCCATGTTTTCCTAAACAATCAAATCAAATCAAATTCCAAGGGAAAAGAAACACTGGAAACAAACATATTACATATAATCTGATGACCAAAAGGCTTCAACACTTTGACTATCCAAAGATGAGAAAAAGTTAATCAAAGAGGAAATTAAGTTTTCCAGGTAATTGCGTTTCCATGATTCGGAAAACAAGAGACAGATTAAAGAAAAAAAATTAACAGAGAGAAAGAAAATTAAATTAAGGCCAACAGAATTTAAATCGATTAATACATTAAGATGAATCTATTTTTACGTTTTAAAGTTAACGAGGAAAAGGTTAACATGTAAATGGAACAAAAGAGAAAAGAGAATAAATTTTTTTCTCTTTCTTTTTTATTCGATTCACTGTGATTGGTTATTTTCATTTCTCCCTCTCTCTCTCTTTTGATCATCACAATTGTGATTCCAAATAATTGACACTTTTTAATCATCACTAATTGCCAATGTTTTCCCTTTGAAGACCAACAATTAACTGACTGCTTTTGCTGCTGTTGATTAATAAGTTACTTTTAATGTGAATGTTGCTTTCCCTTTCATAATTGAATTGATCTGTTTCTTTTGTTTACAATTAGTTGATTGTTATTTGTATTGTTATCTATATTGTGTTGTTATATCATCAAAAGGTCACTGAAATTGGAAACCGAAGGGTCAAGTGTTGTAATTGATTGTGATGGTGAAGATGAAGAACTCAGGAAAATCAACAACGTTAACAACAATGAAACCAACACCATCACCACCGTCAATAATGAATCAGATACAAATGAAATTATTGATTCAGTTGAATTGGAAAGTGATAATGATGATGAGAATTGTGTTAATTATGATGATGATGATGATGAGGTTAAAGGTGATTCTAATGATGGTAATCCTGGTGTTGATTGTGAAGGTGAGAAAAGATTAACTGTTATGAGACAAAAATTTGCTGTTGGTGGAGCTGAAACTGGATCATCATCCATTGAGGATCGGCGTATGTGTTGCACCAACGTGGCTCTTATGGTCTATAAAAAAGCTTGGGAAGGTGCAAGAAAAGCTCTCCCAAGGTACGAGATTAATTCCAAGAGAAAAAAAAGAACCAAAAGTTAATTGATTAACTGCAAGAGAACAAAAGAACTGAAAGCGAAATTATCACCAATCTCTCTAATCGTTCAGTTACCAGAAAAAAATTCAACAACAAAATACACAATAATTTAATCTCAATTGAAATGTTAATTTGGTATCTTTGATCCTGGATAAGTGAAAATCTTACCATGTGATGAATGTAATTTGTTGCTAATCCATATCATCATCTTAATCGCACGATTAACCAACCATATTCTCATCATTTGACACATGATGACCATTCTTGTTCTTAAGCCTTTCTCTTAAATCCCTTAGCCATTAATCCAACATCTCAGAAATCTCAGAAATTATTAGAACAACAATCAATTTAATCTTCAACTCTTATTGTTATTTCTTAATTGTTTCATCCTTAATGAAAAAAAAACATTCAATGAGACATATTAATATGGATTCATTTGAAATAACAACAAAGATTTTTAGATTATCTGATTTGGATAAGAAACTTTTTGTTTTCAATCAAAACATAAACGATTTAGTCAAATAACAATTGAAAGATTATCATTATGAATATGAATTAGATCAACAAGTGATTTACAAATAAATGTCAATCACTTTGTTGATCTTTGTTTACATTTTATATTCTTTCACAAATTATGCAACCTTACAAAAAGATTGTGATAATTTAATGATGAAGATGATAGAGATTAACAATTTATAAGGTTTCATGATATTGATTATCATTCTCATGATGATGATGATTATTTTTGTGAAATGATTAGGTTATGATCGGAGGAGACCAATACTTGGCTTCACCTTTTGGTGCTGATTCCTTTTCCCTTTCACCTGAATTATTATTAGACAGAATTAAAGTTAAAGTTAAATGTTCATGTTTACCAATATTAACTTGTGATATTGATGTTTATCCTGTTTACAGAGCAACAAGGAATCGTGGTAATAATAATAATCCCAATTTGGATGATGGTTCATCTTCAATAACAACCCCAACGACTTTTATTGATCAACGAGGACAATCAACTGGACGATCTGATCCTAATCGAGTCATTTCATTTGAATCGGAAGATGATCCAGCAACTGAGTGTTCATTTGAATATGAAGATGATGATAATGGTGATTTAAAGTGTTCTGTTGAAGATAATGGTAAAGTTAACGATAGACCGACCGAAGATTTTGTTGGAAATGATTCATCAAATGGTGGACCTGGAGATGTTGATCTTGAATCGTTTAAAAGAGTTTATATGACCGATGTAATTCCCGAAGAGCCAGATAAAGAATCGGCTGCTGTTCAACTTGAGACACAATTAAAGGATAAATTAGATGATAATAGTAATATGAAAGATAATAGTGATGCTTCAAAATGGAGGAGACGATTTCGACTCAATGAGAGAGCCAATGAAATCAGTGATCAGCAAGAAAGTTCAATTGAACAAAATAATAACAATAACGAAGAAACGATTTCTAAACAAGATTCAACGACTGATCCACAATTAATCAGTGAATCAGATTTGGATAAACCAATGTCTATATCGGACATTGAACGATTTGTTCAAGTAACTTGTGATCAAGTTATGTCAAAGGTACGAGAAGAGGGTATTGGTATTGGCAGTGATGACGATGGATCAGTGCGAGGAAGTGGAATCTTCAAAGTTAGACCTGGAATAAAATTTGAAGATTCAACAGACTCGAGAGTATCGACTGATTTGACACTTTCGACAATTGAAATACCAACGATAACAATTACTGAAGATCAACTAGATGATTCAAGTGTTATTATTTCGGAAGCGACACTTCATGAAACTGCAAGTGAATATGAAGGTGGTGAGTTACCTGAAGATGGAGGATCAACTCAAAGTGGATTAAAGGGAAAAGCAACTGCCCTTAAATCTAAGGTTAAAAAATTGGGATCAAAGGTGAAAGACATTTTCAAAAGAGGAAATACTCCAGAGGCTAGTCCAGCTTCTTCGCCAGTGGGTGAATATATTGACATCGAAGAGGAAAAGAGGCGTCGAAAAGAGGAAGAAAAAGAAGCTGAGAAAAGGCGGAAAGAGGAAGAAGCTGCTCGTAAAGAGGAAGCTGAACGAAAACGAAGAGATGAAGAGCTGGAGAAAAGAGCGTTGGAGATGGAGAAAAAAGCTGGAGCTGAAATCGCCAAAGAAAGAGAACGACTGAAAAAAGAAGAGGCCAAAAGACTGAAAGAGGAAGAGAAAAGAAAGAAAGAGGAAGAGGAAAGACTGAGAAAAGAAGAGGAGAAAGCACGGAAAGAAGAAGAAAAAAGGATGAAAATTGAAGAGAAGAAACGCCGAGAAGAAGAGGAGAAGAGGAAAAAAGAAGAAGAAAAGATGAGAAAGATTAGAGAGGAAGAGGAAAAGATGAGAATTCGAGAAGAGGAGGAGAGAAAACTAGCCGAAGAAGAAAGAAAACGACAAATTCAAGAAGAAGAAGAAGCAAGGAAACGATGGGCCATCGAAGATGCTGAAAAACGAAGACGATGGATCGAAGAAGAGGCCGAAAAGCATAGAATTAAATTCGAAGAGGAACAAGAACGAAAAAGAAAACAGAAACAATTGGAAGAAGAAGAGCAAGAAAGAAAACGAATAAGGCAAGCAGAAGAAGAAGAAGAAAGAAGGAGAAGAGAAGAGGAACAAGAAGAAAGGAGAAGGAAAAAGAAAAGGAAGAGGAAGAGGAAAAAGCTCGAGAAACACTAAAACGAAAACTCGAAGATGAGGTCAAAGTGAAAAGTGTCCAACATGAAGATAATGAAAATAACCTTGACCAAGTAACGACAACAACTGTTACAGTTATTGAATCAGATCAACCATATTATGAAGTGGATGGTACCAAAGATGATATTAGACGAGCTTCCTCACCTTCGTTGGCCTCAGGTCAAGTTTCGGTAGCAATGTCAAAGTCAACTTCTCAGGCGACTATCATGGTAACATCACCTCAAGGTAGACGAGATAAAAGGTCACAATCTCGAGATGAGGAAACTTTTGGACAGGCTGGTGAGTCCGAAGGGGATATCGATCCTCACATGGGAGGACGGAAGAGGAAAAAGATGAGAAAACGACTTCGTGATACCAAGAACAAGCTGATTAACCTTAAATCGAAAGCACTTGAATCACTTCCTTCAATGTCATCATTGAAAAGTCGAGTTAAAGAAATACTCCCAGTTCGTGGGAACAATAGTGGTGGTCAAGTATCCGAAGGTGGACAATTTAATGATGAAGATCCTGCCTATTCAATTCACAGAGAGCAAAAAGTTTTCTCAGAGTATCGAAAACGTTATCCAGATTCTGAGAATGAATTTTTCTCTGATTCTGAGTTAGTTGAATCACGAAAATCAACATTGAAAGCGATGTCACCCGATTTAGATGGTATGCCGGATGGTATGTATGTCGATATGGATGCAACTGCCGATCGTGTTCAAATGTTATTATCGCCTATAAATAGTCCACTAAGGCCACCAAGAAAATCTGATTATGGTGGCGGAGGAATGGGCTCATCTTTTCACACTTCAGAACCCAATATAAGTAGGACGGGAACACCAAGAAGCCTAAACGAGCCCCACCACCACGACCTCCTCCACCTGAGGTTGACATTTACTTGGTTAGTTCAACAATGCTGAACACATCAGCCACCGGATCAACGGCAACATCACTAGGCGCATTGGAAGAGATTGACTTGGCCAGTTCCGCTCGTGATCTATCCGAGTCATTCATTTCGACCAAAAAAGAGCCTGAAAAAATACCAGCCTCTATTTATTACCGTAAAGTTGTTCGTGATTGGCAAGAGCGACATTTGAAGAAAATGGAACATGAAATGGTTTCAGCTTCGTCTCCAAATTTGGAGACTTATCAACGTCCACCTCGACCAGGCCGTCAACCTCCTCGTATTCCTCCTCTTCCTTTAACCACAGACCGTCCTCGACCTTTACCTCGACGAAAATTGTCCCGAACAGGCTCTTTGCGACAAAAGATGATTGAACAACAAAAAAACGAGGAAAATAAAGAAAACACTTTCGATGGTTATGAAACTTTAGGAACAAAACGAGAATTTGATCATCCACCATTACCAGGTAACTCTGGACTTCCACCTTTACCTCCACCTCGATTTCGAAACGATCGTCGAACTCCACTATCAAAATCTCCTTATAGTACTTTACATCGTCGACAATTACAATTACAACAGCAACAGAGACAAATTCAACATGATTACTTATTGACTTCTGATCGAGCAAATCTAGCCACCGATGGTCTTTATTGGAAGCCATTTTCTTGGAAAACTGGACGTTGTCGATCACTAACTGAGCTTTATGTTAGAAAACGGACTCAACCACCCCAAGGACCTTCAAGTTTAAAACCTTCTGAGATCGGATCATCTGAACATTCTTTAAGTCAAGAGCCTTTAGAACAATCTCTTTCATACCGATTAATGTCACAATACTGTTCACCTCCACGACCACCCCCACCAACGATAAAAACCGAATCCGCTTCCGATGAACTACTAACGAATCTTATTAGTTCAATAGAAGATCAAAGGACGACAGTTGAACCACTTTACTCAACAATAGATCGTAGTAAAAAACTGAAACGTGACATTGGACTAATGGTACTTGAAGAATCAAATGGCGGTGATACTTTAATACAAAATCGACCTTTACCCGCTCCACCTTTGCCTCCTCGAAGTAAACGAAAAAATTCCTGCTCTCGATCTCGTTCAAATTCACCTTACCTTAGTTTAACCAATTCTTCTGTTGACCTAAACCGACCTGATGCAACAATCATCAGGCCAATTTCACCATATCCACCATTGGGTATGGTGGATGTTTCCGTTGAAACAGGATCACAATTAATTAATCCTTCACCAAGTAAATCAAAAGAGTGTCAAACATCATTGGAGGACATTGTTGTTGACAAACAATCAAATTTAACCAATAGTGATAATAATTTAAGATTAATTAAAGACGCAAAAGAGTCTCAACTTACATTTGAAAATATTGAAGGCTATTTTGAAGATATTGATGGTCGTGAATCGATCACACCAACACCAACAACAATAGCAGAATCAGCAATTACCAAAAATCAAATCGCAATTAAGGTAACACCTGAACGAGAAGTGATATTAATCGATGATTCTAAACAACCCAACGACGTTTCAACCAAAATTTGTCAACTTAAACGAACGAAACTTTCATCATCATCATCATCTAAAGATCAATCACCTCCTTTGGTAACTGCAAACAGTGTTAATGATAATAACTCTGTTCCCAAAGTTGTCAATCAACCCTCAGGTCAAGATTCGATGGGTCGACTTGATGATGAAGGTTCGAATCGGACAATGACCAGTTACTATGACGCTGAAGAATGTGACACCGATATGGATACTTTTACCGATCTTGATTCAATATCGACCGAAACAAATGCAACTCTAACAGCTTCCAGTCAATTCCATTCAGTTTATTCTGAACCTTTAATTTCATCAACCACCACAACCACAAGTCATTATGACACCGATGAGGGAGATAGTAAAACAATGGAAATTCCTTGTCAACCATCAATCGCCGCTCCCTTAGTACCTTCAAAAGGTAAAAGTGAAGATGAGAATATCGGAAATGAAGAAATGACACAATCATCATCATCGAAAACCGTTCCATTGGTTGCTGAACATGTAACCATAGAGGAAGATTCTGATGACGATATGTTACAACCTCGAGTTGCCTCACCAAGCGAAATGAGAGCTTATATTTCCCGAAGACGAATGCGACCCGATTCAATGGATGCTTCAGATTCTGAATGGTAACGTGATAATTAAGAGATTAATTTGTTCTCAATTTTCTTCTTACAATTTAACTTTCGACGATAAAACCAACATTAGTCAGATTGTTTCTTTTACCGCCATTTCTAATGGATAACTAAATATTGTTCTGTTGAATTATTAATATAATTTCACTTTTTGAGTATATATTTTATTTCCTGTTCTATTTGATTGAGAATGACAATTAAGCTTATTGAGAAATCTCTTCAACATTCTTAATCAAATCAATGTTAAAAATTTAAAACAAAAATCGATTCAAACTTAAATTTATTTCCTTTTCCTCTATTCCTTTAGACTAAAGTATTTATTACATATAGATGTTTAATTGATGTTACCAAATTATACTCGAGAATATGAAATTGATTATATCAACAATCAAACCGAAATCTCATTGTGAGAGTACCACAATTTGGATTATAAAGAGAAACACACAATCAATAATGGTGGAAACAGTTTATCAGAGAAAAGGAATTAAATTTTAATCGAAGAAAATGACGATGATTTAAATCTAAAATTAACAAATTTAAAAATTGTTTTTAATTGGCTTCAGAATGTTAAGCAATTAATCAAAAACTGTAAACAAAAAGTTAAATCAACAAAAAATCCCCTTCATTGTTATAAATCAAAAGATAATTAAAATAGTGTTATTATTAAAAACAACACACACACACAATCAATTTGATGAGAATTTAATTCAATCATTAAATTGGAATAAATCACAAGAACAAGTTTGAAGAAAACAAAAAAGTGAATTAACAATTAAAAAAACAATTACCATAAAAATGGGTAAGGTCGAAGTTAATAAATTCGGAAACAAGTTCCATGTCAGAACTTGGATTGGATATCGGGCGAGGTACACCTAATTTCGCAATAACACCAAAACGAAGATCAGAGTCGAAGCCTTCTAGTAAATTCTATTAATAAATTATTTCAATCATTAAATTATCTGAATTAATTGTCAGAATATCGATGTTAAGTTTGCATAATTAAATATTTATTGAAATTGGATCATAATTATTAACGAACATTAACTGATTATTCAGAAATCAATCAATTGGAAATCGTAATTAATCATATGAAGTACTAATAATAAATTAGAAAGGTAAAAAGGCCACGAGAATATCGGCAATATTTTGATCAAGAGTATTCGATGGATTGAATCCTGGGAATTTGATTTGATTGATGTTCTTTTTAACGAAAGCATTGGCAACTTCTTCCAATGAAGCCTTTGGATCTAATCCATTGAGATTGTTGAGTAAATCGTCGACCAAGGCAACAATATTGTCGTCAACCGAGTTATCCACATCGAATCCTGGAGATTGGATCTTTTTGAGAGCATCGTAAAGATCTTGAAGGAGATTCATGTGAATTCCCTTCTTTGGGATCCAATCTATTGATAATTAAAAGTATTAATAATAAAGTTAATATAGTAAAGTTTGAATAAAACTTTTCATTTCTACCCTTTGGTTTGTGAATATCAATTGATACTTACATGGAAATGGAAGTGAGTCCAAGAAAGCAGTTACAGTACAATTGAGATTGTCGACAATGGACTTGGTAGCATCGCAATCGGGAAGATTGAGTTTTCGGATTTTCGACTCTAAAATGTAAACAAGATTATCCTTACTAGTTGCAAGGGGATTCCAATCAGGTACAGTAGCTGTTTCCAATGGTGTGTCAAGAACAGTTAGAATGTTTTTCTCGAGTGAAGCGGATCCATCCCAATTAGGAATCGTCTTCTCCCAGTCCTTAACAACGGCATCAACGAGCTTCAAGAGCAATCTGTCAAATGTACTAGGTCCTGGTAGATTTAATGAGTAATGATTAATTATTTTCAAAAGAATTATTTTAAAAAGAAAACAAAAAGTTTGTTGTTAGGTTAATTTCGTAACAGAAAGACAATCGTTGATAATTAAAACCAAGATTGAGGTTAACTTACCCCTTGGTACACCAGCATCGATTGCAGAAATACAGAAAAGACTAATTAAGACAAGGGAGAATTTCATTTTTATTAATTTTAAAGTTTTTATGGTTAATGTAAACACAATTAAAAATTATTCAATTAGTTTGAAGGAAGATTAAGACTTGAATGATTTCATACTAGGTTAACATCGAGGCTTTTATACTATTAGCATATTAGTAATTTACGAGCAAATGTATGAAAATAACTAAACTTTGATTGTTCTGATCTATCGACATTGAAAATCAAGATTAAAGACTTGATTTAATCTCAATTTGATTGCAATAATTCTCATTACGATGATAAGCAGAGAATTACGGTTCTTTTTGAAATAAATATCGATAATAATGAAAAATTCCATTGTTCATGGTGATGCAAATTCATGATAAAATCTATTACTGAGTAGATAGTAAACACCATAAGATATTTTTCATATTCTAAATATTTAGTTCTTATCAATTAGATAAATAACTTAATCAAATGGTTACATTATCTCTTGAAATAATTACGGACAATTGGTCTGTGATTCAATTAATTGTTAATCAATTATTCTATCATGAAAGCAATTTAATCGTATAACAGAATTTGGTTGTTGTGTGACTTTTTAGTCAAAAAATTGATACTTTTTAGGGCCACAAATAGGAAGTCCAAATATATTTTTCATTGTCCGATCAGTAGTTTTAGCGAAAATACAGTTCGAAATTGAAATTTCAGGTCACTTTCTCTCACCGATGGCAAGTTTGCAGATCATGAAAATTAGATTCGTTTGGGTAAAAAAATATGTAAATTGCTCTGGTCATAGTTTCGTCATTTTAAATAAATTGATCGCGATTGGTCCCAAGTGTCGAGAATGATCTGAAACTTATTCTTAGGCCTGTTTCAGTATGGTGAATCAAGTACTTTTTCCTTTTTTCATTGGGTCAACATTTTCAACGAAATGAGAAAGTGGCCTTTGGTCTGAAATTTTACATTATCTCTTGAAATAATTATGGATACAGAGTTATTATCATTCACTTCTTGTCCAGGTATTACCCTAATTGCTATCTGATTTTTGGTAATTACTGATTCCGCTATTCAGCTATATCTGTTGACCATCAATAGCTTCAAATGTAGAAGATGAAACTCTTTCGAATCTTAAACTAATCTTTGTCCAGCCAAATGTTTTGTGTTTGTCCGCATGAAATATTATCACATTTAAACACAGTCAAGCTATCTATAAAGTGGCTGATTTGTTAGACCGCAAAATATTAATTCTTACAGTCTTAATTAAATGACGATGATTTGAACTATTCAGACATCTCTAGGTGTATTAGTATATTATATATTAGGTATAGTATATTTTTTATACAACTGTCCTTCGCCGAAGATCATGTAGGGAAATCGAATCCTACTTATAATTATTTGCGAGCTCTATCGTAACAATATTTCCGTTTATCAAAACTTTCTGTCCAATAATTCTGTACAAAAAATCCTGAGAGGCTGGGTTTCTTTCAAAAACTACAATGGCTGGCACATTTTGACTTTGACGGCACAGCTGAAATTCTATAAGTTCAATGTCTTCGCCGAAGTACTCTAATGCATTAGTTATATCTTCAATTTCTGAATATCTAGGAATATCGCTCAACTTGAGTGCAAGTCTTCCTTTTCTATGTTCTCGTGCTTCTGAAGATATACAAACTCTTATAACTTTATCAGTGAATTCGACTCCGTTTTTCAAAAGAGCTCTGCGACAGCTAAACACATCAGCACAATCAATCCATGCAACATTTATCATTGTGAATAAAAATTCTTCCTAAGGTGCAATTACCAAAGAAATTCAAAATATCGGGCTTCTTGCAACGTTGGGGCAAGGTGATCAGTGATCTGGAGTCGATAGAAGTCATGAGGTATGCGCTTTTTGAAAGGTGTCGTTTTTAACTGAGAAGAGGCGATGTGCTTGTTAAGACCTTGGCAAAATAGATCAAACTTAAAATCAAGAGCGATAAGATTGAGATCAGGAACTGAAGTAAGCACAATCGACCTGAAAAATTGCTGGTTCCTTGGGACAAGAGAGTTTCGTGATGATGGATTGTGTAGTCGGTAAGTCATCCAGTCCTGAATAATCGCAAAAGCATTAACATCCCAATTCGGCTTACGGTTATAAAGTAAATCCTTTGGTAAGATTTCATTAAATTGAGGAAAGGCGATCCAGAATCGAACATCGAGAGAGATCCGGTGATCCGATGTGATAAAAATATTGATATGATCTCGATCTAGTCTAGACTCTTCTTTAATCCATCCTAGACCCAACGACCGACTAAAGTTAGATCTTTGAAGAATGATAGGATCAGAGATAGTTCTGGGTCTATTGTCTAGAAAAAGCATACGACAAAATTTACCTCCAGAAATAAAATCAGGATCCATTGCGAAAGAACCGCTGATGATGAAGATGATGATAAAGGTGTTGATGATGGCGATGGTTTAGATTGAATTGGTACGGTTAAAATGATCGAAAGCAACCGTGAGATTGAAGATCAAATTATAGAGAAAAAACGCCAAAAGATTCACTAAAATGAGAAAAGAGAAAGAAAAACCTAAAAGAGATTAGAAACAATAAGAATGAAAGCCAAAAGATTCACGAAACCAACACTTAGAAAAACACATTCTAAGTGTTGGTTCATTTCTTTAGTTACCTTGCTGATGATGGTTTAGATTGAAAAGGTTAAGTCAAAAACTAGATAAAGCCAATAATGACTTAAGCTTGCTCGAATCTATTGGTATATTACTTATTGAAATTGATGTCAAACAAAAAATTTGATCTCATAGCACCAACGTCCAAAAGAACCTCTCGAAATTCGATTTTATTTATTGAGGTTAAAAAGTTTGAATTTAGCGCTCAAGTGTCGTATTTAATACAGTCAGACCTCTCATATTTAAACGAAAAGGGTAGGTAAACAAAAGGTTGTGATTGATCAAACTTTACTATATTAACTTTATTATTAATACTTTTAATTATCAATAGATTGGATCCCAAAGAAGGGAATTCACATGAATCTCCTTCAAGATCTTTACGATGCTCTCAAAAAGATCCAATCTCCAGGATTCGATGTGGATAACTCGGTTGACGACAATATTGTTGCCTTGGTCGACGATTTACTCAACAATCTCAATGGATTAGATCCAAAGGCTTCATTGGAAGAAGTTGTCAATGCTTTCGTGGTAAGACTCAAGATATGTCCGTCAGCTCGATATCTTCACTTTTCAGCTGATTTTTTTCGGCTTAAAGTTCAAGCTACATATGAAAATGGACTTAATTGTTCAGTTAATTGTGTATGTTTAAATTAGGTTAGGTTAGGTCTTCGCTAGTAAGGGTCACCATGACCAAAGAATCAAACCGAACTTTAAGCTGAGAAAAAAAATCAGCTGAAAAGTGAAGATATCGAGCTGACGGACATATCTTGAGTCTTACCGCTTTCGTTAAAAAGAACATCAATCAAATCAAATTCCCAGAATTCAACCCATCGAATACTCTTGATCAAAATATTGCCGATATTCTCGTGGCCTTTTTACCTTTCTAATTTATTATTATTAGTACTTCATATGATTAATTACGATTTCCAATTGATTGATTTCTGAATAATCAGTGAATGTTCATTAATAATTATGATCCAATTTCAATAAATATTTAATTATGCAAACTTAACATTTATATTCTGACAATTAATTCAGATAATTTAATGATTGAAATAATTTTGAATGATTTTAAATTAAATTATGAGTTTATTGAGTAGAAAACAATAAATAAATAAAGCGGTCGGAATATAAACAAGTTGATTGATTAACTTAATTGAGATGAGAATGAAAAAAGTTTCATGTTTTGTTTTTGTACAAAAGTTATCATTGAGAGAAAAGCTCAGTGAATGTAATAAATAATCACTGATTGTTGGAAAATTATTAAACCAAATTTACAATTTAAATTTGATGGCAATTAAATTAATTGTTACAAAATGAGAGATGACAAGAAAATTATAATACACAAATTATAAGTAAATGATGATTAAAGTTGCACATATGAAATGAGGAGTGAAAATAATGTTGATATGAATTGTGAAAGTGAATTGATTAATCGTTAATTGTGAAAATGAAATACCAATTATCATTATTAATATCAGTGAGCACTAATTTATATAATACTAATAATCTAATAGTTGAATAAATACTTTTGGTCAAGTTAATTGTGTAAATAGTTAAAGTTACAACTATTACAAGGCAATTAAAGTTAAGATAATTTGTTGATCTGATGTTGTTTCAATATTTGCTGCTATTATAATAAAGATATTGCTAATTAAAGACTGTGGACCATTAATTGTCGTTGATTGTGTTGAGGTAAATGTTAGAGAAGAGAAAAAAATAGTTAATCTAGTAAATTGTGACATTTAATGTAGTTGGTTTGTTAAGATCTTTGTACTTCCAGCTGATTATTTTTCATTCATCGAGACTCATTGATAATATGAGTAACTGATTATTGGCTTCGATGGGATAAAGATGATGAAGAAGATGATTGAGATTTTTGAATTGGCGATGTGTTGGTCACTCCTCGAGGAGATGATGATACTATGGCATCTTGAGTATTATTCCTGAGCTGTGAAGTGTTTCGTTCGGGAAGATATCCATAAGGATTAGTGGTTATATTTACATCTTCTTGTAAATTGACACTCCGACCAGAGCCTGATGGAGATGGTTGTTGTTGATGATGATAGAGATGGTGATATGATTCATCTGTCTCAACGACATCATCTTCCAACTGATGACTATTGATCTCTTTGTGATCTGATGGACTGGCCATCATTTGATTCACATCATGAACAGGTAAACTATCGTACCTTTGATGCACTTGAGGAGCTCCTCCAGAAGCCATAAGTTGACCATTGTCATCATTAAACTCTGGTGATAATCCTTCATCTTGAGATGTATTCATATCAGGTGAGTTGTCATAAAAGGTTTTTGGTCCTCCCATGATAACATTAGGATCATCTGATTCTGGTAATCCCATGGCTAAGATATTTGAGCGACTGTAAGGTCTTTGGGCCATGTAAGGAACTGATCCTATCCCGTCAACATTAGATTGAGGGTCAATCGAGGTTAAAGTTGGTGGTTGTCTTATGTTCATACCAAATGATCCCCATCTTTTTTGCTCATTAAATTGTGGATGATTAGTATGTTGATGCTGAGATAGATTTTGCTGTTCAGATGCTGACACAACTAAACCATTTAAATGGTCAACATGTTCACTTACTCCAGTCATTGATTGTTGTCTCATTATGTTGATATGATTCTGTTCTGGTGCATCAATGGCCTCAACCTCTTCTTCATCAGATGAATGACTAGATGCCAAATCAAAAGAGCGTTGGTAGGACATTTCACTTTCAGATGCTGAGTCCATCGGTCTACCTCGACGGCCTCGAACACCTTTACGACCACCACCTCGGTGAACATGATGACGAGCTTTATGATGTGATTGTACCGACGGAGAAATGCCACTTGGTACATCAGATCTGTAAGGACTTGATGAAGTTTTTGTTGCGGTTGAACGACTAGTTGTTGATGATGTTGAAATACCAAAACCTCGAGCATGAAGAACATCAAGATGAGCACCTTGGATTGGATTGATTATCCCTCCTGATGAATTTTTGGCAGCTAATGATGTTCGTGTTCCACTCATGCTTTCCTCTAAATGGTTCAATTTAATTCCCTTCAATCGATACCAAGTGATCTTAATATTTTGTCTCACTCGTCGATTTACCAAACAGTAACCAACAAACACATAACAAGCAGATATAATCGAAAGAATGACAAATCCCAAGTTGAACTCTTCCAGTGTATCATTTGAAGCTAATAAAGCAAGAATCCAAGTCGAACCAAGAACAGGAAGTAATATAATACTAAGCCAAAGTAAAGTCTTTAGGTTACCATAGTCAGAAACTGTCTCTTTTATTTGGATACTTGCTCGAAGAGCTAAAGCAAAGATGACTACTGAAAGGAAGGAAAATAAAGATATTGGTCCAATCATACTCCAAATGACACTTTCATAAAGTGACAGCCAACAGAATAGATAATGTCCATACTGGTCAGCTCGAACACCAACTGCCAAGCCAACTATTATCGCAGGTAAAGCATAGCCAACAAAATGGTAAAATCTCATTGGTCCGTGATTTATGTCACGAATTTCGGTCAACATTCGGTAAAGATGAATGGACTCTACAAATATCCAGGAGAACTCACAAAGAAAAGTATAATGTAAAAGTATTGCCACCATTGTACAAGGAAAACCTCGTTGAGTTAATGAGTTCCTTAATTTCATTGCCACAATGAATATTGCTTGAGAAGCAAACATGGAGATAACTATATTCCTATGAATGCTGTTACTATTTGTTTGAACTCCTCGGATAACTGAAAGCAGGAAAAGAGTGACCAAAAGGATGACCAATGAAAGTGAAATACCAGCAAGTGTAGCAACACCAAGAACAAATGATTCTTCAACATAAATTTTAGATGATGTTGTATCCATGAGAACACCAAATGGAGCGATTCGATCACAGGTACAATTGATGTAGGTAAATGATCGTCTCAATTTGGTTGGTGGATAAATACCAGTTATCTCACATCCTCGAGTTGACCATTTACCTGATCGTGACTCGTATTGTGATCGACCAGATTTACCATTAGAACCTGAAATCCAATAACCACACTGAGGATTATTGTAACCCTCGGAGGCTAATGTTGCCAGACGAACAGTTATTCGAGGTTTAATACTTTTGTCGAGAAAAAGTTTCGAGTCAGCGGGCCGTAAGATGAAACTTGTCAGGGGAGTGTTAAGTTTCACAGGAACACCGAATCTATGTTTAACTGAACTGTCATAAGAGGCCATCAAATGTTGTCCTAATGTTTGATAAATGGCATAAGAGTAAATGGCTCGAGGATAATTTGTTATCATAGAGCTTGGGGATGAGGATGATGGTGATGAAGAGTAACCACTTGATGAGAGTATTGATTTTTCAAAAAGAGTTAAATTATTTGGCTCTTTGAGATGTAAGTTTTTCAATGAAGGAATTAGTCGGGTAATTTCATCTGAGTGTTGTTTCCTCATTGGATAATTGTTGTACTTGGGTAATGATATGATCGGTCCAATGGATGATGGGACATTATGGTCAAGGTAAGGTGAGGAAGACAATTTTTTCATATCAATCGATTGATTATTAGCCGCTATTGATGTTGTATTTGCTATAGTCGATGATAAAGTTTCATATTGTAATGATTTACTGATTGTTGTTACTTCCCAAAGTTCATCGTAACCAATTGTATCCAAACCAAATATCATGTTAGGATAAGCGATTTCAAATGGCTCAGTATAAGTGTCTTCCATATTTTCAATCAAAACTTTACTATAATCTGAGAATAGTGTTAATAACACCTCAGGTCCAGAACTATCGGGTGATTCAGAAGCCATTTTTGCCCAATACTTGGAATAACTTTCATCGAGTATTTTACTTGTAATGTAAATTAAATTGTTGACATAATATCGATCTTGTTTATGAGTTAAATTAAGTCCTTTCTGGTCAAGTTCATAGGATAATAAATGGTACAAAATACCATAAGAAATTAGGACATCACTACCATATAACTCTTTGGTTGAGTTGATTGCATTTTTAAGATCATGGGAAAATTTGATTGACATGTAAGTTGTCAGGGGAAACTTTTCCTTCTCAAGTAAAACCAATTGTTCAGCGAGTTCACTGAATGTATTGGAGGTACATTCAAAAAGATCTGGAGTTCCCCAGCCACTGGTTTCATCGCAAAAACGTTTCGCTTTACCAAATGAACCGGTTGGACAATTTTGAATCACTTCCGTTTTAAATAATCCTCTTTCCCACCAAATACCTTCGGCAAAAGATCGAGGGCAACCATCGTAGATCACTTCACATCCTCTCATTGTAACCTCGTACAAAGAGCTAGCACAGGTATCACACCGACGACCAATTACTCCAGGTCTACATTGACACTGACCACTGATTGGATCACATTGATTACTTAATGATCCTCGTGAGTAACAATCACATGAGAAACAAGAATCACTTCCAATGGGTTGATAATGATTCTCAAGACACATACACTCGCCTGTTGTTTGATTACAATGACCATCATAACCTTTGTCCGAGTCACAATTACAAGGGCCACAAATTGGATAACCCCACCAATTTGATGGACACCGATCTTCAATTGTTACATCACAATTTGGTCCAGTATGAAATTCATCACATTCACATCGATAGCCTTCCTTGTTGTTCCAAGGGATACATCGGGAACCGGGTGAGCAAGGATTCAGCTCACAAACTAAGATACAATCTGCTCCAACATAACTTGGATTACATTTACAGACAAAGTTTCCCAATCCTTTGTTAATACATTGAGCTTGGTGAGGACAAGGATTAGATGAACATGGATCATGATAATGACAACCTTCAACGACATTAAGCTCACTTAGTGGCCTTAACCAAGCATCACGAGCATTACCAACATCAACTCCTTGAATACACCCATTAAAACCAACCAGGTCAATATCAGGTGATGATATTGGCACTGTCGGTGCAGTTGATTCATCTTCACCTGGTTCAATACCTCCAACAGAAACTTTGGATATAAAAAGGCCACGAATGTCACCAGTAAAATCTTGATTAGCCTCATACTGACCATAATCAAGATTCAACCAAATTCCATTGGTCATCCAATTAGCTTCCAAATAATGCCATTCACCATCGTTCACTTTAATTGGAGCTACGAGAACAGTTTCACGATCAAAGGTGTATCTTAATAGACCATCTTCAATGTCGATAATTACATAAGTTTTCTGGCTTAATTGCATTCGTAAAATTGTTCCTTTACTTTTGAGTGTTTTAAAGGATAGTCTAACCAACCAGGGAATACTAATTGGCCGTAGGCGAGGAGCAAATATTAAATAACCATCACCGTTGAAATGTTTGACAACTTCATTTTCCGAGCTACAGTCTTTACCAAGATAACCATCTCTACAACGGCACATGTATGATCCCCATCCTTCAGTACAGGTTCCTCCATTCATGCAAGGATGAGATTGACAGAAATCACGTTTATCTGAACAGCCTGGAGTAGTTGAATTGTTGGCAACATATGAATTGAGATCAATTAACTCATGATTAATGGTTAGATGAGAAATACAACCAACAAATGAATTTGTTGTAATGGGAAACTGAGTTGGCAGGGGAGGTAATCCGCCGATTTGAAGTGGACCTGAGAGATCAAAATATCTATAGCAAGTTTGCATTCGATCGGAACATCGAGCCTCAAGATGAAAAGTAGATGAATTGGTACAAGATAAATTGTAATCCATTGTTTCTTTAGGTAAACCGATCATATTTCCTCGGTCACAATTATGTAAACTAAGAGTTGCCGTTCGATTAAAATAATTAACCTCAACCGTGTGCCAAAGACCATTGGTTAGATATCCAGGTAAAGCAGGTAGGGAGACTTGATGAGTAAAAGATGATAGAGAACCAAATGAGAAAGAGAAGATAATTGATGAATTGATTATCTCCAAAGCGATAAAATCATGCTCTTCATTGTATCGGCCATTATAAAAAAGTAGAACATTATCTCGACGGGTTGCAAATTTAAGCTTTATATTAAAACGATTACGCTGTTTGATTGGAGGGAATGTTAAATAAGATCCTTTGGTGAATGATCGAGTGTGTAGTTCACATATTGGTGAGCTCCATTCACCGTGAGTACAATTAGCACAACGGAAACCTTTGAAAACAGGTAAACCTGAAGTATCGGAAATTGTATCACGAATATTAACACAATCAGATCCACTTTTACAAACTCCTTCTGAACAATGGTCAGTTTGTAAATTATGTTCACAGTTACGACCAACGAAATCGACCGGACAAGTGCAAACATAACCCGATTCTCGACGAATACAAGTTCCACCATTTAAACATGGATTGGAAAAGCATAAGTTAATTTCTGTATCACATTCATATTTATGATACATTCCTGGAGGGAGAGAGAGAAAGAGAATTGATTTTAATACTCATATTTAATTGTTACCAATTCAATTAAATCTTTTAAACTATCAATAAGAGTGAAAGGAAAACATTAATACCGAAAAAGTCACCACAATATTAATGGTTATTTATAACTCTTGAAATGGAAATTATTTTAAAATCAATTAATTGTAACACTTAATTACTTCACTTTCTTTATGATTACAATCTAAATCACTGTGAAAACCAATAATTAACTGACAGAGAACGAGGTTAATTTTATCAATTCTAATAGCTAATAATCAAAAAGCCTCTTGAAAAAAAGAAGCAACAATTTTCCTCTTTTTCCTCAACAATTAACAGAAATATCGTATTGTAAAACTTTCAAATCAATTCTATGAATAATCAATCAAATATTAATTTGATTGTGTCAAATTTACTTAATCCGATTGATAAAATTACAAGTTACTCTTAATAATTATCTACGATTAGTTAATTGCAACTGAATTCATACACTGAAGTACTTGATTGTTTATCAAATTGCAAATACAGGTAGTGTGACTTCCATAGTGAACGTTTTTGAATTGCTATTTCTCCACTATTATAAGACCGAAATTGATCAATTTAGTTTTAAACGTTTTGTTCTTAATTAATTTAATAAAAATAAAAAATTGAGATAATTCTCAAACCTCCCTAGTTAGTTATATGATTTTTTCTGAGGGGTAGTCCAAAAATTTTTTTTAAAGGTTTTGATCAAAATATTTTGACCTTGGCTCGGACCAGGTCAAGAAAAAAAACATCATTAAATTCTTCAGAATTAAAAGTATCGTATATATAAATTTCAGTATGATCTATTTAACCGTTTTTAATATATTCGAATTTAAAGATCGTTAAATCCCAAAAAAAAAATTTCGCGCGCATTTTCATTTAAAAATCCCATGTTAAAAACCCATTGTTAAAAAGATTTTTTTTTGACCCTCCCATAAAAAAGGTCATAACTTGAGAACGGTAAGTTTTTTTTTTACTAGATTTGAAATATAATTAATTGAATAAATGATGAGTTGATATATGTTAAAAAAACACGAAAAAAACTAAATCTTCAAATCACAATTAACAGTCAAAATCGTTCACTATGGAAGTCACACTACCTGTAAGTTTCTTCAACAATTAATCATTTCTTGTTAGGCCTAAATTGATTTGATTGTTGGCTTGATATTCTGATTACTTTAATTGATTGCTATTGAATCTTAATATCTTCAATTTGATAATGAAAAACGAAATTAATTTGATTAATCTTTTGTTGCTAATTACTAACTAACTAATCGTATTCAGATTGAACTGTTGCTGATTAAAGTTCAAGAGGTTTACCAAAGCTGACCATTGATATTGCCCTAATCTACAGCTAATCAATTTTATCTTTACCCGGGCTAATTAGGCTCTCTAAATGATGGTAATTAATTGAAAATATCATAAAATATAATATAAAGTTGAAAATGAAATGCAAATCAGTCAATTTACCAGTAAAACCGTATGGACATCGACAGGCGAAAGTGCTAACAGGATTGATTGGTCGGAAAAGTGTAGTCTCAGAATTGATAAATTCCGAAGCGTTTCCAAATTTCAGCACCGATAAACATTTCTCGAAATTGGGACATGGTTCTCGAACGCATAAGTTATCATCGAAAGGTAATACCTTGATAATGATGAAAGAAAAATAAAAATCATTATCATCGTGGATTCAATGTAAATGTTACAAATCATAATTAGCTATTAAATTGCAGTTTTCAATCAATTTCATCGTGAAAATATAAAAATGATACCAAAAACATGATAATCAAACTTTTAAGGTGAGGTTGTTCAATATATATTATACAATATGAATTGAAATTTAAATCTAATTCATGAACATGAAAAACACCATTATTATCATGATAATATGAGATTATATTGTAGACTTGAATTAAAATAATGAATCCAATTATATGCAAATTTTAAGATGATCACTATTATAATGATAACCAAAATGAAATGTTATTCAAAAGTAAACAAAAATTTGATTTACATGAAAAAAAATCCCATCTCTATGTAACAATCGACTACTATTAACCATAATTGAACAAAATTATCTTATTGTTAACATCATCAAATAATAATGAGAGAATCATTTTAATTTATATTTACAGTCCTCCCACAATTCGTGACCATTTAATATAACAAGATAAATATTGGATAAGAATCACAATAGTTATCATCTAATTTTCATCATATAATGTTGATCGTCAAGGTAACAATTCAGATGAATGATGAAGATGATGAAGGAAAAAAAATGAGAAAAAAATTCTGTTATTAGTGTATTTTGTTGAACAAGAATTGTAACAATAACAATTAAAGTAATTTTTTGGAGAGTCTGATATTATTGTGACTAACATTTGATGTTATGAAAGTTGATGATGTTGTTAAGTTAATTGTTCAAGGTGCTAATCAGAAAAGCGAAGAAAAAAAAATGAATCAACAACATTAGAGACTATTATTACCTGTGTTAGTTACCCTTTTTTGCTTACAACAGGTACAAGGACAATTTTTTAAATTGTTAGTTTTTTTCTGAGCTAAATTGTTACACCTTAAAATTAAAGGTGAAAATTTTGTAATGAGCACCTAATGTTATCATTGATGATTGATATACAGGTAAAGAGAGAGAGAGAGAGAAAAAGTAAAGTTTAATGATGGATGAGAATTTAACAATCAACCTTATTTGTGGTGAGACATTTTTTTCTCCATAAATATTACATCAAATTAAATGATATCCAGGGTAGAGAGAAGGTAAATTAGGTAGAGAGACAAGAAGAGAAAAGGAGAAATGGAAGAGGATGAGGGATAGAAATGGTGGATGAAGACAGAGAGAGAGAGAGAGAGAGAGAGAGAGAGAGAGAGAGAGATGTAATATAATATAAGAAGAGAGGGAGATGAAGACTGATAAGAAATGGCTTCCCAATGATGATAGACCTGTAATACTGAGAGCGGTCATTGGAAAATGAGAAACATATTCTACCTTAAAAATTTTCTCTTCCTTTCTCTTCACTGCATCTTTGTATCTCTTACTTACAATCGGGTTTTTTTTCTTGTAAGAAATGAGCAGAAGGAAAATGAAAGAAGAGAGAGAGAGAGAGAGAGAGAGAGAGAGAGAGAGAGAGAGAACAGAGAACAGGTAATCATCTTAATCATCATTATCATCATCCATTAAATTTTATCTTAGCAGGGCAAAGGTAAGGGAAAAAGAAACAGAAAGTTGTTTCTAAAAAATATTAAGCTTGTTTTTCTTATAAAGGTGAAAACATCAATCTACCCTCTCTATAGAGAGAAATCATAAACCCGCTTCAACTGACACCTTAAATTTCATGTAATATCAATTGAATAATAATAATGATGATGGAGAGAGAAAGCAAGAAAATCAATTTTCAAGATTCGACGGTTATTTTTGTTATTTTAATTTCTCTCTCTCTCTCTCTCTTGTTGCAGAACTTTTTTCTTTAATCATTAAAACTATTGTAATATAATAATTGAACTAAAAGCAATTGATTAAATTATAATTATATCTGCATTTTGTTAATTTCTACATGAATTTCTAATACATACTTTTCTAAATCTAATGAGTTCAATTCAATGAACTTTCCTTAAAAAACAAAGCGCATTAGAGATGAGAGAAAAAAAGAGAAAAAAAGTTTAAACTTAATTTGAATTATGATTATCATGATTATCATGATGATGGTGATAACTAATTCAGATGAAAAGATGAAAATTGAAGGAGAAACAAAAACTTACTTCTAATCCAGTTATCATTGTTAGGAAAGGACGGTTTAGATAGATTCGCTCTTGCAGATATTGAGAAGGATAAAAAGCGTCCAGGTCATTTGAATCGGGTATTCGGGCCGAGAAACTGATACTTAAAATTTGACCTTTGGTAATTTTTTCCTCCTATAATGTTAGATGATAAAAAAAATTGCAAGAAGACAGAAGAAAAATGGAGAGATGAGAGGAGGGAAAATAAGAAAGCATGAGAATTAGTTTTAACTATCTCACAGGTAAAAAAAACGCTTTTTTTATCTTCTTTTTGGCCTTGTAAAAGGCAGGAACTCTCATGATTAAAGGTCTCTCTCTGTCTCTCTCTCTCTCTCTCTCGTTTTCTCTCATCACATTAAGATGACGATGATGATTGAGAGACCAGAGAGCAGAGAGTTTTTTAGCTTCTCGTTTTTTTCTTTCTCTCTCCCTTTCTTACTTGTTGACTCTTCTTACCTGTAAACTGAAGATGACTATATTTTCTTTTGGGAAGGTACAATGGCTGACAGTCCATCGAGAAAACGTTCATATAGAGAGGAGAGAAAGGTTATTGGTCGCACGTTGTTTAATCTTATGGTGACAGAGTTAAATAGCATCGATTCGGTGACCAGGTTGACGGTTAATTGGCAAAGAGCAGATGCCTCATTAAGTCCATCAGAGACACTTATTTCAAAGCGAGCTCGAGTTGGAACATTGGTGTTTAAACTGGTACTTAAACGTATCTCTCCAGTCGTTGAATTTAGTATCAATAGTCCAGCCTTGTTTCCAGAAAGAAATTTAAAATTCATCACGTCATTGGCATCGGCTTCATACATTGGCACACGTCCAATAGGTTCAAGGGAAGTGATTTTTGTAATTGTTGAAAATAATTGAGAAATCTTTGAGTATTGGAGCATTGTCGTTTACATCGGTCACGTAGACTTGCACGTCAACATCATTTCTCAATGGAACTGATGATGCGCGAACAATTAAATTGTAAACTTTTTTCGGTGATTCGTAATCCATGTCGACACGAGTTACAAGTTCAGCGATATCATTACTACGACTTACTAAGGAAAATGCTTTTGCATCGGACCCACCGACGATTGAATATTCAATTTTGGAGTTAGCTCCTTCATCAGGATCAATTGCTTTCAATTCACCAACAACCCAACCAATTGGTGAATTTTCAGGTACATGGAATCGTAAAATGTCCGAATCAAATCGAGGTGGATTATCATTAACATCTTCAATAATCACATTTATCGGGACGGTTGACGATTGACTTGGAATACCATTGTCAACGGCGATCGCAACAAGTTCATATTTACCTGTTGACTCTCGATCTAGAACTTTATTGGTTCGTATGATACCCGAAGCTGAATCAATAACAAATGCACCATCACCATCATTACCACCATTAAAAGTATATCTTATTTGACCATTGAGACCATAATCATCATCGGTTGCTTGAATTTGTGCAACTCGAGTACCAATTAGACAATCTTCAGATATTGATGCTTGGTAAGAGTCTTGTTTAAATTTAGGTGAATTATCATTAACATCCATCACTTCAATTTCAACATTTGTTGTATCGGCCAGTGGAGGTGAACCATTGTCCGTTGCTGTAACTACAAGCGTATACCCGGCGACCCTTTCACGGTCTAAAGGTTTGTTTGTTGTAATAGAACCAGTAATCGGATCAATTTTAAATTCACCATTTTCATCAATTGAAAAAGTTAAACGAGCATTTTCACCAATATCAGCATCACTTGCTTCAACAATTAAAACTGTTGTTCCCAATGGTGCATCTTCAGGTATACTTACAGCGTAAGGTGTTTTCTCAAACACTGGTCGATGAGTATTGGCATCAGATACATTGACATAAACAATGGCCATGTCAGAGCGACCGCCATTATCTGAGACGGTTACAGTTAACACATATCGACGTTCCGATTTATAATCCAATGGTTGGGCAACTGTAATTTGACCTTGATTTTTTTGACTATAAATGTTAAATTTACCTTTATTATTACCATTGGTTATTTGGAAGTTAAGTCTTGAATTTTCATCTCGATCAGTGGCGAAAATGTTTACCACCGTTGTCCCAACAGGATCAACCTCTGAAACGGTTGCATAATATGATTTAGGCTCAAAAATGGGATCATTATCATTGACATCTTGAATACGAACAATAACATTTGCTGATGATGATTTAGGAGGAGAACCATTATCTCGGGCAATAACTGAAAATTCATACAAATTACCCTCCTCCCAATCTAATTGACGGGTTGTTACAATCCAGCCCGTTTCATTGTTTATTGTTAGTGGCATTTCATTGGGCAGGGTACCAATAATGGTCTCAGTTTGACCATTGATGGATAATGATCCCTTTATGGAATAGGTGAGACGAGCATTATCACCATCATCATCATCAAATGCTTGGATACGAAGTACATTTGTTCCTGGTGGAGTATTTTCAATCACGGATTCTTGGAAAAGTGAATTATAAAATTTGGGCTCATTATCATTAACATCTTCAACGTTGATTAATATTTTGGTTGTATTTGATCGTGGCGGTGAACCAGCATCTTGAGCTCTTAATATTAGTCTATAATTACGAGTTGTTTCATGATCCAATGGAGAGATTACTGAAATATCACCAGTCATTGAGTCAATCTGAAAATGTCCCTGAGTATTTCCTCCAATAATTGAATATCTTATTGCAGCATTAGAATCTTCATCTGCATCATTTGCTGAAATAGTTATAATAACTGGATGAGAAGACCAATCAACATCTTCCTTAACCGTTGCAGTATAAGAGCGATTTGAAAATTGTGGATAATTATCATTCTCATCGAGAATCGTGATTTTAACAGTTGTTTCAGCGTGTTTTCGATGAGCTGGTGCAGCACAATCAGAAGCCTGAATATTGAGAATATAATTGTTAACCGTTTCCCGGTCAAGCGATGCTCGTGTTGTTATAACACCGGTTTTACTATCAATTTTAAAAGCCTCATTGGGACCAGTTGGATTAAGTAAACTGTATTCAATTTCGGCATTTATATCAGCATCTGAATCGGTTGCTCGAACATTTAAAATAGTTGATCCAATGGGCAGTGATTCTTTAACACTTGCCTCATATGAGGCTCTCTCAAAAACGGGAGAATGATCATTTTCATCATTAACATTTATCTGTAAAGTTGTTGTTCCGGTTTTTGGAGGTATCCCTGAATCAACAGCAATTATCCGTAAATAATGAAGATCCATGAATTCCCTATCCAAACGTGAGGTGGTCGTTACAACACCGGAAAGAGAGTCAATACTAAACATACTTTGAGATCGAGCATCCAAAACAGCCGACATGGAATAGAAAATTTCCCCCTTTTCGGGATCATTGGCAATCAATTTGGTAACCACAGTACCTTTATCCTTTTCTTCAGGTATGTTAACAACATACAAAGATTTGTCAAAAAAAGGAGGTTGATTAGGAGATGCATCTCGACGCAATCGAGATGGAGCACTAAAAATATCCACAGGATCTAAACACAAAACGAATCACAATCACCAAAGAGAATAGAAAACAAGATGAAACAATTGGAACACACACCAAAACAAAGAAAAGAACAAAGAAATTAAGCATAAATTATGTAAGATTTTGCGGGATCAACATTTTCCTTTATTCTCTTTCTTTCTCTCTCTTTCTCTTTCTCTTTATCACCACAATACACAAGAGAGAATAGAAAAAAATAAAAGAGAAAAAAAGAAAAAAGAGAAAAGAAAATGAAAAATAAACACTTACCTTTTCTGGTTAATTGTTGGTACCATTTATTGATTTGATTATCCGTACAAACACCATAATGTGATGAACAAATTAATAAACTAATTACATAGAATAAAATTAATTTATCCTTCATTTTGTTGAAGTTAAAAGACACAATCAAAAGACAATCATAGTTACCATTAGACCGATGATCTCAAGTGAACCTGTAAAGGTGAAAATCATTTCTGAGACTTACAGGTAACCCACTAGCTCCTCGATTCGGATTATTATCCAACTAAAAGGAACCAGTTTTTCATCGGTAAACTTTCAAGCCTAAAATCTTTAAATATAATAAAAGTTAAATTAGATTGGTAAATAGAATTTTGGTAGAAATTTTGTTCTAATCAAGTGCTTCATTCGAAGAATTTGTCAACTTAAACGAACGAAACTTTCGTCGCTCCCTTAGTACCTTCAAAAGGTAAAAGTGAAGATGAAAATATCGGAAATGAAGAAATGACAAAATCATCATCATCGAAAACCGTTCCATTGGTTGCTAAATATTATAATATGTAACCATAGAGGAAGATTCTGATGACGATATGTTACAATCTCGAGTTGCGATCTGATTTTTGGTAATCGCTGATTTTGCTATTGTTGTCGGTGTTGGTGTGATCGATTCACGATCTTTATAATAGCCTACAGAACCTTCAAATGTAAGATGAGACTCTTTCGCGTCTTTAAATGATCTTAAATTATCACTAATATCAATATTGATCGAGCCTTGTTTCATTAGCGGAATGAAAGAGTGGCCTTTGGTCTTTAAGAGCTAATAACTCCGAAACTACAACACCCAGAGATGGTAGAATAGGTCAAATCATCGTCATTTAACCAAGGCTGTAAAAATTGTTCGTTTTCTGGTCATGAAAATCGGTTGCTTTCGCTATGAATAGCTCGCCAACGTTTCCTGGAAAAATAATAAAACATTTTGGTGTTTTTAGTATCTCAGCTAGATAACAATTTTTTAAGGACAAAAACTTATTTCATTTTAAAGCCTTGGTTAAGTGGTGGGGATTTGATATATTCAGACATCTCTAAGTCTTGTAGTTACGGAGATATAAGGCTTCGAAGATCAAAGGCCACTTTCTCATTTCGTTGAAAATGTTGACCAAATAAAAAAAGGAAAAAGTACTCGATTCGCCATACTGAAACAGGCCTAAGAATTAGTTTCAGATCATTCTCGACACTTGGGACTAAACGCGATCAATTTATTTAAAATGACGAAACTATGACCAGAGCAATTTACATATTTTTTTACCAAAACGAATCTAATTTTCATTTTCATTTTCTGCAAACTTGCCATCGGTGAGAGAAAGTGACCTGAAGTTTCAATTTCGAACTGTATTTCCGCTAAAACTACTGATCGGACCATGAAAAATATATTTGGACTTCCTATTTGTGGCCCTAAAAAGTATCAATTTTTGACTAAAAAGTCACACAACAACCAAATTCTGTTTAGCGATTAAATTGCTTTCATGATAGAATAATTGATTAACAATTAATTGAATCACAGACCAATTGTCCGTAATTATTTCAAGAGATAATGTAACCATTTGATTAAGTTATTTATCTAATCGATAAGAGCCAAATATTTAGAATATGAAAAATATCTTATGATGTTTACTATCTACTCAGTAATAGATTTTATCATGAATTTGCATCACCATGAACAATGGAATTTTTTATTATTATCGATATTTATTTCAAAAAGAACCGTAATTCTCTGCTTATCATCGTAATGAGAATTATTGCAATCAAATTGAGATTAAATCAAGTCTTTAATCTTGATTTTCAATGTCGATAGATCAAAACAATCAAAGTTTAGTTATTTTCGTTTACTTGCCAGTAAATTACTAATATGCTAATAGTATAAAAGCCTCGATGTTAACCTAGTATGAAATCATTCAAGTCTTAATCTTCCTTCAAACTAATTGAATAACTTTTAATTGTGTTTACATTAACCATCAAAACTTTAAAATTAATAAAAATGAAATTCTCCCTTGTCTTAATTAGTCTTTTCTGTATCTCTGCAATCAATGCTGGTGTACCAAGGGGTAAGTTAACCTCAATCTTGGTTTTAATTATCAACGATTGCCTTTCTGTTATTAAATTAACCTAACAACAAACTTTTTGTTTTCTTTTTAAAATAATTAATTATTACTCATTACATCTACCAGGACCTAGTACATTTGACAGATTGCTCTTGAAGCTCGTTGATGCCGTTGTTAAGGACTGGGAGAAGACGATTCCTAATTGGGATGGATCCGCTTCACTCGAGAAAAACATTCTAACTGTTCTTGACACACCATTGGAAACAGCTACTGTACCTGATTGGAATCCCCTTGCAACTAGTAAGGATAATCTTGTTTACATTTTAGAGTCGAAAATCCGAAAACTCAATCTTCCCGGTTGCGATGCTACCAAGTCCATTGTCGACAATCTCAATTGTACTGTAACTGCTTTCTTGGACTCACTTCCATTTCCATGTAAGTATCAATTGATATTCACAAACCAAAGGGTAGAAATGAAAAGTTTTATTCAAACTTTACTATATTAACTTTATTATTAATACTTTTAATTATCAATAGATTGGATCCCAAAGAAAATTCGCATGAATCTCCTTCAAGATCTTTACGATGTTCTCAAAAAGATCCAATCTCCAGGATTCGATGTGAATAACTCGGTTGACGAAAATATTGTTGCCTTGGTCGACGATTTACTCAACAATCTCAATGGATTAGATCCAAAGGCTTCATTGGAAGAAGTTGTCAATGCTTTCGTTAAAAAGAACATCAATCAAATCAAATTCCCAGGATTCAATCCATCGAATACTCTTGATCAAAATATTGCCGATATTCTCGTGGCCTTTTTACCTTTCTAATTTATTATTATTAGTACTTCATATGATTAATTACGATTTCCAATTGATTGATTTCTGAATAATCAGTGAACGCTCATTAATAATTATGATCCAATTTCAATAAATATTTAATTATGCAAACTTTTGAAACTAAATCAGCAAGTGCTTAATACCTTCTAATAATATGAATATTATCAACAACGAGAAAAATGATTAGCTGAATAAATTAGATCAGAATTGAAACACCAGTGGTTGTTTACTGTAATTTGGAGTCTCGTCTATGTACATTCAACAACCAGAAACCGGTGTGTAAATTGTGATGACAACAAAGAGGAAAGAGAAAGTTGTAATTAAAGATCTTTAGTTTAATTATATTACCTAATGAATTTTCTCTACTCGTTTTCCTTTCTCTTCAGATAAATTACCTGAGTCTAATAACAACTTTCTAAACAATCGTGATAATCGCAGCGAGTTTTGATCTTTTTTACTTATGTACACTCTATCTATCTAGATTATCAACTAATCTCTTCATTTTTTGGACCCATAATCAAGTCAAAGTCTATTTTCTCTCTCTCCCTTGGTCGTTTCTTTTTCCAATCGAAAGCTTTACTATCTAGCAAATGGATGAAGTTCAATTACTATTCAATAAACGAATTAATCAGTTAAACCGGAATTCACATTCATCACAAAGACGTAAAAAATTGATTCTGGTTTTCATCGGTCTCCTCTTTTGTTGCTATTATACCTATTTTTATATCAATCTATCTTCTCTATCAACCCAAGTCTCATTATCATTTCCAGCATTCGTTTATCCTAGTTCTCCAGCGGTTATCATCCTATGGACAGCTCCTTACGACTCATGGCAGGGATCAACCGATGTACCTTTAGATTGTGATTGTATTGTCACTCAAAATCGAAGTCTCTTGGCTCAAGCAAAAGCTGTAATTTTCTATTGGCGACGTACTAATCTCACGGATTTGCCTAAATATAAATTTCAAGGTCAAACGTGGATCTTGCATCATCTAGAGTCTCCAGTTAACACACATAGACTATCTGAATTAACCGCTTTCTCTAATTACATTGATTGTTGGTCCAGTTATCGAGTTGATTCAGACTTTCCAACACCATATGGATTTATTTTACCAAAGGATGAATCTTTTGAATCAGACAAAATTAATGTTACCTTTTCACAGAAAAGTCGTAACGTGGCCTGGATGGTTTCACGTTGTAGGGCCGAATCGGGAAGAGATGAATATGTCAAAGAGTTAGCTCGTTACATCGATGTTGACATTTATGGTGAATGTGGTCCATTTAAATGTCCACGTTCCGAGGGATCACATTGTTACGAATATTTTGAGAAAAAGTATCGATACTACTTGTCCTTCGAGAATTCAATCTGTACCGATTATTATACTGAGAAGATAATCAACCTTCTTAATTATACAATCATTCCGATTGTTCTCGGTGGAGCCAATTATTCATCAGTTTTACCAAATCATTCGTATATCGATGCGCTTTCATTTAAATCACCTCGAGACTTGGCAATGTTATTACGAAGTCTATCAAACGACGAGAAAAGATACAATTCCTATTTCGAGTGGAAATCTCGATTCACGGTTAAAGCTAACGATTATCGAACACTTTCCTGCCAAATATGCTCCAAATTGAAACAATCAACCCAAAGTAGATTTTCATTTTCATCATCAACCAAAGATCACAATCAATTAAGACGATCAAATGTATTATGTAATCATCTAGATAAAGATTTTGTTAGTTGGTGGTACAATGAAGGATCATGTGTATCATGGACTCCGATAAATCAATTGATATCCTGGTCATTGGACAGTTCAATCTGATTTTGAATTGACATAGAAAAAGATTTTCACTTAAAAATCAAAATCTATCTACAACTTATTATTATTATCCCAGCTTTTCTCAAATCACTAACTTTCTCATTAAGAAGACAATTAAAAAATGGTTGCAAATCACAATTTAACCTTTTCTAATTTTTATAAGCTATTCGAAATAATAGTAAACATGGTTCATATTTTTTTCCATATTATGAAACAATAAAAACAATTTTTTTCGTTTATGAATTTTGAGCGAATTTTTATTTAATTCATCTTCATGTTAATATTGAAGCAGCACAAATTAACAAATCAACAAATTATTTTAACAATTATCTGATATATTGTAACAACTTTCTAGTTGAAACTTAAAACTGAAACTGATTAAGGTTAAGAATGAAGATAATCTTTATTAGTAAAGAGGCTTAAAGTAAAAAGTGCAACTGCACTCGAGGATTAACAAGATTATATTGCCTCTCGGGTCATAAACTAAGCTCCTTTTATCCTCCGGCGGGAGTTCTCGTAGGGTCAAAGTTGTTGTTTAACTCACAAAGAGCTTTGATTGGTTAAAATTTAGGGTTGGTCAGTATAAGAAGCGTGACATTTTCCACCACTTCATCATTATTCACTCCGTGAAATTGTAGACAGTTTTCTTAATTTCCTATTGTCCAAGTTTCTTTGTTTATTCACATCAACTTCAATCATGACTCGTCATCAAATTAGTACTGGTGTTGTCAATTCTAGACCAACACCTCCAATTGCTGTTAAGTGTCCTCGTAAGGATTTTGCCCATTTGTGTTCAGTTTCACCTGAACAAAATAAACGTCCCCGCTTGACCACCAATATTGAACCAATACCTGATTCACCTGTTAAAGAAACTGCTCAAGGTGCTGATGGGGAATATGAAATTAGTGGTATTGTTCGGTCAGAACGAATTAGGGTCAATGGGAAAATGTAAGCGTGGTTAGCTGGAAAGACACGCTCAGTTTAAATGCTGATATCACCAATGTCGAATCCGAAACTTTAACAAAAGGTCCTTATGGTTTAACAGCAGCTGATCGTAAGTTATTATGGTCTTCTTGCTTGACAATTGATCCTGAACGTGATCCCAATAAATATTACTGTCAATATTGTGACAGTCCTTTCAAACGTAAAGATAATGGTACTCGCCACGAGAAGGATCGATGTAAGTTCCCAGGAGCTCCCAATCATAAGTGTATTGCTTCTTTCATAGTGGACAATAAGACAGTAAGATGATGTCGTTGAAACAGATGAATCATATCACCATCTCTATCATCATCATCAACAACAACCATCTCCATCAGGCTCTGGTCGGAGTGTCAATTTACAAGAAGATGTAAATATAACCACTAATCCTTATGGATATCTTCCCGAACGAAACACTTCACAGCTCAAGATGCCATAGTATCATCATCTCCTCGAGGAGTGACCAACACATCGCCAATTCAAAAATCTCAATCATCTTCTTCATCATCTTTATCCCATCGAAGCCAATAATCAGTTACTCATATTATCAATGAGTCTCGATGAATGAAAAATAATCAGCTGGAAGTACAAAGATCTTAACAAACCAACTACATTAAATGTCACAATTTACTAGATTAACTATTTTTTTCTCTTCTCTAACATTTACCTCAACACAATCAACGACAATTAATGGTCCACAGTCTTTAATTAGCAATATCTTTATTATAATAGCAGCAAATATTGAAACAACATCAGATCAACAAATTATCTTAACTTTAATTGCCTTGTAATAGTTGTAACTTTAACTATTTACACAATTAACTTGACCAAAAGTATTTATTCAACTATTAGATTATTAGTATTATATAAATTAGTGCTCACTGATATTAATAATGATAATTGGTATTTCATTTTCACAATTAACGATTAATCAATTCACTTTCACAATTCATATCAACATTATTTTCACTCCTCATTTCATATGTGCAACTTTAATCATCATTTACTTATAATTTGTGTATTATAATTTTCTTGTCATCTCTCATTTTGTAACAATTAATTTAATTGCCATCAAATTTAAATTGTAAATTTGGTTTAATAATTTTCCAACAATCAGTGATTATTTATTACATTCACTGAGCTTTTCTCTCAATCATAACTTTTGTACAAAAACAAAACATGAAACTTTTTTCCTTCTCATCTCAATTAACAAGTTAATCAATCAACTTGATTATATTCCTACTACTATTTATTGTTTTCTACTCAATAAACTAATTGAATTTAAAATCATCAATAGATTATTAATTTGATTTTTGATAAAATGATGATCAGTTTGGTTTTTTAACCAACGATCGAAGATAATTATAAATAATTCCGTTTAAATCGCATTAATCTCAATAACAATTAATCTTAAGTAAATTTTCAAGTGATACGAATTTAGATTAATCTTTGTATTCTAGTTGATTGTTGTTGTTGAATTATCACTATAATCATAATTCAATTCGTTCATTTGAATTGATTTTGATAGTGAGCATCATGGCCAATTTTTAGTTTAATCCATTACGAGTAAATTGTTGAGGTGAAATGAACTGTTCACACCAATTAAGAATCAGAAATGAGCTCGAAAGTAAACTTTTACCATTTATAAGCAATTTAAGTAGGAAGAAAAGAGAATCGAAATCGAAAACGCTTCTGTTTTTAAATTGAAGAAATCAGTTAATTGTTAAGAGTGAATTAGGTATGATTACAAGTGAAACATGATTTCTACAGAGATTATCAGTATTTAAACAATCAAATTATGATGATAATGATGATGACAATTAGACTTACTTGTCAAGTGATTATCACTTTTTATCAGTCAATGTCTTTGGTTTGAAGAAACCTCATTTATATGATTGTGTATTAAGGTGACACGTAAGATTTTTTCAATCGTTTATTTTAAATTGTTTTGGTTTTTAATTATCCATTTTTACAGTTAATTAACTGAGGAAAAACAATGAATCTGAGAAATTATCTCGATAAAAATGGATACAAGTTGATTAAAAGTATTTTCTGTTTCCTCACCTTCATGGGATTAGGAGGAGTTTGTACTCTCCTTGGCTCATCTCTACTCGACATTCAGATCAGAATTCAACAGAGCTTTGTTACGACCTCAAAGTTGATCCCAGTTCGTTCAATTGGTTATATCACGGGAGGATTATTTTGTAAGTTTCAAGATATATATCGAAATGTTCATTGTGTTTATCTAATAATATTTTTCTGTGGTTAAGCTGCTTTTCTGGGAAAATTCACCAATATCAACGTAATCATGGCCATCACCAATTTCACCGGTGGATTTTTCCTGATCCTTGCTCCTTGGTTCACATCCATTTATACTGTCGCTGGTTTCATTTATCTTTCCGGTATTTCTCAAGGACTTTTCGATATATGTAAGATATTAATTGATTATCTCTCTCTACGACAAAAACAACACAATCACGTTTTCCAAAGGTTAAACTAAGAATCTTTATTCAACTATCTCCAAATCATGTTGATTAAAATCATTCCCGATTCTCTCTCTCTCTCTTACAACAGATAGTAATGTTTACATAATCAGAATTTGGGATAAAGATGCGACCAACTATCTTCAAGTTCATCACATGTTTTTCGGTGTTGGAGCTTTAATTGTACCGTTAATCACTCGGCCGTTTCTATTACCATATGAACGAGAAGATGATATCGATAACTTGAAAGAAAACACAACTCAGGCTTTTTCATCATTACCCTTTGGTGGTTACAAACCAGACGATGTTATGATTGAATATCCATATCTGATTACTGGTCTATTCTTATGCATCATATCAATTGGTTATGTTGTTTTCTATTTTAAAGATAAACGATTGGAATCTCATGTTACTCCCAAAAACGAAAACGAACCTGAAACAAGTTCAAACGATCCAATGAAATCTGATCAATCATCTTATCATAATGAGAAACCTTGGAAAAAGTATGTTGCTATTATACCGATGATGCTTATTGCAAATATCTCATTCGGATTTACCACAACCGTAGGTGAGTATCGATTCATATTAATAATAGTGATTGATAACTTGTTCTGATATAATATTTTTCGGATATTTGATATTTTGATTGATTCGATAAAAAAAAATCTCTTAGGATCACTTGGACCTGCGTTCGCGGTAAAATCTGACCTAAGGATGAGTAAATCAACCGCCGCATTATTGGTGACCGTTTTTTGGACTATGTTTTGTTTTTATCGAATTATTTTTATTCCATTAACACTCTATTTTAATCAGCGGCGATTAATGTTAATCAATTTACTTTTAATTCTCGTCTCTGTGGGATTAATGGTTCCACAAGCTGCTTATAATCAATATTTTACCTGGTCATCATTTGTGCTACTTGGAATTGGCTATTCACCAACATTTTCTGTATCATTTGCATTATTACAAAAATATTTTCCAATCTCTGGTAGATTGGCTTCATTCATCTTCATGAATGGTTGTATCGGTGAATCAATTCACCCCTGGTTAGTAGCTAAATTCATGGAGGGTTTTCCTCAATTTTTTGTATACTACCTTTCAGGTATGTGTGTTTTTTATGTTATACTTAACTTTTTTCTACCTCATCTTTGTAATAAGCTTTTTAATAATCCAAATAATATAAATTAATCAATTTTTATAAACGTTTAATACAATTTGTCAGCTAATTACACTCGACATAGATAAAGAGAGAGAGAGATAAAACTTTCTTTGTATCAACTAGAAGCTACTGGTTGTTGATTACTTTGAGTATAAAGATGAGATAATGAATTTAATTAAGTAATTACTACTTCTCCATCATTATCCAACAACCAGCACTGCACTTTTGGTGACGATAAATAAGTTTCCCTTGCCATTCAATGCGTAAATTATTCACGTGTAAGTCTAATTGTATGTTACAATTGTAATTGTGAAAGGAGATCTATTCAATAGTAAATTTAATGAAGTTTTCTGATCAGAAAAATTATTTTAAATAAAATTTTGTTTTTTTCCCATTCTAATTTTATCCATCAACTAATGAAAAATTGAAATTGACACTTTTGATATAAATTTACATTATTTCGTTACATTAATCTTAATTGATTCCCGTTGAGCTATTTTATTATATTATTAATATTCTGGGTGAGCCAAACTTGGATTATTTTCCTCTTCCATGATTTATTATATATTAATAATTTCTCAAATGCTTAAAATATTGAATATCATGTATCTATTATTTGATATCCATGTAAGTTTATTGATCAGTTGAAAGTTTATTACTGGATTACAGTTTGGTTTAAGCGACTGATGTTTGTCGGCTGAAAACGGGATGAACACGAACCTTGTGATGTTTGTGCTTCTTATGAGTTTCGAAGACAGTTGCTAGATTATCGGTTGATCTTGAAGGAGCAATTCCCCAGGGTTCTGGGTCAGTATTAGCAAATATTATGAATACTAACCCTCCGAAGATCATGGCACCAGCACCAATGAAAAATACTATCGTCCAAGCTTGATTGCTCGGTAACTATGAAAAACAAAGAAAAAATTGAATATTTTCAGAATAATTTATGATATTAAGCGAATCATTAAATCAGATACTAACTCCACTATCAAGTAAACCTCCAATGATCAAGGGTGAAATGAATCCCGCTGCCGCTCCAATGGTATTACAAATGCCAAAAACACTTCCAGCTAAATCAGGGGCTACTTCGGAAACTATTGGCCAATCACCAGCTGATTGAAATCCCATGAAAAACACCGATACAATTAAAAGAACTTTGATCACAGTTACATCTTTCCCAACGAAAGGGATTGAAGCCAGAGCGATAGCCGGAAGGAAAACCGCTAAAATGGTGTAAAAATATTGATTTTTAGAATTTCGATTGTACCTTTCAATTCGTGAACTTACTAATACTTTCAGCGATTTTTCGAGCCACTGTCCTGGACACGTAACCTTTGCTAATAAGATACTTGAAAAAAGGTCCAGTCACCAGATTGGAAAAACCGAGTGCGATATAAATTAACGAGTTGAATGTACCGTTACTGGAAAGATCCATTCCAAGTTGAGACTCAAGATATGCAGGGATTTTCGTGTTTATCACCATGTAACCAATCGCAAGACAACCTTTCACAGTGATAATTGACCAGATTTTGACTGAACTTAAAATCGATAACCAGGGAACTTTCATCTGAAAAATGAATCCAAACGAGTGAAGTTTCCAAATTGGCATTTAAATTACATTTTCTAACCTTGATTTGACCAATGTTTGAATTAGCACTATTAATATAATCCTTTTCATATTCTGATATAAATGGATGATTATCAGGTGTTGGTGTTACTGTTGCAAACCACAATACAGGGATGATCATATTAATTACCGCCATCGAGTAAAAGACCATTGGCCATCCTCCCCATTGAACTTGATTACAAAGCCAAGCGGTGAATGGCATAGCCGCAGCAGTACCAATGTTACAACCAAAGTTAAGTAAACAAATCGGTAAAACAACCTCGTCCGGAGGGAACCATTTACTGGCTAAAACTAATATTAACGCGATTGTTGGTGCATGAAATATACCAATAATTATCCGAGCGATTGAGATATAAATGACACCGGCACGAGCTGCCATTGGAATAAGTGCCGTTAAAACTGACACAATAACGGTGCTAATAATATTCATACGAACAACATCAAATTTATCAGCTAAAACTCCGGTTATTATTTGAAATGCTGCATAACCATAGAAATAGGCCCCAAGAACGACACCCTCTTGACTTGCAGTCCAGTGAAACTAAATGAAAACAAATTCGTAATAAAATCAAATTGATTAACACGTACAACTAATTACATAATTTTCACCAATATTGGTGAATATTCACCTTTTCGGTTAGCGGTTTAATAACCACAGAATCATTTCCACCATTGAGAGATGTTAACAACGAACTTCCATTGATTGATTCCGTCACCTCATCATAAGTCATTGAAACGATTGCAACAGTTAGACAATTTCGAACGGCAAACATAATGGCCATTGTTATCGAAGAGACAAAAGCGATATAATATCGAATGGGAAAACATGGCTTCGAATTGTTATCATTATTTGATTCATGGATAGGATGAAGAGTTGGGGTAACTTTAATTTCATAATTAGATCGCTGACTATTAAATGACATTATTTTCTTGTATATTTGATTAACTTAATAGGAATCAACCAACTAAGATGAATGAAGATGAAGGAAACAAGTTAAATTTATATATAGAAAGTGTCAATTTATTTATTAGTTGATCAGAAAAAATCAGAATTGGGAACAACAAACAAACATTTTCATAATTTAATCCAAATAATATAAATGAATAGATTTTCACAAACTTTTGTTATAATTTGATTAATATTTACACTTGACATTATAAGAAAACAAGATAAATATATTACCTAGTTTCTTTTAATCAACTAGTAACAACTGGTTGTTAATTACTTTGATAACAAATTAAAAGTTAATTACTACTCGTTCATCTTAACAACTCACAACAAAAGTGAACAACTATCAATTTTAGTGACGATTAATAATTGAATGACAAGGCTGTCATTCAATGAGTAAATTATCATCGTCAGTCTAATTGTGCAAAACTTTCTAGTGATAGTAAATGTTAATTCAGTTACACGTGTTAACTAATTGATTCATAATATGAGTGTTTCACCAAATGTTTTAATGTTAAAATGAGTTCGATTTCATTGATCAATAAACTTCCATGTATTTCCAATAGATATTATTTAATATTGTCAAGAGAATCAATCATTTCTCTTCCCTTAATTACTTGCAATCGTAATCAATTTAATATTAAATAGTGAAAACATAATTTTTAGCATTTGATAAGTGATCAATTTTATTAATAGTAAGTACAAAACGCAAATAATACAATATTGGCACAATATTATTCTACGAACTTGATTGTACAAAAATCTTTATTAGTTAAGCTTTAAGGCTTTTATCTTGTCCAAGATCGTATTGATGATGTTCGGGTGTAAGTGCGTTTCTTTTCAGATGCAAATATTTTATCACATATGATTGGCAGTATTATACATATGGAAGTATTCAAGAACGAGACCATAGCAAGGTAATAGACGAAAGAAACTGGCTTGGTATCCATTAGTTTAGATGCTATCCATGGATGAATAGCTTCACCAATTGATCCATTGATGAAAATAAATGAAGCTAAAGCATTTGTGAGAATAAAATACTTTTGTAATTTACTTAACGTGACTGTGAATAGAGAAGCGTATCCAATGCCCACAAAAGTCAATCCAATCCATATACATAACCGATTATAACCTGCATGAGGAATCAGAACGAATATCGCTGCTAATTCGCTACAATAGCTAAATAATATCAAGTATTTGTCTCCAATGAAGTTCGATATGACAACGAAAAAGACTTTGTAAGCGGTTATAACCACCCAAAATACTGTTACCAATGAAGCTCCAGTAGCTTTACTCATGTGTAAATCAGATTTTACAACGTATGCAGGAGCTAATGAACCTAGAAAATAGTGGGAAACGAAAGTCAGTTTTGATACGATTATCAGTTATAAGCTAATTCATACCAACTAGAACTGAGATACCGAAGGTTGTATTAGCAAAAAGTGCCATTAATCCAACGCCAACATAGATTTTCCATTTCTTTGGTTGATCATCAATATCCTCTTCATTTGTATCGATGGTCTGTTGTTTTGTTTTATCTTTGAAATGAAATATTAAGAATCCAACCGATGAGATAAACTGCAAAGCTGTGATAGAGAGAAATGCCCACTGAACTTTAACATCATTCGGAGTGTAATTTCCCTGAATGGTAATGTTATCTGTCTTTGTAATAGTAACACCATCACTAGAATCATCATCATTTAGAGGAAGTAAAAATGGTTGACTAATTAGTGGAGTTATCAAAGCACCGACACCAAAGGCCCCGTGAAGAACTTGAACATAATTCGATAGAGATTTACTGTCCTTCCAGATTCTAAGAATGTAAGTATTACAAACTGAAAGAAAATTACTCGAAAATTGAATTGGTCAAACAGTTGTTGAAATAACTGTAATTCCTTTACTCACCTATGTCGAAAATACCCTGAGCGAATCCTGAGAGTAAAATGAATGAATAAACAAAGTAAAAAGATTTGAACCAAGGAGCGATCGCAATCGCTGCACCAGCGATAAAATTGGATATAAAGAGTATCATATTTGGTCCTAAGAATCGATCAATTAAACCAGCTACAAATTGAATTAATGAGATTAATAAGATATTAAATATGTAAATGAAACAATTAGCTTACATGCAATTCCTCCGATAAGATACCCAATGGATCGCGCTGGAACCAGGTTCGATGTGACGGCGAAAGATTCACTAATTCTGATCTGAAGATCAAGTAAAGAGGACCCAAGTAAAGTGTTACATCCACCGAGACCCAGAAATGATATTACACAGAGCAAAGTTTTTATAAGTTTTACTCTATGGCTATCAGATGAATTAGTTAACTGCATCTTCGTCCTGTCGATTCAATCAAATCCTCGAATAGTAAAACTGTTTGATTGCCATGAATTCAACACAATGAAAAGAAATAAAAACTATTCACCCTTCTTTTATATGGAACTTTATAATTACTTTTATAACTTTCCAAGATAATTTACTAACAACCATTTTGTAAGATCAACCATTTTTTTCATATCTTACATACAAACCGATTAAAACCAATCTGAATTCACACTTTGAGTCTAATAACAATATTTTACATTAACATGTTTTCTTCTGATTTAGATCATAATAAAATATCACCTACCACTTAATATAATCTACTGATAATGTTTGTACTCAGAAAAATTTCATCCAAGATTAGCTGATTAATTCAATTCTCTGTTGAAGAAAGAGGTAAAGTCTGAGACATCTAATGAATACTAAGAAAAACTAATCTAAAAATTAAGTGAAGATTTTACTTGATTATTGAGTTTATACTCGACTCAGAGTTAGACTAAATTACCAAAACGACCAAAATTAACCAAAAGAAAACAGAAAATCACAAAATAAACCAAAACAAACCAAAACAAAGCAAAAATAAACAGATTAAAGTATTTGCTTTGACTAAGATATTAAAACCTTTTATTTTTAAGAATATTAAAATCCTTTTTTTGTTTATTGTTGACAGTGAGAGAAAGTGATTGAGATGGTGAGTGAGATGGTGAGTGAGATGGTGAGTGAGATGGTGAGTGAGATGGTGAGTGAGATGGTGAGTGAGATGGTGAGTGAGATGGTGAGTGAGATGGTGAGTGAGATGGTGAGTGAGATGGTGAGTGAGATGGTGAGTGAGATGGTGAGTGAGATGGTGAGTGAAGGCTAACCATTAGAGACATGATCATTCTCAAGTGAAATTTTTACTTTTCAACTTAAATTTTTTTGTTGTTTTTCTAACTATTTCCAATTGTTCTCATCACTGTGTTATTGATACTTTCTCATCACAATGGCTTCCGGATCAAATTGAAAGACTTATAAAGTAAGTTATTTAATATGATTTTTACTCAAAGTTTAGTTATTAATATTAGATTTTGATATATTTTAACAGCAATCTGTTCACTATAATGGTGCCGATTTTGATGTTGACATCGAAGAGATGTTCATTGATGAAAATGGTCAAAGGTGGGGATTAGTAGCTAGTGATAAATACTACGAGAAAATAGAATTTTGCTGCACACATGGAGAAGAAACACCAGTGAGTCCAAGGAATAAAGAATATTGTAAGGCCTGGGAAAAGGTATAAAAATTTAGTAATTAAACTTAATTTTTCCAAGAAAAGTAAATGGATGAGCATTCAGAATTGAGATTAAGGTTAAATCATTTTAACTTTAAGAACATCAAATAAGGTAAAATAGTGAACACAAAGATAAAGATTAATCTCATAAATTACCCTCATTTTAGTCAAACCTGTCAAATTTTATGATAATTTATTGTCAGACCCTGGACTTACGATCATTAATGTCAGACCCTAATGTTAAATTATGACCTTTATCTGAGTAACCATCTGCCATGACCTTAAACGCATGTTCCCCTCCCCTTCCCTTGTCCGGTTTTGAGGATAAAAGAGAAAAAGAAAGAAAGAGAGTTCAGAGTGAAAATACATCAACAACAGTTTGTTTGAACAAAAGTTTGGTTTCAATTTATTTTCTATTTGTGCTTCGTCGATTATTTTGTTTTAGGTTTAATTAAAGTTTTGTTTGGATGAATTAATGTTTATTGTTTTCTCTCTCACCTTATTCACCTTCAATCATCTTCTATCATTTATTCATCCTTTTTCTTTATTATTAATTTTGTGACAAAATGGAGGTCCCACCGAGAGCTTTCAATTGAAAGCCTCCAGTACTTGTGTTTCTTCTGACAAATTAATTCTTTATGAAATTTTATAATCATCTCTTAACAGTGAAATTTGTGATCATCTTGTGTGAAACATCTTTGTTTTATCTGTGTTTGTACTAACAGTTTTGGCCTGACAACAATCAAGAAAGTGCCACACCCTGATTTTCTTTGTGTTTTCATCGACTCATTAATTTAAAAATTCTTTTAGATTTGTTGCCTTTGGATAAAACCCTCATCCAGAAATCATAAACTTACACATAATCACCTTCAATTAACTTCCTTAATTCCACACTCACACGTAATATGTACAGTCAAGCTCAAAAGTTTGAAAACGGTTAACAATTTGATGTAACTTAGTTACAATTAAAGGTAACAAAACCAAACCAAGGTAACAATTAGGTCTCAGGGGGGTTAATTGTTTACAAACAAATCAATGTGCTCATCACTTACCAACTGAATTAAATTAAGTAATTAGTTAATTGTCGTTGTTTTTGATTGGTTCATAAGTTTGGAAATGTTTTGAAATCGAACCTCTAAAAAGGTAACTGATCAATTTGATAAATTTTCTTCGAAATATTATAATTAATTAGATTTTTCATATTGTGAGGATAAAACTTAGATAACAAGATATCAGCATGGTCAAAGGTAGCATAACCTTCCTCCTCACCCCAATGCTATTATTTTATCACTTTTACTTTACGGGGAGTTTTTCCTCCCAAAACCTATTAATTTTGATTTACACTGACAAGGGAGGAGAAGTAAATGTATGTATCTTTACTCCTCCTCTCTCCAGGGAAATTAGTATCTTTATGACTTTTTCTCCTCCTGCATTAAGAAAGAATCTAAATTACTTTTGGAAAGGAGAGAAAGCACTAAGAAAGGTGGATATAATAAATGACCATCTCTCTAGGGAAAAGCAGGAAAAGTTTAAGATCACATCCAATTAACTTTGGGGCCATAAGAAAGAGACTCTTTCTTTCTCTTTGTCGGAGGGCCAATCATCTCTCTTTCCTCTGTCTTTTCTCTTTCGCAATGGGCCGAGTTGGCTATAAAAGAGAAAGAGAGAAAGTAAGAGGTGGCGAAGTCAGTTACAGTTCAACATTTACACCAGCAACATCAACACTTTGTTGTTTCTCTCTCTCTCTGTGTGTGACACTTCTCTTAAGAAGTATTTTTAAGAAGTTTTATTTAAATATATTAAATAAATAGTGTGCGCCACCATCTTTGTGTTTTCCCAGTTCCCAAGTTTCGCCGTTACCACAACCTTTGTGTTTCCCCAGTTTCCCAGTTTCGCCGTTACCTCCATCACGGTGCTCCCCAGAACCTACTTTGCTGCTAAGCCGCCGCTCAGCTCCCTCTCAGACTGACCCGTATCAGGATCATCAACAAGGTAAGCCTTAGGCTTTTGAGTGTTTTTCTTTTATTCTTTTTGTACCAATTGATCCTTCACCTTATCCATAACCTTTGCATGCTATGTACTTGTACCATTGATCTATTACCTTAAGTCACCTGGTCGACTTAGTTTTAGATCATCACCTTCGATCCTTCACCTTGACCATAACCATTTACCAACTCCTTATCTATTGCCATCCGAACCTTTACCATTATTTACACCTCTATTGGAAATTTATTTTGCCCTTTAACCATATCAACACACCTTTTACCTTTTATTCAAAATCATAATCATATCTTACCAATAATCAGTAAACTTTAGTCTACGATACTTCGCCATAAGAATCGCCGCTGAACTTGAATATGTACTTTTCATCACCAGTCGTAACCTCTGTTACGCTAAAATTCTGCCTCAAGGATAACAGTTTCATCGAGACAACGTTTATCTTGAGAGTATCTTCTTGGCACGGTACTTTACCATCCTTCTGACTATTATTAATCCCAAGTTGCACTGATTATAACCCTATATTAACCAATCACTATACCAGACATAATAAAACTTTTCATCGAAGGTCAAGAGTTTACAAATCATTATCGCTACTAGAACTATCGAAATCTTTTACTAAGGTCAACGTAAGTACCCTCGCAACTACAGATAGTTTTAGGTTCCAGGCGAAACAAACGGTATCAAATTGATCTAAGCTGCAAAACTCGAATGTCCATAGGAAAACACTTAAGAGAGTTAACAGCGGTAGTAATCCAGATTCAAGGAGCCATACAAGAAATAATTGATCTACTGATCTTGCATCACCTATCGATAACTGGACCGGAAGACTGGTTTCTGGAACTAATACTGGACGACGAATTGGCTGATCTGGAACTTAGCGATGAGGTTTAGTAATCAACAAATTGAGTTTATGCAACAACTTATATTTTCAGGTTTGACTTTCAACGAAGTGATAAATTTATACATCATAACCCATGAATGCTTAGATACTGGAGAAAATCCTATCCTACATGTTGATACACCATCCACCAGTCGAGATATTGTTTTAAATCTTTCTACACCGAATAAAGAGCAAAGGAATTCCTCTTAATCAAATTTACCTCCTCACAATATGTTAGAATAATGGGTTCAGGTAAAGAGCTTACGGTTGAAGAGAAAAGTCAGATCAAATTATTAAAACAAATTCACCCGGACTGGTCACTATCTAAGATTGGTCAAGCCATTGGTAGGTCGAAATCGGTCATCTCTAAGTTTCTCTCAGACCCTGAAAACCATGGGAATAAAAAAAGATCTGGTAGACCAAAAGTGACCACTAATAGGCAGAATAATCAAATTGTTCAATTAGCGACTCGGAATAAAATGAGCGCTAATCAGATTAAGGATGAACTTTCTTTGGACTGTAGTGTCAGTACTGTGAAGAGGAGGTTGCATTCTGATCCTAATATTATTTACACCAAATTTCGTTCAGGTCCTCAGCTGACTGAGCGACACAAAGTTAATCGTTTGGCTTTCGCTAAAGAGTGTGTTTGTTTTACACCAGAAAAATGGGCATCGATAATATTTAGCGATGAAAAAAAGTGGAATTTGGATGGTCCTGATGGTATTAGGTCTTATTGGCATGATATCAGAACTGAAAAGGCCATTTTTTCTCGCCGTCAGATGGGAGGTGGTTCAGTAATGACTTGGTCTGGCTTTTCAATGGCGGGAACATTGCCTATGGTATTTTGTTTGCCCAAAATGAATTCGGATCATTATCAGGATATTCTTGCTGAGCATTTGTTACCTAATGGGCCATTGATTACTACAGGTGAATATCTTTTTCAGCAAGATAATGCTCCCATCCATCGATCTGATTCAACTCGGAGGTGGTTTGAGGCCAATTCGGTTGAGGTTTTGCCTTGGCCAGCCTGTAGTCCCGATCTCAACCCCATAGAAAATCTTTGGGGATATTTAGTTCGAAAAGTTTATGGTCACGGGAGACAATTTTCGAACATTTCGAGCTTGAAAAACGCGATCGTTGAATCGTGGGCTGAAGTACCTGCGACATTGACACAAAGCTTAGTAGCGTCAATGGAAGATCGCATGAGCACA